GGACGGCTCGAGCTCGCCCGAGTCGGGGCCCTCGCCAATCTTGCTGAGCTCCTTCTTCCACTCCTCGTCGATGGCGCGGTCCAGCTTCATGACCTGCTCCTGGGTAATGGTCACGGGCTCGCCGCGGTCCGACTTGGCGTCGGCGCCCTCCTCCTCGTCGACCAGGTACTTCTTGAGCAGCTCGGGGTCCTTTTCCAAATCCACCAGCTCCTCCTCCGTCAGGTCTATCAGCTCCTCGCCGTTGCTCTCCTTGACCCGCCGCAGGGCGCGCACCATGGCCCTCGTCAGCTGGTCGCTCGTCTTCTTGTCCGTCAGGTCCGCCAGCTTGGACCCGTACTTGTCCGCCCAGTCGCTGGGGTTCAGCCACTGCGGCTCCCAAGGCGTGCCCTCAATCTCCGGCTTCACGTCGTACCGCGGGTCCAGCACGGTGTAGTCCTCCATGTACTGCGGCCTGTAGGGGTCGTCTCGCAGCCGTCCCTGGAAGATGAGGTCCTCGGGGTCGATGGCCGCCTCGCCCGCCTTCAGGGCCTCCAGCTGCTCGGGCGTGTACTTCTTGCTGAGGGCGTCGAGCTCCTCCTTGGTGTAGTCGGGGAACTTTTCCTGGCGGTATTTCTCGAGCCCGTCCTTGCTCAGCAGGCCCAGGTCCTCGGCCTTGACATTGCGGAAGCGCGACCGCCGCTTCGCCGGGCGGGGCGCCGAGGTGTGGAATTGCGATTGCGACTGCTGCTGGAGTTGATGCTGAGGCTGCTGGACTTGGTGCTGGCAGCCGACGACGACGACGGTCTGCGCGGTGCGGGCAGAGGCGACGCACTTGCGCAGGAGGCTGCGCGCCGGTCGGGCGACGCTCATGGCCAGGCGAGGCTCCGGATTGGCAAAAGAGTCAATGTTTCCCCTCGTGAGGGGGGTGTTGGGCAAAAGCGATTGCGGGCCTGGAGCTTCGAATTGTCGTCTCACCTCACACGAACCGACCCTTGAGATTTTTCTGCGATCTGCCCAATTGAGAACCAACCATGGTGGCTTAGGGTGACTCAGCAGAAACTGTGGCTGGTGGGTGCAAGCCACAACTACGCCTCACGTGGGGGGATGATGCTAAACGTGCATTGCACATGAAACCCCGTTCATCTGGGGGCGGACCCTGATTTTCAAGGTACGAGTGGTACATACGAGTAGTAGCGCCAAAGTCCCCCAACGAGTCCTGCAGCTCGGTAATGCTCCGAATACGCATACCTTCATCTCCCCTCGTAGATAAAGTCGATGTCTATAGATCCAAGTCATTGTGATTTCAGCCATGTAACAATCATGATAGTTTCATTCGAAATGCAATCTGAGAAAGACCAGTCACCCTCAAATACCCCATCCCCGACACCGTCCCAAACAAAGAACCCCCGACTGCCATCGTGAAACGTCTCAGGAGCGCGTTCCAGTTTCGAAGTCGCCTGTTTTCTCTCCTCTCCCTCTCTCCTCCTCCTCCTTCTCCTCCTTCTTTTTGTTCTCCCGCTCTCGACTCTCTTCTCGATTCGCCATTCATTTACTATACTTTGACTTCTTTCTCTGTTTAATCTTCTTCCTACCTACCTTTTGATAATAAGGCATCCGTGACTGGCTCACACTTCGCCTCAGATACCTCATCCATCATCGCAACTCCACCAAGCAACTTACAACTCCCACTCAAACCAACGATATCCTCATCTCCAAACTCAAACTCAAACTCAAATCTCACCCAATCTCGCCCAACCTCACCCCAGTCTCAGCCTCTTCAAGAAGCAAAACCAAAAACACCCAAGATGGGCCAATTCGACTGGTTCAAGAAAATCGGCGCAACAGACGAGGCCGTCGCCGTCCTCAACGACCAGCCCTACCTCTTCACCACCCTCGTCGTCGTCCTCGTCGTCCTCATCGCCGAGGGCGGCTTCCTCTACTTCATCCACTGGGCCACCTTCAAGCCCTCCCAGCGCAAGAAGAAGCCCGACGCAAAGGGCGGCAAGCCCGGCGCCAGCAGCAGCAGCAGCAGCAGCAGCAGCGGGGGAGGGCTCCTCGGCAGGCTCAGGGCTGGGGCCGGTGCGGACAATTCTCGTCGGCCGGCCGGTGGGAACTAGGAGGCTTAAGTGTCGGGGGGATGTCGGAAAGGCAGTTGTGCGGGCTTGTTGTTTTTGAGGTTCTTTGTTGGCGGACATTCAAACAACACGCAATCAGTGCGAATGCCTGCTTTGCAATATACCACATATGGTCGGTTCAACTGCAAATTGGACGATTGAGCAGCCGGCCATACGATCGGAGATCGGAGGAGGGAGCGGCCTTTGTTTCGCGATTATTCACACTCATGTTTCCGGGGCGTTATAGCACAGCAACTTATTTTTTTTTCTCCTCACGACTTATAGAAACTCACATCTACATCCCAGCATGTTGGACACGAATCCCCCAAGTATTCTGACCCAGATTCGCTCGTATATAGCCACTCGTCGAATGTAGTTGTAGATCCTATACCCATGGGCAGCGGGTCATAATTCATTGATGCAGCCTCCGTCAGACTGGAATCCTCCATCGCGCCAAAGTACATGTGATTCAGTTCAGCGTCGATCTCGCGCTTTGTAGCATTGTTTGTCTGTGTCTGTGGCAGGCTGTAAGTCGGCTCGAAGTATTCGGGGCTGCTCTGGTGGAATGACGACGACGTCCACACCTCATCTCTCTTTTCGTCATGCATGACTGATACTGTGGGAGCCAAAGCTCCCTCATCTCTCTCTGCCCTATCAGCAGCTGGTAGAATTCTGCTTGGTTCAGACAATTCTAATTCAGGCCTGGATTCCGCAATTGGCATTGCTTCTTCAACATCATGGCCGCCTTTTCTTGGGCGATTAGGCGGCTTGATCTTGGTCGTTGACAGCAAAACATGCCACGTGCTCTGCTCAATCCCTCTTACGACACTGTCGATCTGGGTACACTTCTTGTCTTTCACCCGAGCTGCGAATGAAGTTGCCTTTTGCCGAAGACTTGGTGACTCGGCGTTTATCATTCGAGCAAGCGAAGTAGCAATGTTGGGCAGCAGAGCGGCTCGATCAGAAATGTTCTGAGAGGAACTATTCAGCCATGGTATATCATCATCTTCTTCCAGTCAAATACCTACCTTCAGATACGGCATATGAAAGACTGCCGGCGCCAGTTTCGTCAAACACCCGGCTCGATTGCAATCAATCGTGACAATCTCTTTGCGCTTCTTGGCTGATCCGATTACAAGAAGCTCCAACGCAGTCTCAAAATGACGTTTGAAACGATCTGAGAACTCAATGGCTTGAGCACTTTGAGCTGTCTTTGGCGTAACTGTGTCCCTTATCTTTTGGGGAGGCACCATGTGTAGACTTTGTATAAACTCGTCAATGGCTCTCTGGTCATCCGGACTCAAACAAGCAACATAGTCATCATCAGATGAGACACCGTCCAGCTGCCGGGTCCCGATGTCTTCATCAGATTTGCTGCCCCTCTTCCTCTTCAGCGATCGCTTCTTCTTGGATGGCTCGTCCTGCATCGGGGTGAAATTGACGCGACAAGTCACAGACTCAAACTCCGCCGTAAATGCATCTTTCTGAGTCACCAAGGTGGATGACAAGTCCGGATGCTGTATAGAGAAGGCTATCCGCCCTGTATGCTCGGTCACGCCTATTTCTTGCTCATGCAAAGAAATTCCCACACGATGCCATACCTACAAGCACCAGGTCAGCCATGGATGTCGTAAGCCGGGGGACCAGCTAAATTGATATATCTACCTCACAACCCCTGACCCACTCCACGAGCTTTGCAACTTGATCCCGGTGCGACACTGGTTCCCCTTGGACCGAGATATCAAGTTGTAAATAACAAGCACCAGTCCGCGCAATCCACAGGCGCTTCTCCTTCGCCAGCTTCAACAAGTCACTGCTTGACTTTGGAAGCTTTGTCCCATTTGGAAACCGCAGCTGTAGCGAGCCTTCAAGTGACAAGTCCAGGCGCTGCTCGTAGCTGGCGAGATGGAGTTTCGGCAGACTGACCCTGGCGAGCCGCATGGCGTCCGTGACTTGTTGCGGCAAGCTTGAGGAGTAATTAATACGCAGGCATATGTTGATTGACTCGCTAGAAGATTAATGACATCGTTTGTCGCCGTTATATAAGACTGTCTGATTCGGTATTGAGGCTGAAGGTGGATGAAAATGCAGAGTGTGCGAGTTCGGTCTCGCCAAATTCTCAAAGCAGTGCAGCGGCTATGACGCGCAAGGTACTTTCCTAAAGTGTGATTTGTCGCAGCAATTCTCAAGAGGAAGCCGTAGTTCTCAAGATGTGGAAGGAGGATTCGCTCATCGCCTTCCACGGTGCATTACTAAGATAGGCTTTGTATATAAGGTACCAATAAACGACCGCAGTGATGCCGTGTGATATGTGCCGTTGGAAAGGACCGAAATAGACAAGAAAAAACAAACATATCGAAAGACCAACGCAAAGAGGAAAAGCACTAGCGGAGAGATATGAAAAGATCCAACAGAAAATCTCGAGTCTAACATGCTTTGCTGAAATGCATCCTTCGCCCAGCCTGCAGAAATAGTGTCGCTACCCAAAACAGAAGATGTCGTGTCGAAAACATAAATTACCCAGTCTTTTATTCGCCCGTGTGGTGACCTGTAACGCCTTGCGTCAACGTTTATTTAAGCCATGGAAAGATCTTCTTGGTTGGCTCCAGGGCTCCGCCACCTGACGCCGAGCCCTCTACCTCGAGGCTTCGCTGGTAGATTTCCTGTGGTAGTTGTTAGCATCTAGAGTCAAGCAGACGCAGCAGCAGGGTTTCGCATGTCGTACCTCTTCGTCCGTCGTCATGTGGCAGCCCAATATGAGCTCTCGAACGTTGTCGTTTTTGGAGAGGTTGGGATACGGCGATCCCTGGCTCTTCATCAGAGGCAAGAGAACTTCGCCAAGCACCTCAAACTTCTTCCAGTTGATGCGGTCACCGTTGGGGCCGACAAAGGTCTTGCTGCCCTCCTCGGCAGAGACCAGGTCACGGCGGTGCAGAGGCATGAAGGGGATACGGGGCAGCGGCGAATTCTCCCATGCCAGTCGGTAGGCAAAGTGGCTCTTTTGGGTGCCCATCAAGATGACCAATCGCGCGAACTTCTTGTGAACCTCGGGCGAAACCAGAGCTTTTGTCTGAGAAAGGCGGTGGATGGCCGTCCCGTTGATTCCTGCCAGGACAGCCGCCAGGCCATTGTAGTTGTTCAGTTGTCGTAGCTTGAGAGCAATGTTCATAAACTTTTCGAGAACCAGGGCGCGATGCTTTGCCTTGTCCCGGAGGAGGATCATGTTGGCGACCCACTTGGCGACGTGGTTGAAGTGGTTGATCATACGATTCACATTGTTCAAGCTCTTGCAGCTCTCCTTTTGACTTGCTCCCAAGCTGACGTGTCGGACAAAGTCGCGGATGCGGATCGAGGAGAACATGATCCAGTCTATGCGGGTGAGCTCGTCCGCGATCTCATCGTCCTTGATCTCGACAAAGATGCGGTATCGGAACTTGTTCATCGGCAGGTGATCGGTCGGGTCCAAGGTGGCGGCCTCCCGCTCGTAGTCTTCGTATGAGTAGAGCTGTATCTGGCCGCCGCTGCCGACCACTCTGTTGAGGTTCTCGGAGCTTACCGACGGCCTGTCAAAGTTGCCGTCCTCCTCAAACTGCAAGGCAGTCAACCCAGCCGGAAGCTCGCTCAGCTCCTTGGAGAGAATGTCGCTGGCCAGCTGGTCGTCGGCGTCGTCGGCATTGGCCCAGCCCGTATCGTCGTCCTCTATGACGTGGAGGGTAAGGTTTCGGTGCATCTGCCTGGCAGCGATGCAGAAGATGGGCTCCGTGGAAAGATAGCGTATGAACTCGTCCAGGTTTCGGCGCGTCGCCAGTCGGGCAAAGTCACCAGGATACAGCGACACCCACTTGGCCACCGTCTCGATGATTCTCAGCTGAGTTGCTGTCTTGGTCAGGTGGTGGGCCGTCTTGTCGTCCCTCACGCGATCCAGCCGCATCAGGATGGCCGAGAAGAGCTCTCCGGGGGCGGCAAACTTGCGATATAGGCAAAGGAAGACGTCGGAGAAGTTGAGATCGGCCCTGGAGAGGCGCAGCGCCAGCAGGCGATCCACCAGATCGTCAAAGGGCACGCCTGCCATCTTTTGCTGCTTCTCTACGACGACGTCATCGCTTCGCTGCAGGATGGGAATGTCGTCTGAATATCGACGGGAATCAGTGTCGGACTCGTCGAGGAAGGAGTCGGTTCCGCGGCCACCTAAGGGGGGGCAAATGCAAATGTCAGCGTGGGACCCACAACAACTGCCATCGATGCTCAAGGGTTTCAAGGGTATGGGATGTTGCGGTAAGCTTCCCCGTGCTCCGTAGTGCTCCGTATTTCGGTCTTCCGCAGTAGGTAATACTAGCTGCATGGCAGCAGCAGCAGCAGTAGCGGGACTAACCTCGGTGTGGACTCCTGGACGCCTGCGTCTGCACATGGCCATCTGCAACAGGAGTGCCGCCGGATGGAGCCGCGAAGCCCCGGAGCAGCGAAAAGTCGGAGCTCGCACGATTGTGTCTCCCTTCGCTAACGGGCCGAGCGCCGCTGGGGTCGGTGGCCTCGAGATTCGCCGCAGACTGCGCCCTCTTGCGAGCAGCACCCATCTCGCCAATCTCATCTGCATAAGGCGTACCCCTTCTATGGGACACGGCGGCCTTGAGGATGGCATGTAAACAGCCGCGGTCTATTTCGGGACTTGTCGAGGAGATCTTAAAGTGGGCCAAGCAGGATCTGAAGAGGGTGTGGTTGGCCAAGTCGTCGGGATTGACCTGCCGGTCCTCTTCCGGTGCCTCGCATTTGGTCGCGACCAGCATGGCGGGCATGTTGGAATTCGTCAAAGCAGCTGCAGCAGTAGCATGTTAGCCCCCAGTTGACCACGTACACCGACGCTACGCTACGCAAGTACGTCTCCCTTGTGCGCTCCCAGCCGACACGCCCGGATGGACGCGATGGCGGGACTGCTCGTCAAACATACCCAAAGTCTGAGGAAGCTCGCGAATGGTGTCCTTGTTGGTAACATCGTATAGCACCAGGGCAGCGTCGACGCGGGGCACGATGTGGCCGTTGATCTGCTTGGGCCACTGGATGGGGTGCGGCGTGTTCAGTTCGAAGGAGTCCAGGTCCAGCTCGAGAAGGGTGATGTTGTAAGAGGCGGAGTCGACGGCGATGCGAACGCTGGACGCGGTAGAGATGGGCGGGCGCGACAAGCCCAGGATTCGCTGGACAAACGTCGACTTGCCCACGCCTATGGCGCCAATGATGGCAATGTTGTAGCTATCCATGGCGGAGGATGGCTGTGTCTGAGGATCGCGACAACTGTCAGCATGGGAGCGGTCTCAGGAAGGGAAAAAAAACAGAGGAATGTCTCATCAATGTACGGAGTGGCCAAGATGAGCTCTAAAGTGAACCCCTGGTTGGCTGCCCCGCGACAGCGTGCGAGCAGGGGTAGGTGAAGTGAAGAGAACTAATTGGGTGGAGACGGAGTGCTCATGGGAAGTAAGATGAGGAGCGTGAGTGAGGATCAGATTGGCCTGTCAGTATGCAAAGCTGCATCGAACTCATGCACGCCATGACGCTCCAATTGCGTCGAGGTGGCATCTTGGTTCCATGATTGAATTGGACGAGGGAAATGGAGTTTTTGGTCCTTTGTCTCCTCTTCTTCCTTTCTCTTGCCTGCAGCCTGCCATTCTTCATGTTGTGCGCACAAACGTACCCAAACTGGTGTTGATCCAATGGTCAACGACTCTCGACGGGGAGGCGGCCAGTGTTGCTTCCGGTTCCCCTCCTGAACATGTCTGTTGCCGCGAGAGGCCTCGGGCGAGAAGAGCGGGATCTCCGCCAACGTCTCTGACTCAAACTCAAGATGGTTGTATGGTTCGGGAGCGACAGCGGTGGGGGTGTCTAGGTTTTGGAAGAAGGGATCGTCGACAATTGAGACGATGGAATCGCGATTGGGAGTCGGAGGACGGGCGGTGTTGGAGGCGGTGCGCGAGGGGAAGCTCTGATCAGTGGAAGTCGCCGAGACTCTGGACCAGTAGCCGCCGCTGCTCGAGGTGCTGCTCGTGGTGTTGCTGAGGGAGGAGTCGCGGGTCTGGAGGGCTGGAGGGCGTCGAGCTGTGGCGGCAGCAGTCGGGGTCTCGGAGCCGGGGCGCAATTGATGGGACCCGGAGGAGCTGCTGTCTGTAGCCGTGTAAGCAACGTGCTGCCGGGATGCACTCGGCTGGGTCATTGTCGCAGTCTATGGACGCGACCACGGCGCGGGCGCGGGCACGGACATGAGGTTACGGAAGCAATGAAGAAGATGGTGACGAAGACAACGACCAAACCGCCGACGTCGATGATGGAGATGCGCTATGAGTGAGAAGACTGTGACGTGGGTGGGAGGAGGGGAGAAGCAGTAGTAGCAGCAGCAGCAGGGAGAGGCGGAGGAAGAGAGGGAGGAGAGCAAAAGAGGGATCAGCAACACGAGGGAGCGAAACGGAGGGATGAGAGCAGGAGCAAAAGAGGGAGGTGACGAGGCAAGGAAGGGGAGGTCGAGGGAATGAGGGCGTTCACGGATCTGGAAATGGGCCGATGGTGGTGAGGTGAGGAGGGCGGATCAGGGCTCTTGGTTTCTATGTTGGTAGTCGATGCGAATCCGTGCCATTGGGGCCGCTAGCGAGGACGAAGAGAACCGCCTAGCCGTGCTTGTGCTTGTGCTTGCAGGCAAAGGACACCATGTACTAGGTATGGACTTACCAACAAGCCCGCACCCGCGAGGATCGAAGCGAAATGGAGAGACTGGACAGGCCGGGGCGAGATGCAGGCGTCGCGGCCGCGGCTGTTGGAGAGGAGGAGGGAAAACGTGGCCGAGCAGAGACGAGAGGCGGATAAGGTAGAGGATGGATGGATGGGATCTGACATGGAGAGCGGGAGCGCGTTAGCAGTGCTACCTTGGCAGGTACTTGGACCTGGGACTGCGACCCTCGGGGGTGCGGATGCGGGTGTGGGTGCGGGTGCGGCACATGGATGGATGTACTTGTACCTGAGCTGGTAACACCGATAGCACAGCTTCAACTTGAAGTTGACGCTCTCCGGCCCCAGGGGTTTAGTGCCTGCAGGTCAAGAGATATCGCGGTGGCACTGGTAGAGCGACGGGTACAGGTACAGGAAAGGCACTGATAGCCCAGTGACCGGGCATGAGCATTGATCCAGCTGCCCATGATCCAATTGTCAGAGCACAGGGGAGATGAAGACGACAGCCGGCCTCAGCAGAGGCTCCAGACGTCCATGCTCTCCCGAACCTGTAACCTGAACCCGCCAGAACATGAGCTTTGGCCAAGAACCTAGCAGGGCCGCACCAGGCGGGTTTGGGGCTAGTGGGTGGCTAGCTCTATCGGAGTCAACCGGGGCAGGACTCGTGCTATCGAGGCTAAAGAAATGCCATCTGGTGGTGGTTGTTGGGAAGTCACTGCTCGGTGTTGATTTGGAGTTTCAATCATCAACACGAGGAGATACAGGGTCAAACACAGCATGGTAATACAGGCAAAAATACGAATAACCAATGGGCAAAATGCAAAAGATCATCCAGCCAGCCTCGTGGGCATGAAACTGCATGCTATGTAAGGTTCTGACCACACTCTCGCTTTAGAGCACCTCACAACCCCCCAAAGAGGGGTTCGTCCACCTCAACTCTGCTACAAGCACTAGCAACTCTGAGCATCCTGGGCGAGGTTCGGATGATTTCCGCTGTGTGCCAGCTTGGCAGTGCTCGATGCAGTAAAGAACCGCGGCCAGACGAGCGCTGAGGATGGAGTTGCGCGTGGGAGGTGGGGGGAGGGGAGGCCAGACGAGCACGATCCGTGTGGACGAGGAGGAGGAGGAGGAGGAGGATGCTTGCATGCAACCCCGGCGGCAGGGGCCGTAAGTTTGTACTCGTATGGAGATGGCTGCAGTGAGCAGAGCAGCAACTGGTCGGCGACAGCAATTGATATGTACACACACGTACATGCTGTATAGTATACCACTTGAGAGCCCGAATACAACTACCGTGCAGACAGATACGGACCTGTGGAGTGCGTCGAGCAGCGCAAGCTCATGCGAGACGGTGGGGGAGCTCGCCGACCTGGGCCCGTCAAAGTGTGGGAACACGGCATGATTCGATACATGGCACTGCCTCCGCTTCTCGTGACGACGATGATTCAGTTGATCTCCGTCTGTGCCAGTATGTAGTAGTATTCCACTTGATAGTGGCATACATACGAGGTAATGGCAGATTAGCATCCCATCAACACCACATGTAGCAAATGCCATCGCGAAGAATGAAGTGCCACAAACGCTGCACCCGCGAAAGCACAAGCACACCGATAGATGGATGCATCCAAGCCCGGTCTTGGCTCTCTTACCCTCCCACCCACTACCCAGCATCCCACTCTCCCGCTCTTTTTACTCAGCATCTTCTCTTCTACCCCTCGACCGCGTCTGGCCCCCAAGTGTCCCGACTCAGATGCATCCCAAAGCCCTTCGTCCCGCACCCTTCAAACAGAAACGCCACAGCGACACACTGGCAATGGCGTTTCCGAGCCGCCCAATTGCAGCGCAACGAACGGCCAGGAGTCGAGCTAGCCGTTGAATCACAGGCTTACCGTTTGGTTCAGTTACTCCAGGCAAATTCGCTCATTAGATAATAAGTCAAGTGTTCCGCGTCCGAAAGCTGTTACAACCAATTGGGCCTCTCTGTTTCGTCTCGTGTTCTTCTCTATTTACCTCTTCTTCCCCCCTTTCCCTTGTTCAGCCTCACCATTTCCAGTTTCTTGACCTTTGGTACTGCTCCATACACATATTATCAGTAATCTGTGTTGCTGATACCAGTAAGCACTCATATCAGCAACACAGATTCCGTATAGAGAACATGGACTTTGACAATCCCAATCACACAACTCGACTCTCCCGTCAAATGTCATCCATCACCCCCCTCCACCTCCGCCCATCGACATCCCAAGGCGGCAAGGTTCATCACCCACGCGGCCCCTCAAAGCACGTGGGAATCTCAGGGAGCCCCCCCAATCACCTCACGTGGGCCCCGACGGGCCACGGTTCGTTGCGGATTGGTTTGACGGAATCGCGCCCAAGGGTCCATCCATACCGGACCTGTCATCAAGCTAAAATGAACCCAATTGCAGCAACGCACAAGAACGACAAGTAAAGTCGTGCTCTGGATGGGGACGGCGCTCGCTCGATTGCTCACCCCTCTGGTGAGATCTGATACCTCGGACAACTACCTAACTAACCTGTAGTAGCGGTATCACTGCAGGTAAGGGACTTGAAGACGGACGCTGATGAGACCATCACCGCTCCTACAAAGTACAACGGCCAACTCCATCGGTCAAGGTGTCGCAGGATCCCGTTGGCGGCGCGGAAGTTGGGATCGGCAACGCAAAAACCCACCCGTCTCTGCTGACCCAGACGAAACTGATGTGTTGATCTCGGGCCCGGCACAGAGGAACGGAAGAGGCCAGGGTTTGCCGCGTGTTCTCTAGCCTCTGGCACGCTGATGGAGAACTTACACGTGCGTTAAACGAGCATCTCCCGGTGAATAAGCACACGCAAAGTGTTTCCATGTCAGAGGCCAAACCCGAAGCCAGGAGCATAGTCGTCCACTTTCTGCTGATCAAGTCCAGACTGATTGAAAGCTCTCGGCACTTGGAATGCCGTTCTTTGACCGACCAGGTTCCCTATTTCCCAGCTTTGCGGAGCCTCTTGTCCAGAGCCTCGTATTTCAAGGAAGCCCTACCCGGCATCCCAAGTCACGCGGTCCGGCGATTCCCTGCCAAACTTGCCCGTTTTCACCAGCGATTTGTGCTTCGTACATGTATGGAGCAAACATGTGGAGGGTCGTGGTGTTCAATCGGCAGCGTAATACTACTCTAGCTGTCCATCATGTCATTTCAAGCCCTGCCTTGTTCAGCTCCGAATTTGTGAGGGAGCCCAGTTCATTCGACAAGGTTCCCTGTCAATCCAGTCGATACGAACCTGCCTGCCAACGGTTTGATGAGCGGTCATCTTGCAAATGAGCATTTGACGAGATGAATTTGAAACAGCTACTCTCGAACGCCACTGTTACGGTTCCTGGAATTGGAAATATTACTGGGCATCGATGCCTGGACAGGTACCGTAGGTGCATGAAGTTGAGTTGCATGCATCGTGGCCAAGCCTCGCACATCCTCACACGCGGGTTCATCTAAAACGCATGGCCTGAAACCAAACTGTTGGTTCCGTCTGGGTTCTAGGTTCATCAAAGCAAGATCCATGTGACGTAGATCGACTTTCCAATCTCCCTAGTAAAGGGTCATTGGCTGCATGCAGCGGGCAACCAACAGCATGGAAGCAAACATGAACCCAACATCACTGCTGGACAGTTGGGGCCATACCTACTGTACGCTTCGTGTTTCCCAGCTCGGGATATTGTAATGCCCTCGGCACCTGCAGCTGCCGGTCTCGGGACATCGAGGTACCTACGTAAGGTGTTGATGATCTCGTACTCTGTATGAGGCACAGTCATGCTACCCATCTCATCCCGTTGTAGCCCTCAACTTGCTTTTGTCGAATCAGGATACCGAGGGCCCTGATCCTCTGGGAATCCAGGGGCCGCGGCAGCCGAAAGACTGAGTGGGCTTGTCGATGCCGCGCCTTTAGATGTGTGAAGTGCGAGCTCTCAAACAAGCGTCGGTTGCCTACACGAAGATACGAGACAATTGTCTATATTTCACGATCAAGACTCATGTCTACCGAGCTGGCGTCATATTTTCAGCGCACCTGTTTGAGGTAATGCGATTTCACGACCTCTGACGAAAGCTCCATGAACACCAACAATGAGCACCTTTGGCCTGGCAGGATCTCGCATCGTCCCGTTGCGGAGACCCACCTCGTCGTGAGTGACTAAATGGCCCGATTCTACCTTGTGAGAAAAGAATGCGGCGAGGCTCGGCAGCTGGTCCTTTGTAGACGGGATCAGATTCGTCTCGGGGTGAAGCAGCCGTGCTTCGAGTACCTGTTTGCGAAAATGGGGAAGTTCGGAGATCTATATCGCTTCAGAGCTTTTATGCTTCAAGTTGACTGGAGCTACGCAGATCTTCCTCAGAGCAATGACGTCTGCCGGCGTCCCATCACCGACTGATCCATGCACTGACTCGTACCCATCATGTGATGCTCCGTCCGTTAAGACCTCAAGATACCAAGTTGAACGACGACTCAGAGTTGAGCGCCATGGATGATTGCAGCTGAGATACTTGTATATGTCGCAGCTGAATCGACGCAACTCCTCTTTCAGCAACCCCTTACCGGAGCACATATAAAGACTCACATGTGACGCGCTGTCTTGATGTCAACACCATCTGCTGGTGTAACTCACAATCTTTCCACCACGGGCAACAACCAGGTCCCGCTCCTTGGACGGAGAAGACCAATTCTCCCACCTCTCACTGAAATTCAGTTTCCAACCAATCTATGGGGTGCCCAGTCCGCCCAGTCCCTCAACCTCAGCTGTAGACTCAACCAACGACAGGTCGCATCCCAGCGGAGTCGTGGGTGACATCGTCGCTCGAAATGCATTTCCGCCAAACCCCATCGCGAGACTCATCTTATATACATACTACTAGTATGCGCGCGTAGCATCTTGATGCCTTGATGCTACCCGAACGTCCGTTGGGACGCCGAGTGAGATTGACATTGGGCCTTTTCTCTTTCCACCACGTGCAGTCAGAGATGCAATAATACTACAAGATGCTGAATCACCAAGGAATGAATGACCTCTTTTGCAACACCACCTAGTAGTACTACTACTACTACTAATAACCCGCAATCCACTCCAGACGCACGACTAAGTCATCCCCCCCAAGCAACAAACAGCTCGGCTCCGATGCAAATCTCACCCCAGATTGGGCCCAAACAAGCATCGCATTGGCTCCGCGTCTAAAAAAGAGCCGGCGTCGTTTTACCCCAACCTCAAGTCAAGTCATGCACCACCCGGCCCGGCCCCATGATTGGACGCCCCAAAAACATGCATCTTATTCCTCGCATCAGACGCGAGAACCGAAACGAAGCAGAACAGACATCGCGTGCAAAAAGAAAACAAGTCATTTTCCCCAACCGAGGAACAAAGATTGAGCACAAGCCAAAGGTTTTAGAAAAGAATAGAGTAAAGGAAGAGCGAGAGCCGCTGGAATGCCGAGGAAGGGTTTTGTTTGCTTGCTTGGGTTGCTGATGAATGGGGAAACCTTGGCCTGGTCGTCTAAGCGTCGTCGCATTGCATTGCATCTGGCTTCGTATCATTTCGAGCCCGTCTTGATGGCTTGTTCTGTTCTAGCAACATCTCCTCTTCGGTTGCAACCTCGTCGCTTATTACCCAGCCATGACTCTCGTCCGATTTATGCCATCGGTGCCAGAGAAGAAAAAAGGAACGCTGCTCGGCAGTTATAGAGCGTTCAAGCCTCGGTCTCTTCGCGCTGAACCAACCCCATAAGACCGTCAGAAGCCAAGTCTTGTCTTCCCGCCCGTCTCCCCTAACCCCCCGGTAGGTAGACATAAAAGCGAAGACACACCACGAGATCATGCAAGAAAAAAACCACACCATATAACAAAACCACGGAAACCAAAAGAAGCCAAACCCAGCAACCCCTGCAAGACCCGTTGCTGCCCGCGTCCAAGTGACCCCATCATCAACCTGTTCCAGTTTAGACGCCACCTCCGCAAAATTCGCTCGTCCTTCCTATTCCCCCCCTTGTCTGTTCTGTCTTGTCACTCATCACCTTTTTGCTACCAAGGCAAGGCAAGGTGGCTTTCCATCCCGCTACTCTCCCTCCAATTGGATCAAATCAAAAGCAGGATGCTTGCATTGCATATTCCAAAGCCAAAAATCCAAATCAAAATAGCCAAGCTTTGCCCTTTGTGGGGGACCCCTCTCTCTCTCTCGCGGACTGTGTTTCCAATGCATGCGGCAGAACAAAGAAGCAGAAAAAAAAGGCGCTTCGGCCAGTGAGAAGCGCCCAATCATGCAGATGCCTCTAACTTTCGCAACGTCCCTCGTGATCGCGTGCCTTGGCCTTGTTTCTACCTTTTTTTTTTGTGGGCAGATGAGTTGATGTGAGCTCCTAAAGCAGGAGACCTATCGTGAAAAAGGAAACCTCTTCTTTTCTTCTTCTTCCCCTTCTTCCTCTTCTTCCTCTTCTTCCTTTGTTTCCCACTTCTTGTTTACACGTACTTTGCTCTCCACGTGCTTGCTTGCACTTACAAGAAGTCGTACTTGTTACACTTCTCCCATCTGCCGTATTTGCAGCTTTGGTTTCATCTTCCTCGTCGCTTGTACTCGCGCAACATCTGTCCACTTCGGGCTTCCCAGACATTTCACATTTCTTCCTGCATACAGCTCCTACTGAGTACCTCCTCGCGTCGACCAAACCAATCTCATACGAGTACACACGCCTCGAGCCTCTCCTCACCACATTCTCACATACAGTAGTCCGATACTCGATCCGAATCTCCTCCTCCAGACCCGCCCACTGTCCTCCCTTCTCATATTTCACAGGACAACAAAAGGGCAGGCAGCAAAACAAAACAAAGAGCAAAACAAATCTCAAAATCTGCGTCAAAAAGCAACCAGTATGTGTCTCCCGTGTCTGGAACACTCCCCCCCTCTCCTCATTCGCCTGGTTCTCTCTCTCTCTCTCCTCTCCCGTTGCTACCATAACACACACACACACACGACGAGCACAAGAAAGCTCGGCATGTATATTTATAGTACTTATTGTTCCGATCCTCACCCATTCCACCCTGTATCTTCCCAAGACGTGCCCTTTTTTCCCGCTTCTCCCTCCTTGTTGCAATTTTCATTTCACCCGCGTCCGGAAGTTCCCACCTCTGCCCGTCTTATCTCGTGTTCTTCCTTTCGTTTCCGCCTTTGACAGTCTCTAATAACAAATCACAGAGTCTGTGCGGGCTTCTCACACGGAATTCTCGGCTCAGAATAAGCTTACTGGAGACCAAAACCACACTCACCATCATACCACCGTACGACAATATCATTGCGAGGAAATCTTGGAAAAAATAAACAGCAACTTGTTCATTAGATGCGGCTCTAGAAGCTGCCATACAGAGAAGCAGTAGCACGATATCCATTCACCGGTTATTTCTCCTCGCAGCAAACCCTCACCAACTTCTCCAAACCATCAAACAAACAAAACAGCCCCCAACCATGTTCTACGAAACGCTCTACGTCCACGACGCAAAAGCAGCGGCCTGCCAGCCGACGCTGCCGTACAGAGCAGCGGCCGCCCCGGCAAAGGCCGCCTCCTCGTGCAGCAACAACAACAACAACATGATCCTCCAGGTCCCCAAGCCGCAGGCGCAGCGCCCCAAGCCGCTCGACGCCGACGACCTGACCAGGAGGCTGCACGTCGTGCTCGCCGAGCAAAAGGCCCATGCCGAGAGGAAGAAGCGCGCGAGGGCCGCCCTCGACGCCGAGCGCCAGGCGAATGCCGCGGCCGTGGCCCGCAACGCGAGCGCCCTGCATCCCGGCCAGCGCGGCATCGCCATGGGACCGACGGTTCCGTCTACGCAGATACAGAAGAAGGAGGCAACGGCGTCCAAGTCACACGTTCGAGGTGCGCCTCGAGACTCACACCAAGATGTCCCCAAGACGGACAGGCTCCACAAGGCCGGCATGAAGAATTCTACCTCGTCGTCTAGCAACAGGAATTCGGAGGATGCGCCACCGGCCAACTACCGTCATATCCCGCAGGTTGCTGCCTTGCAATTTGCCCGAACGACCACCACCGAGACGGTGACGGAGAAGCACCTCGTGCACAAGCTGTCCCGACAGGCTATCAAGCACCATGTGCAGGGCCCCAATGCAGCCGCTGGACGAGCACCAGACGTTGCCCCGGCTGAGCAGCACAAGGCGCTCCGAAGGGCGCAGAGCATGAGGGAGAGGCAGTATTATGAGCAAAACCAGTTCCAGCTCCAGCACCCTCACATCCTCGCCACCACAACGGAGGTGGATGAGAGGCCCGCGACGACCGCCCCTCATACATTCCATGAATACCTCCAATCCCAACGTGTAGACGCCCTCGATGAGTCAAGCAAGGAAATGCGAAGGAGGAGCATGGGTGCTATCCTCAGCATGATGGTGCCGAGAGATGCCGAGACGGCTGAGTTATCGCATACGTCGTCGGAGAACCAGTCTGCCCCCAGTCACTCTGATATCCTGCCTGCGAACCCTGATGAGCACCGTGTGGACTGGACCCAAAGTGACGAAGCTGCGATTCTTCAACAAAAACAGCAGCAGCAGCAGCAGCAGGAATCACATCCGCAGCTGCCGCAGCAGTCGCAAAAGAGCACGTCTGGTCCCAATGTTTTGCGAAAGGCCGAGTCTAAATGGGCTCTGCGAACGAGACTCGGTAGCTTCAGCAAGAAGGGCGACAAGCTGCCTTCGCCGACGGAGGAGAAAGACGTCGGGTCGCCCGAGCGGCCCAAATCCCCTACCAAGGCGGGAGGGCTCTTTTCGCGATTCAAGCGTTAGCTAGGCGAAGGCGTACAAGCTGAAATGAGATAACGTACCTTGAATAATCTGATTGAATGACTTCTGGATGAGGATGATGTAATGCTTAATATATGAAAGAGGAGGACTTGTACACGGTTATGCAGAGACGATGATGAGCGAGCTTGGTCGGAAGAGGTTGGGAAAGACGTCGAGTGGGCTGGCCGGCATATGCTGTTGGATCTTTGTCGACGAACAATTATACCCGTAGGGCCCGGCCACATAGGCCGCCGAGATCCGTACTCTTAGATGATTTCCTCTCTCTCTTCGTCTCAAGATGATTGCTCTTCCCCCCTTGGTAGCCTATTCGCGACGTCGTTCTTCAGCAAGTAGACGCTCAATGAGGGCCGCGTCTTGCTCAGCAACCTGCCGTTGCACGTACGCAGCCGCGCTGTTCTTGTCTTCCGTCTCGTTCATTATGTGCACGATCAGCTCGGTATATTCTCGTATCGCCTCGCCGTCTTTGCCGTCGGCCTTGCGGGCCCTTCGCAGAGCTGCTTTGCCGTTCTTGATTCCAATGTCGTGGTTCCATGCATTCCTGCCCGTATTCACCGGAAGGCCCTCCCTGAGCGACGCGGGTATCGCCCTCGCTGCCGCGTCGGGCCCATCTGACGGCGGCTGAGTTGCGGCATGAATCTCGAGAAGCTGATTTGGGAGGTTGGGGTACTTCTTGAAGAGGAGCTGGAGCTTGTCTGAGGTTGCCAGAACGCTGAAGGGGTTCGTTGGGTCGATGGCAGTCTGCGGAGGCGTGTTTGCGCTTGCTGCTGGCGGCTCGCTCGAGGGCTGATTTGTCGGCTTGGGCTCTTCTTTCGGCGCGTCTGGCGGATGGTTCTGTTGGTGGGCTTTGCTACAAGGGACGGAGCAGCTAGAATGGCAGTCAGCATTGGATCATTGATGTGTTTACTCCTCCTCCCAGGCGACAATGATGGTGAGATTAGAAACGTACTAAGGAAGACGGCATCGCGAGCACTTGTATTTCCCAGGATTGCTTCCGCAGACACCGCACAGAACCGCGCCCGCTTTCTGGACAGACGGCTCCTGCGATGCTGCCCTCGCGCTGCTGTCGCCGCCATTGCTCTGCTGCTGCCCATTCGTATCTGCTCGCGCCTCTGACACGTGCGTCTGCTGGTCGTGGACGCCGTTTTCACTGACGGGCAGCGCAGCCGTAGCCGCAGCCTTGTCCGAGGGCGCGGGCGGAGCTGAGCTCGTGTCAGCCTCGTCAAGAGGCTCTGACGCCATTTGTTTGGATTCGAACAAGGCTGTTTGTGAGGTCGAATTTGGTTTTCTTTTCGTTCTCTCGGGCTGACAGGCGCGTGGAAGAAAATGCGTAAAGGTGGTTGAATGTTGGAAGTCTAGTCTAGCGCCCCGCCTGGTACCGAACTTTTTTTTTAAGAGGTGCCTTTGTCGCGGTACCTTTGTCGCGGTACCTTCAAGTTGTTACCCAGGTTGTTCCCTCGGAGCTTAAGGTTATCTTGCCTTCAACTTCCAAGGCTCTTTTCTCGTGTGGCCAAGCACTGCTTTCTCAGCCCGGCATCAAAATACGAACTGCAAGTTCCTGAGAAGGCAAATCTCAAACTTTAACTTGTACTCCATAGTCGACAGTCTTGACAGGGATCATGGCGCGCGAACGAACATGTTCGCCAGGGCGAAAACTCTTGGTGGCCGTGCACCGTCGAAATGCAGGTCAGACAGCCGTCCGGCAACGTCATTGGTGCAGCTGCATCGTGCTATTTTCATCGCCTGCTGGGATTTCCTACAAATGAGCATCTTCAAACTTCCCCCTTTCGGCGCCTGCAGCGATGTAATTTCGCAGGACAAAGAAGCAGCCTGACGCTTGCTGCAGAAAGTCCATGCTTGTTTGGGCAGCTGTGGCGAGAGCAGCGAGTCCGAGTCTGCGGTGCCGGCTCTCGATTGGTCGGGGGGAAGACGGGCTGCGTTCTCGCTCTCACTGGCTGCAAGCGTGCACTGTCGGCATCGAACTTCAACTGGCATCGACTTCCGTATTGCTGCCAAACTTGCTGAGAGGAACGCCACTTGAGCGCCACTTGGACGCCTCGAGCCTGCCGCTTCAACACCTCCTGGTATGAGAAAGCAACGAACCGAGAAGGCCACCTTACAGTACGGGCTGCCTCGCGGGGTGGATCGCTGCCGTTCGCTGCTCGGTATGACTCCTTACGAGGACTTTCAGTATTCAGGAGCCCGTCATCCAGTATCCATTGGCTTTGTCCATACGATAATTAGCAACAGGCGGTAGGGCTACAGTGCCGCGCCAACGGATTAAGCTCCAGCTGGTAAGCTTCTTAGACTCGGGTCTTCTGCAGCTGGACGCGGTGCTTGCATCTGGTAGCTTCGAAATAGCCTCGACCTGAGGGCACAGTGCAGACGAGCGGGGACGGCCAGCTTGAGACGCCACCGAGTCACCACATGACGGCCATTGATCGAGCGCTTTCACAAGCACTCTCTCATTGCCGCGTGGACTGTTGTCCGGAGAGGCGTGCGTACCGTACCCCAGAAGGCTGATCTGATGCGAATCACAACCCATGCCCCAGGACTGCTTATTCCCATTTGCGTTCGTCCCGATCACCGTCTCGCTGTGGGCCGGTACGTGGCTGTACAGTATGGCACTGCTGTCTGTGACTTGATGCTGGAGATGCTGCGTCAATTGATGGATCCGCCCAAGGCCAATTGGTCCATTGCGCCGCTCCAACTGGAGCTCCGTCCCTCACAGCGGCTGGGTATATCCTGCAGAGCTGCAGAGCGATCCATCCGCGGCAAGCAGAGGGGATCGCGTGATGCCGTTTCAGCTGCCCGTCCCCTCCCTCCCCCGGTATCCCGTCCTCGTCCGGTACCTTGGCTGCTGCTTGGCTCTCTGGAACGCGCCTCGACGGTGGCCGAGCGAATGAAAGGCGCCCGCCGCTATGCCATGCTAGCCCGCAGAAGCTTGTGCTAGCTAGCAATCACCACGCCAATCTCGATGCCAGCGTCTGTGCCGTGCCGGCCACAAGTTGAAGCAGGCCAGGTGACTTGGGCTTGGAGACAGACTCGAGGCGGGGGTTCTGGAACCGGGCGATGCGATTTGCGGGGTGGCGATCCCTCGATTTGAGGTCTGGCTGGCCGAAAACTGGGGTTCCGTGTCTCGTCTCGTGCCTCGTCTGTCCAGTCTTTTCCTGCCTTGCCTGCATGTCGGCTTCTCTGCATGCGGGCACGGCAGCGACCTACTACTACATAACGTGCTGGGCATAGGTACATACTTTGTTGGTGTTGAGTACCTACGAAGCTGTCCGCAACCGGCAGCGCTCAACTCCAACAGTCCAAGCCAAAACTTCTGAGGATATGGAACTCGCTAACCTCTGATGCCCCATCTGCCTGGTATGCCTTGATCATCTATCAACTCTCGCTTCCACCAAGGCCAAGTCCATAAGGTTCTTGTCTCGATGCGCGGTGGCTGCTGAGCTAAGGTGGCGAGGCTTACTGGTCTCCATGATGGCGGTTCTTCTTCTCTGCCTTTGCGCCAAGTCAGCCATTGCACATGCAGCAAGCCGCAGTGCAACGAGTCCCCGACGGCGCTGGGGGGCCTCTGGGAGTTCGACACGATGATCGTCGATGGGGATTTTGGGTTTTTGTCTGGCTGTCTGGTTCGCTTTTCGACCGTTGGCTGAATGTCCAGCCGCACCTCCCAAAGTTTCTGCCCGCCCCTCCAAAATCATGGCCCGAGGGCTCCTCAATGCCGGGATGGCAATAAGGTAGGTAGTCAGTTCAGGCATACAAGACAGCGGGTTCGGTAAGGGTACTCTTTCGTACAGTTGGTGAAGCACTGTACGCCTGGTAGCACGAACTAGAGCTGCCTGGGATTCCCTCGAGGACACGCAGGCACCAGACGGAAAGGGCACGAAATGTAGGTATCTGCGGGTATTGCTCTGATTCTGCTAGTTCCGCTAATGCAGGTCGCTGGGAGGGGCCGGAAAATCACCAGCTCGGCCATTGACGCAAGAATCGAAAGAGGCATGATGTTTACACGGGGATATCTGCCTTGATAGCCAAGAATCGAGATAGAAGGCTCAGTATGTGCGATGAATAGAATCAAAAGATATTGGGACAGGCTTTTGAATAGTCTCCTGAGAGCGGCTCTCGTACGATCAAGCATCAAGACGATGTAAGAGCCCAGACGAAGGCCCTCATGGACTGCATGTGACAGGCTCCAGCCATGCGGGAGTGGCAGAAAGCAAAATACTATGCAAAGGCGGAAAGGAGCTTCGAAGACAAAACAGAGCATATGCAGAGTTGAGTGAGCGATTCTCTGTACGTCGATGTGAGTCAATGGCGCTGGCCGCGTGCCGGGCTTAGTATATGGCAACAGCCGAGACAAACGTATGACTTTGGATCTTGGTTCAGATGCTGGCAAGGCATCCATTATCTACGAATATCCGCCCTGGAAGTTGGTTATCCTCGGCTAGAGCATTATTTCTAGATCACGTTCACTTAGGTACCTTGGGTAGTGAGCGATACTGTCAAGTGGCACTGCTGAATAGTCCGATCTCAGCATGCTGAAGTCCTGGGAGAGTTTTAACTACCAGGCAGAATTGGATGCAATATTACGTTCTTCCCTCACCAAAGGGGGGGCAAAAACGAGAGTCATGCACCAGGAAATTGCTTGTACAAATCCCACCCAGACCGGTCACGGAGTTGTTTCTTGTACCTGCTCCATACGTTATACCCTGTCGTGCTTCTGTCTTGGCCCTGCAGGCGAAAAGCAAACAAGAGCGCAGTCTCCCCCGTTCCTGGAGGCGCGACTAAGGTAATAAGGCGAAAATGGAATCAACCGTAAGGCAAGCAATAAGTGGGATTATCAGAATAGGTCAGGCCAGTTCGGGTCGGGTAAGGAAAACCAGGTAAAGCGTAAGGTAGGTAAGGTCAGGTTGGTTAAGTGGTGGTAGCATCAAGGTTACGCAGATGCGACGCTGTTTGTCACCATTGGCAGCAAGCAAGTTCGGGGATGCCGGCGTTGAGCGGGCAATGCTCATACTACATCATGTACTGCAGCTCATATTTGACGACCATTTACTAAGAAGAGGAAGAGAAGAATAAGACGAAGGAAAGAACAGAAAAAGGAAGGAAAATCTCGGTAGAAGGACGCATTGCCTCCTTTGCCCAAGAAATGAGATCCAAGTCCCTGCAAAGATGCGTGGTCGATGATGAACCTGCACCTGGTTAAATGTCGATCTTGCGACACTGTCCACCAAGGGCCCGAATCGACTTACACCCATACCATGCGGTGACACGAATCGCCATGGCCCATCTTTTCCTCTCTTTTCCTTCTTCCTTTGCTTCCTTCTCATCAGATCCTAGCAAACATGCACAGGTTTGCTCTCGTGCTCTCCACCTTTGCACCGGCATCTCGAAACCAGGGCGCCAGGGGGAGCCCATGGCTTGCAAGCACAACGTACCAGGGAAGCCCTTTTGCAATTACTACCTACTTGTACTACTACCTATGGGACCCTCATTCAGCAACAAAACTCCGTATAAATCGATTGATTAGCGTGGAGCTCGCCGTCTAGATGCCTGTCCTGCCCGACCCTGCCTTGGCGGTATGGTATGAGAATTGACATGACATGCAGGACAAATCTCACGAGCGGAAAGAATTGAACGGCGGCCAGTTTGTGCATGCGACCAGAGTCAAGATACGGCATGGAGACACAAAAACCTCCTAAATGCTCCTTGGGTGCTCGGATACTGATGGACATGTCCAGGGCCCTGGGTGGTGCCACAGTGCAGACGAGATGTCGTTCAGTTCTAGGACCATTCGTCCGGCATTTGATGAATCTGCATCCAATGACAACTTTGAGACCACCGAGAGAAGAGAGAGTACCCAAATCCCTCGTCCTCTTCTGGCCAGCCAAGTGCTGAGAACCGAATCACACCACATGCACGACATCCCGCTGCCCATCTCCTCACCGTGAGATGCAAACTAAGGCCTGGGCAAACTCCCCCATTTCTCCTTTTCTCTCCAATCCAATGCAGCGCCCATCCAGCTTCGAGCCTTTTGTGCAGGCCCGGTTCCACGGCCACCTCGGGCCGCCACCTGGTCCAGCCCACATCGGCTGCCCTAGGCTCCATCGTCATCTCGACACTTGTTGCTTGGCTCGGAGCGCTGCGAGGGGACGAAGAGAAAGAGGAAGGTTCAGCGTCAGCAGCTGCGGTTGGTCCCTCGGCGACGTTCTGGATGGCTGAGCTGACATTTTCTATTTGGCCTCTTGTAGATGCTTCCCTCGCCTTCTGCCTCTTGTACTCTCTCTGACTTCAAGATCTTACCCGCGGGCACCACCTCCCGCCATCATCCGACAGAATCAACCTGCGGCGCATGTAAGTTCTCTGTGTGCCTTTTGGGCGTTCTGTGCCAGAGCCCTCCTCCAACCCGTCCGTAATGAACCCACCACCCATCCACCCACTTCCCCCCTGTTAGCCCTCCCATCTCCATGTTGGCTTTGCCTCTCCGTACCGTACCAAAAGTGTTAGCGCCCTCCTCATCCTTCATGCTTTGGCGAACAGGGAGAGAGGCGGAGAGCAGAATACGGTGGACCGTAAAGTTGGAAAAGAGCGAGAAAGGCGAGAGACGCAGAGAAGAGCAAACAGGAGATGGGAAAAAGCATAATTGCGACGCCGTCTCCTCTTTGCAAGCCTCTCGCGGACGCCATCATGGGCCGTCGTTCCAGCTTCTCCATATTATGAGACGACGTTTTCTGCAGTCTGCCTGCATGGCTCTCTTCCCCTCTCTTTTGGGGGAGCCCATCTCCACCCTCCCAGCGACGGCCAGCCTATCCGGATCGCCTAGTTGAGTGTCTGGCTGCAGCTCACACGGTCCGGCGAGGTATCTCGTGGCCTTCTGGAGCGCTCTGCCTGTGGAATTAACCTCGAGCTTGCGGTAGTGCTTGCAAGGGAGCTGAGAAGAGCCGGAGGATGCCACTGTCTGTCTGGTGTGCTGTGTACAAAGTATCTGCCAGCTTGGGCGAGTACAGCCTTGTACCTACTCCAAGCTGTGGGCGTATCGGAACAGGATCTGCTTCTGCTCTCTGTTATCCGGCTCTCTCTGTCCTTGTCCCATTGAACGCCTTGCCATTCGCGGCATTCATTCTCATGAACAGCATCTTGCACAACTGAGCAGCTCTCCAGTAATACTCCTAGGTAGATGCATCATCTTAGCAGTTCTATTGATATGTAATTCCACCTGCAAACTGCCCCATGCTGCCCACCCCCCGTCAAATCTCCATTCAACCTCCTGGCTCCTTGCATCTGCCGCAACTTCCCTTGTGCTGCAGCGCAAATGCGACGGTACCTGGCGGTTCGTACCTCCTCCAGCGCCGCGTGCCCCGTGCGTCGGGCGACCAGGGGACCCCCTCAGCGCTAGAGCCCGCTCTGCCCAGCGCTGTGCAGCGGCTCCAGTGCTGCTCCAGTGCTGCTCCAGTGCTGCTCCGACGCCCCCTCACCTCCCCCGAGAACCTGCTGCAGAGGGTACCTCGGGGTACTCCGGCCCCCCATCCAGCTACAGCGCCCACGCCACTGACCACTGACCTGCCCTGGGGCCTCTCGCTCGTCTCTCCACCGGTTGAAAACGTCGACGCTTGCGCCGGCCATTCTTCCAACTTCGTCGCGAACCTCTCGACCTTTCCCCCCACCTGCCATACGAAGACCGCGACGCCTTCAGAAGAAGCTCAAGTGACTCGAGCTTAACCTCTTGCCACAGTCCCGACGCTCTTCCTCTTTCATCTCCCGCTCACCTCTTGTTTCTTTCATTTCACTTTACATCTCCCCAGACAAGACATCGGTCCCGCATCGCCGAGCACAGTCGTCCCGCGATCGATCCCTCGGCCCCTGTACCTCTTCGTCTTGCAGCGCCTTGCCGAAGCTGCTGCCAAAAAGTACGGCTCTTGCGCTGGCGTCGTGCGTTGTCAGCCTTTGCTGCGCTTGGATTGGCGAGTCCCGGGGCCTCTAGCAGGAGAATCATGGGCCTCGACTGGCACAAGGCGCTTCTCCAGCTCTAGCAACACCATTGCCTCCCCTTCGTCTGCCCGCCGCTCGCCCATTTCCAGCGGCTGCGGATGCGTGCAAGGACGGAGCACATCTCGTCTGGTTCCCTCTCTCCTTACAGCCCAAATCCCTGCCCCCCTCCCCCAAACCGTCTCACACTCTCCGTTGTCGTCTTCTCTCTTCTCTCTTCTCTCTCTCTTTCGGGTCCTGGTTTAGACGCGCCGGCTTAGAAGTTGCTATACCCTCGGATATCGTCTCTCTCTTCCCGGGTCCATCGTCTACTTCAGGCCTCTCCTAATTCCCACCGACCGCCCAACTTCGTCACTGCCGCACCCAACCAGAGCGACCAGCATCTGCCGCGACACCATCGACACCCGGCACATCTTTCGCCATTCGCCACCAAAAAACCTTCATCGGCCTGTCGCGTCCGCTTCCAGTCGCTCTCGGGCTGGCCATCTATTTCCTCTCTGTCTCTCCGTATAGAGCTTTCTTTTTCCATTTGATTCCCCACATAGACCGTACCTGACTTTGTGACTGGTAAGTGAGATGCTCCTTGGGCCTCAGCTGGCATCACACCAGTCCCGACGCCATTCTCCCTTGTCTCTCCCCCCCGCAACTCTATGCACTTGCGGCAACCGAAGCGGCGGCAAAGGGCCTCGTCGATCAGATTGAAGCCTTCGCTGAGGCGGACAATCCCATCATTGCGCTCCTGTTTGTGCATCGGCCGGTTGCTCGAATTACATCATTCGCCGAGATTCCGTGCTGTCGTCGTTCGAGACATCTCGCCATACCTGCACCGATTGGGCTTATCACGTTCTGGACCGATGCGCTAACAAGCTGGCAGTTTTCCATCCTTCTTTTTCGAATTTCTTCCTCGAGAGTTATTTCCGTTCTATAAACTTCAAATACTTCCGACCACCTTCTTCTCGCATCTACAATCTACCAGTTGGCACCGCTGCCCAGAGACCTCACGTGCTGAATCTCTCCGCCTGAAACCCTGAACCTTTCCCTTCGTCCTACATCGCCGACTGGGCTTTGGAACGTCTCTCCTCTGTATCTATATACCGAATCAGTCACCACTCGGGAAAGGATCACGCACGCGAGCAAAAGCGACTCTACCCGAAATACACGAAATCACCTCTAGACTCGACTTTCGACCAGACCGACCATGAGTTCGAACGCAGTCAAGAACGGCTCATCGGCGAGACTGAACCAGGCGCCCTCGAACCAGTCACTGCTACTGGAGAAGGTGAATGCCAGGACATCGACCCCCGATTCCGAAGCGCTCGCAAGCTCCGAAGACGAAGGCGATCATCGCCACGAAGCCTCCCAATCCCTGGCACAGCCCGTGAAGCCGGTTCGCCGGGCCTCTTGGCTGAACGATACATCTGCACCCCTCAGCCGACCTCGGAAGGGATCCTTCGCGAGCAATTCCATGTCTCCCACCACATCCCACCCCAGCACTCCCTCCATCGAAACGGGGGCGGGAGCTTGGGGATCTCATTCCACTACATCAGTCATGGGCCGCGGCCCAGGGTCAAACTTCCCATGGGGGACTGGCATCTGGAATAACGATCGCAAAGACCCCCCAGCGAGACTCAGTGAAGTTCTTCCGTCTCCCACCTCGACGGTGCCCCCCGGAGCTGGAAACAACTCCTTCTTTGGCCCAGATCCTGGTCTTACTCCCACTACCTCGGCCTCCCGAGAGCCGGGCACCAACTCGCAGATTCCCTTTCCCATCCCGCTCCACCCCACTCCGAAGACCTACCGCTCGCAATCGTATTCCGCTGGACAGCTGGATCCTGAGACGTCACCGGGCTCTGGAATGAGCTCTTCGACGCTCCTCGGCCGAGCCCGCTATCCTACTCTCCAGCACCGACCCTCTCGGCCTAGCATGCTCAGTGAGATGGCCAGTGACGGGACCATGCTCGGAAAGGTCAAGGAGGTGGAGGATGACGACGACGAGGAGTCGTCGGAGTCGCTCCAGGGCTCGTTCCACCAGAGTGCCGAGTCCAAGACGATTGAGATGCTTGCACGGGAGAATGCCATGCTCAGGCAGCAACAACAGCAGCATCAGTATGGCAGCCGCCTTCGCCAGCGAGGTGCTCCTGGATCCTACCATGGCAACGGATACCCTCTTCGAGAGTTCGTTCCCGAGGAAGACTACGCCATCGATGAGCTCGACGAGTCGAATGACGGCGAAGCTATCGCCAGACGGGCGACCGAGAGGCGAATGAGCGAGTTTGGTACCGCAGGCCCATATCGCAACCCCATGGGCTATGACGCGCAGAAGGGGGTGCCCACACTGAAGAAGGCTCTTTGGTCCAGCTCCCCCAGCTATTTTGCCAACGACTTTTCTCAAAGCAGGCGACACTCCTTTGCCAACATGCCTACCCGACAGGGCTCCATCAGCTCCATTGCCGATTCGGTCGCCACGTTGGAGGCCCCCAACCCTGACAATCAGCTCAATCAAGGCTACCCGGGGAGCTATTCGGACAACGCCGCCTTTGGAGGTGCGAATAACGGTAGGTTACAAGCAGAAGCAATCAGACGGTATCGCGCCGCTACTGACAGATCTATTGCAGCCAACTTCTTTCCCGGAGGTGGCAACATGGCAGGCTCTATTCCTTCTGCATTCGGCAACCCCTACATGTCCCAGTATGGCATGCACAACCAGTTCGCCAATCGGCCGCCATCCCCCCATCGTAACGTGTACAGCGTGGGGCAGCCGAGACACAATCAGCTTTTGCATGTCGTCCTTTTCAAGTGCGCCAGGGCAGATGTGTTTTACATTCAGGAGGGAACCGGGCTTACTGTCAAGCCTGGTGACCTGGTCATTGTAGAGGCTGATCGGGGCACTGACTTGGGCACTGTCGCACGCGACAACGTCGATTGGCAGACGGCCAAGGAGCTCAAGGAGCATTATGCAGAGGAGCAATACAAGTGGCTGATGATGTATTCTCAAAACGCCGCGGCTGCCCAAGAAGGCTCAGGGGCAGGTCTCCTGGCTTCGTCCAATGGCCTTCAAGGTAGCGCGATTGGCGGGATGGGACCACCGAATCAACATCACATGCAAGAGCCAAGCGCTGGCGAGCTTCGACCCAAGCTCATCAAGCGGCTTGCTCAGAATCACGAAATTCACTCCCTCAGGGACAAAGAAGGCCAGGAGGCCAAGGCGAAGCGAGTGTGCATGCAGAAGGTCAAAGAGCATGGCCTTAACATGGAGATTCTCGACGCTGAGTTCCAAATGTAAGTTTTACCTCGTGTCTATGGCGAGGTGATGGCATATTGACTGACCGAATCTCTAGGGACTGGAAGAAGTTGACCTTTTACTACTTCGCCGACTCCTACATTAACTTCAACTCCCTCGTCACGGACCTTTTCAAGATCTACAAAACGCGCATCTGGATGTCTGCTATCAACCCGGCTTCTTTTGCGAGTCCTACTCTGGGGATCCAGGCACCGAGCGGGGTTGGACCAGGTGCCGTTGGCGTTGGTCGCGGTGCCAATGCCAATGACCGCCGCCAGAACCAGACCTCGCAGCAAGAACAGCAGTCGCAGGCCTTTGCCGGGGCGGCCCAAGTACGAGGAATGCGATCCGGCTATGCCCAGCCCCAGATGGCTGCGGATCGACAGGGGCCTCCGGCCACCGGTTTCCCGCCCTCCAACTACGCGTATGGAACTGCTGGTGCCTTTGGAAATGCACGGATGAATGGTGGATACACCTTGGGCATCAACCAGGGTGTCGATCCCTTTGCCGGCACTGGTGGATTCCCCCAGTCGGGCGATTTGCACTCCATCCGCCAACGATTTCCGACCTCCCAAACCATGCCGTCTCCCGGCCCTCACTCTCAAGGCGTGACTGCCATGTCTCCCCCCAACGACTGGACGGCTTCTTTCCAGGGCCTTTCTCTCAACACTCACTGAATATTGGACGGCAGAACTTGGACGAATGATCGCACGATTAGACTACAACATTCGTTTCTCTTTTTGGGTTTCTTTTTTGGGGCGCGCCGATTGCTACAACTTCTAAAGGATATTGAACGATAATGAAAGAACAAAAGAAGACAAAACATTTCTTTTTTGCAACACGCCTGGCCTATTCTTCACAAGTCTTACTTTCTCCTCCGGCAACGGCGGTGCTCAATGTGTACACCACAGGGGGCGGAACAAAGTTGGTATTGAGTAGAGGGGCCCTTCTCCGCGAGGCCTCTCCCGCGACTGTCGTTACCTCTTGAACATCACTTTTCTTTTTTTTTTCTATATACATACATATATACACATATCAACCCTCTTTGACTCTGGTACGGATAAGGGGTTTGGCTACTGGGCATGCGAGATCGAAAGAAATGGGGAAACGGGTATGGTTTTGCTTTCGCTTCCCCCTTGGCTGAGAAATTATAGACAGAGATTTTTAAGTTTTACGCATGCATGCCTGTAACTAATACACTATTCAAAAAAGGAAAACGGATTGGGTATGGCTAATGCCATGTACGACAAGAAAGACCTTTTTGTGAATTTTATCTTCTATTCATGTTCTTTCTTATGTCTAGTCTTTACGACGAACGGCAGTATGTTTCTTCCGCTATTAGGTCTTTTATACAGAATTTGGAATGCAATAGTCTGTGCTTATTCATGTGGGAATTCTTACTTTAAAGAAAATATGATTTTGCTATTGACTTTATGATTGACTGCCCTTTAAGGTGACGCGAGGTTCTGAATGTGTTGCCGTAGAGCTCTGAGGCCGTCTTTGACCGCTTGGCGGCAGAAGCGTAGAAATGCATGAAGGCAATGAGAAGGCGCTCCGTGAGCACAAATCTAATCATCGTTCTCTACACAGGTTTACTTGCTTAGGCAACTTACAGAACGCTGTTTTCAAGAGCTGCAGCAAAACCATTGACCTCGGTGCTGTATTCAATTCGAACACTGCACTACGTGCGTTGTCGGTACAGGGTACCTTATGTCGTCATGCTTGTCTTGCTGGGCAAGTCCTCGGCTGGAGGAAGGCACGACGCAGGCTCCCTTCCTCGATAATCCGTGAACTGCAAATCTCGCGGTCGAATCTCTTCTTCTATAATGATGTGCCGCTTCATTCTGCCTGCGAACTCTCTGTATACAGCACATTGAACAGCATTTCTCATTACTTTAGTATACGGTTCACTGTTTCGCCTCAAACATGCCAGCGAGAACCCGCAAAAGAAAAACGTCAGAGGACGGTAAGTCTGCGAATCCTAGTACGATGTGCAATTTTTGTGCGCCTGAAACTGCCTAGCTAATATGCTATATCTACGAGTATAGAGGAAGCAGGTACGGAGCAAGTCGCCAAGCCTGCGAGCAAGACGGCTCGGACGACCAAGAGAAAGCCCAAAGCCGCCCAGGAACAGTCGTCGAAGAGCGATACAGGGGCTTTGAAGAAAGGGCGGACGGGCGCCAAGTAAGACAGACCTGTGATCTGATGTGTGGCGATTGCATTGATTCTAACAATTACTTTGAAGGAGTGGTACAACTGCAGGTGGAAAGAAGCAGACAAAGCCTTCCGCTGCTGCGGCGAAGAGGGAGATACACAAACAAGCAGACGAGTTGCTCCGTATGCTGGAAAGATCGGATGACATTGGGTGATTCCTTCTTTCTTTCATATCCTGGTATTGCCGTTGCCTTGAGTGTCCTTTGATGCTAATGGTTGATCATGTCAAAGGTCACAGAAGGGATCTGGCACTGCTAGAGGCAGTGTGTTCAGCGCCAAGGTCGATGCGATTCTCAAAGATGGTGGCGACCTTGGATTCAACAAGGGAGCTGATACACGGTGCGTGGTTTATGAGAGTGTACGTGGACATATAAAGCACTTGCGAGAGTTGATGGACGAATTCGACACTGTCAACAAGAGCTCCATCAACATCAGGAAGCCTACCGAGGGCCAGCAGTGGGCTCAAGATGCACAAGATGTGGCAAAGGTGGACAAAAAGGCAATGGAAGTTGCTATCCAGATGCTCAACAGCGTTGTGATTGCCGGAGAGTACGCAAGTCCTTTGCGCGCATCACCAGGCTCTGGCAGTGAGGTCGAGCAGGCCGCTTGGAGGTGGCTGCAAGGTGGCATGCCAGCAGCCGAGGACACTTGGGGATCGACGGCACGAGAGACTGTCCGGGCGTTTGCGGGAATTACCAAGCTTTTGTCATGATCTAGACTCATCAAGATCAATATACCCCAAGTTTGCCTGCAGTGATTGCTCCAGCAGGTGTCGACCTTAGCTCGGAGAAAACTGCAAGCCCTCTAGCTTTCACCTTGTGGATCATCTCCGGTGAGCTCGCACGCACGCACCCTCACCTTGATGACTCAGCAATTCACCACCTCAAATCGCACACGAGGGCTCTGAGGGGCAAGTCCTAGCCCGCTAGCACTACAAACGGTCTAGCGCATCGCTTAACCCACAAACAGGCCCTTGGAATTTTCACGAGTCGCTTTTCGGTTTTGCAGCCTCCTCCGAAATTTCGACATCCCTCCCTCACGATCAAACCACCTTCAACTCACCCTCGGCAGGATAATATCTGACCTCAAGCCGGTACGTCTTCTTCCTTCCTCGTCCTATAGCAACCATCAATTCCTTTCCTTCTTCTTCTCTTCTGCCATTGAGAAGGGAGCGAGCACGCAAAGCTAACATTTGACCTCGTCGTCATCGCCGCAACAGCCAAAATGGGTGCCCTCAAGTATGTCGAAGAGCTCCAGAAGAAGAAGCAGTCCGACCTGGTCCGCTTCCTTCTGCGCGTGCGCTGCTGGGAAGTACGTTGCCACCACCAATGCGAATAGCTACGGGCACACAAACTCCCGAGACGAACGATATACCAAAAAAACGTTCTCTGTGGACGAGGGGGTGGGCTGGGACTAGGATTGAGGTCTCGAGGTGGTTTCGGGAAGAACAACTCGAAGTCTTGAAGATTCTCTGCTTCTCTCTTTACTCTCTCTCTCTTGTCGGCCTCCGTCTTCACGATGGATTACGTCTGCAGAATTTTTCCGGAAACTGAAAAATTTTGCACGATTGGTTCGTTGCCGTCAAACGGCGATGAACGACAATAAGAGAGAGACGGAAGAGAACGGGAAACTAAGACGAGAGCTTTCTTCTCACCCTCCTCGCTGCCAACACGTCTACACTCCCAGCCCATTGAACCCCCCTTGTCTTTGCTATACACTCGTTGAACATATGCTGAGAGTGCATCAATATAGTACCGTCAACTGAACGTTATCCACCGCGCCTCCCGCCCTTCGCGCCCCGACAAGGCTCGCCGCCTCGGCTACAAGGCCAAGCAGGGCTACGTTATCTACCGCGTGCGTGTCCGCCGTGGTGGCCGCAAGCGCCCTGCCCCTAAGGGTGCCACCTATGGTACGTTTTTCCTCCCCTCCCGCATCTGTTGTTTCTCGCTGCACAGAATACTGACATGAATCGCGATCAACAGGCAAGCCCACCAACCAGGGTATCAACCAGCTCAAGTACCAGCGCTCTCTCAAGGCCACCGCCGAGGAGCGTGTCGGCCGCCGCTGCGCCAACCTGCGCGTCCTCAACTCGTACTGGGTCAACCAGGACTCCACCTACAAGTACTACGAGGTCATCCTTGTCGACCCCAACCACAAGGCCATCCGCATCGACCCCCGCATCAACTGGATCGTCAACCCCGTCCACAAGCACCGCGAGGCCCGCGGCCTCACCTCCACCGGCAAGCGCTCCCGCGGCCTCAACAAGGGCCACCGCTACAACAAGACCACCGCCGGCCGCAGAAAGACCTGGAAGAGACACAACACCCTGTCCCTGTGGCGCTACAGGTAAGCGCCTTCCGCTGGGATGCGGAAGCGCTGACGGCGGCGTTGCGGCCGGAGGCGTTGTTGCGCGGCGGCGGCGTTCTGTGTGTTCTCCTGGGAGGGCTTCCATGGGGGAGAGAGGTCTTTACTTCCTCTTCTTCCTCCTCTTCTTTTTCGGTATTCTGCGGCGTGTTATTCCTCTTAATTTCCGGAATAGCCATGCTTGCAGAAGAAGAGAGGTCAGCACGATAACATGAAGAACGGAAAGCCGAGGGGCGGAGTTGAAAACGAAAAATGGGCCAAGGGATTTGCTTTCTTTGGTAGTTTTTACACAAAATGGAAATGGCATGAACACTTATTTCCGATGATACACATCGGGACCTGCGATGATGATATCTCTTTTTCCCTTACTCTTTTTTTCTCTTATGTAGAAAGCAATTGCGATTGTGAACTCTTCAAACGTTCATATCCTCTGTGACTGTGCCCCCCTTCCGTCACTCGTATACCAAGCTGTGTCCCTTCGACTGGGTCTTGTCATAAGAGGTCATCCACACGCAATAACAGGGAAAGTTATTATTGTAATCACGGCGCAAAGGCATTAAAACTTATGATAGAGACCGTCAGAATCAGTCTCAACTCCGGCATCATTTTACTATAGAGAAAGAAGGAAAAGAGAGCAAAAGAAGTCTTATCTAAGTACAAGTTCAGAAAGCTCGAACCCATCCCCTATCCTCTAAGACCTCCCCCTGCCAGGGCAAAAACAAGCCCGAAACCACACAGACCGTCCAACCTAGAAGAAAACTGCTGATTCGCCTGCCTCATCAGAGAGAGCTTAACCTATGGCTCCCAAAGTCCCAGGTGGTCGTGTGCCTTCTCCCTTAACATCATACAAGCCCCAACCCGCAGTTGTTCTGGTCCGAAAAGAAAATGGAAAAGAAAAAGAAAACGCAGAAGTAGTGAGAAAAGTCAAGAGGAAACAGGAAATATCCAGCTACCCAGTTCTACCCATTCGCAACATTGCCAGTTGAATTCGCACCAAGACCCAACCACTTTGTCGTGGAATTTGCGTTTTCTCCATCTGCGGCCTCCGTGAAGCTCCCAGCTTATAGACTCCATCTTGCGTTCGGCTGCCTGCCTCAACTGGATTGGCAAGTTACAGATCTCTTTAAGGACCTTGCTGAATTCCACGTGCGGCGTTCAGGATTCCAAGACATGTGTGCGTAAACGGCTTGACTGTCGTGATAAAGGGCCATTCCTGACCGTAGAACTGTGTACCAAAGGGGAAAATAGGGAAGAAATGAAGCACATCAGAAGACAAGAGAAGAATCGAAGATCAGAAGAGAAGAGTTGAAGAATACATTGGACGCCGACCAAAGTAAAATGGCGACGGTCCAAGTATAGATACAGGCCATGATCGAGGCTAGAAGGTCGCCTGGATTTGCTCTCAGCTCACAGCAGCTTCGACCACCAGGTGAAGAGACCACTTGAGGCCCATCGTGACGAATTTTTTTTTCTGGCTTTTTCTTGCTTGGTTCGTATTATACACCACAACGCAATCTCTCGCCAATGATGTTGCTCAGACCCTGAGCAGACCGATTCTGAGGAAAATATCGCGCTCGAACTCTAAGGAAAAGGTGAAAAGAAAATGGAAATAGTGTAACCATCATCGCCGTGCCGCATGAAGTCGTATTGCATTGAATGGCCATGAAGAAATAGATCGAATGCGAGAAGGGAAAAATTAGGGGTACAAGAGCACAGGCGCCGAGGGTCATAATACAGGCGATCCGTTGCGTTGAAGTGAGAACTTTTAGTAAGGGGGTCTCCAGCGTGCCTCACCGTCGTCCATCGGATTGTACTGGGGAGGTTGAATGAGGCCACTTGGGCCGGAAGCTGCAGAAGAGGGCGGCATCGACATCGTGGTGTTTCCGGAGAAAGGAGGCGGTGCCTGCTGGCGCATGCCCTGGCTTCCGGCACCATGAGCTGCCCCATTGACACTGCCGACGCTCGTAGGTAGCACAGGAGGCAGCACCGGAGGAAGCACCGGAGTGCCAGAGAGCCCTCGGCTGTGGCTCGGTCGCAGTGGGATCTGTCCCTGCGTGTTGTCGGCCGGCGTGGCTTGTCCGCTCGAGGCAGCACTTCCGCGATTGTCATAGGCGGCAATCTTGGCTTGGATCCGGCGTCCATAAGGAGTTGTGCGAATCTTGGGGAGGACGGGGCGAATAGCCTCCACAAGGCGGTGCTTCAGCTGGGGAGTAGAGAAGTCAAGGGCCGTCTGGACAACGTAGTTTGCAAACGAATCTTGGAGGCATCCCTCAATGTCCCCGAGTATCTCCGAGACGATCATGTCCTTGGAGGGAGGCTGAGCGCAGCGCAGGCATTTTTCAATCACGTTGGAGCTAAACTTGTGACGAGAGAGCATGCTGATGCAGCCCTCGAACGAGGCGACAATGGGCTCGGTGAAGGTGGGCTCGTGGAGGTCAATGATGTACTGGACAACGTAGTTGCCAAATGGATCCTGCACGAGGATGCGCGCGTCCTTGGTGATGCATTGGATCAGCCAGAGTTTCTGATCGCCAGTGGCGTGGTCGATGCAACGCTGCAGCACACAGCAGCCGTGTCTGTGAGTTCCGACCTCGACACACTTCTCGCCAACAGCATCAAAGATGAACTGAGCATCAGAGGCGGTAAGCTTGTTGAGGCACTTTTGGATGACGTGGTTGCCGTTGAGATCTTGGATGAGCTGGACAACTCGGTAGCGAAGGGCTTCGATGATGAGGTGGACTTGCTGAGGAGTGCTGACTTGCTCAATCATCTTTTGGAGGGCCCTTGTACCGTGTTGGTTCAGGGCGATGCGCACCATGTCTTGAGACGCGTTCTGGATCAAGACAGTTCTCTCATCGTCATTGCAGAACTCGAGGAGCTTTTGGCACAAATAATTACCAAACGGATCCGTCATGAGCTCGATGACATGCTGATTGGTCTCGAGCCAAATCATGTGAACTTGATCACTATCGCGTTCCTCCAGCTTCTTCTGGAGATAGCGGCAGCCATGTTGGTCTTTGCACAGTTCGTAAATCTGGCCTCGGAAAGACTCCAACGGCATGTTTTGGTACCGAGACATGGCTATAAAGAGGGCATTAGAATGATGAGCTTGAGTAGAGGGGATGGAGTCCTTGGCGCTCCTACACTCACCTTCACTGTCCAGTTGTCGGCGATGCTGGATAACTCGAGCCTGGCTATCGCGGTGCTGACCGCTCGGGGGAGAGTAAGGCACATTGCCGTATGGAGAGTAACTCTGTGGAGAGTAGGCATTTCCGTTACCAGCGCCGTTGATGTTCAACTGCTGCATCCCGGCAGAGAGCGCATTGCCCCCATACGACGAAGAAGACGTGGCGCTTGAGGGGGTGTAGCGGTAGAAGCTGGCGACATGCGAGCTTGATGCCGATGCTGAACTGCCGGGAGAGGCCATCGGCGCAGCGGTGTGCGGCGTTGCGAGAGGAGCCGCGGTTGTCATGGTTGGCCCGAAGGGAGCAGCGCTTGCCTGGAGGGCTGAGTTGATGGACGGATAGACAGCGGCCTGCTCACGACTGGCGTTGACGCCGTTGTCGTTGGACAGCTCGCGAGCATGCCTGATTGGCATGGCACCAGCAGGAATGCGGCCGATGCTCGCATTGTGGTTATGGAAATGCTGCTGGGCATGGTTATTGGCAATGGCGTTCATCATCGAGGCACCTCCAGAATTTTTGACCGTGGGGATGTCGTTGGCAGAATAGGAACTCTGGAGCTTGGGCGGCGCGTGAATCGCTTGAGGAGCACCAGAGACCTCGTTCGCATGATCAAGAGAATGGCGAAGAGAGGTGGCGCGAGCTCCAATGTTGCCCGCGTCGCCAGTCTGGCTGGTTGAAAGGCCGTTGATGGCCGACATGCTGTGTTGAGTGCGATGCCGGTTTACGCTCGTTCTCCAGTTGTGTGACGCCCGCGCCTCAGGATTAGGCGAGGGTGACAGAGCAAGATCAAGAGCTGCTGAAGACGCCGACAGCTAAGAGAGAGAAGCAGCAAGATTAGCAAGGTCGAGAATCCACTGAGAAGGAGAGCCAGGCCGGTATTACATGTGCAGTGCAAGAATACGGAGGGTGGATGTAGGGATGCAAAGTAGAGCAGTGGTAGGGAAAAGAAGAGAAAGAGGGGAAAGAAAGAGAAGGAAGGGAAAGAAAGGAAATCAAATTGAAGAGGAGAAATGCAAACGCCAGTCGGTGGCCAGCTGGGTGAAGCGAGGCAAAGGGGAGCACTGCCAGCTGCCAGCTGCCAAGCGGCCGTTGTCCGATCACGGCAACCTCAAAATTTGCCATACAAAGAAAGACATGGGAAACCGGCCATCCACACTGAGGTTCAACTCTTGTCTCACATCCAAAGCATTGGGAACGAAGAACGGAGCGAGAAAAGAAAAGGTGAAGCGAGGCTTACAATCTGATCGTCACGGCGAACAAGCGTGGGGAAGCTGTCGTCAGGTGGGTGTCCTCCAGATAGATGGTTGGTTTCGTCTTCGCCAAACAAGAAACGTGCAGTGTTGGTCTGATCAAGGTTCAGGTCGTAAAATCCATTCCTTGTCCGGGTGACGGGCATCGAATATCTGTTTGTTCTTCTATGATCAAGGGATGGTCAGCAGATGTAAGGAAGATCTCCAGCTCGAGGCAAGTCGAGACGCGAACAAAGTTGTGGCAGCTGGGGTTGCAAGCGGGCAGTGGGAGCCGTGTGCGCACGCAAGCAGTGTTGCTCGGTGCTGGAGCTGCATCACGGGCATCATTCCTGATGCTAAGCCATAGTAGCATATCGTGAGAGAATCAGCCGCGTGTCTGCACTCCGTGCTCCTGCAAGGCAGCTCATACAGGAGTCGAGGTGCACCAACACCTCCTACCAATACAACTCCGGGACCAAGCAATTACGCGCTTATCGAAGTATGCAGAGATTGAGGAAATGGGTATCGAGCAAGGCTTTTTGTCTGTCTACTTACGAGTTGGTCGATCTGTGGCTGCTCGGGTCTTGGCGAACAGCCTCTTCCTTGTCATCGTCATCGCTGTTGCGTCGCGTGGTAGGGACGGATCGTGATGGCATCTGGTGGTCGTCGAATCCGAATCGCTGCTGGAACGCACCCGTGCCAGGGGGGGAGGTCAGAAGCGATCCAGAGCGAGATGGTCTGTTGGACAAGTCTGGCGGAGAGGTCAGGCTCGAGGTCGAGTAGCGGTTTGGTCGCGAGAAGATGCCAGGAAAGCCGTTGTTGGTATTGGTGTTTCGGTACTCTGGAGGCGTGGTCGGCTCGGATTGATGCCCAGCAAATCTGTTTACCTCTTCTTCCATCTGCGCCAGTTCGAGAGCCTCTCGTCGCTGTTGCTGGTCCAGTTTTTGCATCTCGACTTCGAATCGCCGCCTCTGTTCTCGGATCCTCTCATATTCTTGTTTCTTCTTCTCTATCTAGAAAGTGGAAAGAGCAGAGTCAGCCGAGCTCGCGATTCCAACTCTCCCGATTCCTGTCAAGCTTTGAACAGCGCCCAACCCCGACGGCAGCGGCCGTGGGCGGGAAGCTGTCGCGCTTGAAAGCCATCGATCTCGCAGGCAAGGGGGCTACCTACCAATTGGACCTTGTGTAATGCCTGCACCGATGCCTGCGCCGGAGAGTCAGCCATTGTCGCACGTAAACAAGACAAACCAAAGCTGGGTCTACGCAGCGAGCAGCGGTGGACCAAGGCTGTCCTAAGCCAAAGCGCCTGCAACTCACATTATTATAGTCTTGAGAGGCGTCGATGACACGGGACGAGGACGCCAGGGAGTTGATGGAAGACAGTGTCTGCAGGAGCCCCGAGTCGGTCGTGAAGCGGCGAGGCAAGGAGGAGCGCAGATCATGATTCGCAGGCTGTTGCTGAGGGATGAGAGCGGCGCCGCGAGGAGGTGAGACAAGCGGGTTGATGGATGGTTCGTTCCTCGGCGGCTGCTGAGGGCGGAAGCGCATGTCCTCCATGGTTGGGGCGTCGGGGGAACGAGGGACGAACAGGACTCGTACAGGCCGAATTGGCTGCGCTCGGGACGGGGTCTGTTATATCACTGCAGACATGAAGCAGACGGGCAAAAGTCAGCACAGCTTGTCGTTGTGGACGACGAGGTTAGGGCCAGGCACAAGCCGGCGACGCTGGAGGAGGCGGGGTGGGATAGGGTCAAGGGATTGGACAGTTGACGAGACAAGATGCTCGGTGTTGCAGCCAGGACAAGGATGAGCCGGTGGATGCCCAGATGGCCTGGGCTGGGCTGGACTGGGGCCAGCGCGCCCGGCAGGGGTCTTTTTGGCGTGCGTCCAGCGTCCAGCGTCCAGCGTCCGGTTCCCACACGTCGTGCTGCAGGACGATCAGAGACTCGCGGAGGCCAAGTCGTCATCGCCTGGCTGCCAGCTCAGCATCATCAAGCTGATGTTGGTTCGGCTTCGGGTTTGGCGGATGGCGATGGCGAGGTGAAGCGAGGTGAAGCGAGGTGCAAGCCAGAGGAGCGGATGGCCAGGGCCAGAGCCAAAATCCAGTAGCCAAAGCTTACAGCTAAAGCCACAAGCTAGACGCAGCGCTCAACGCCGGTGCCAAGGGCAGGGAGGCGTCCATGGCCAATGTCACTGCCTGGCCAGCGTTTGCTCGAGCTGAATGGCTGGCTGGCAGAACGTGCTTGTGCTCGTGCTGGTGCTCCTCTTCACCCGCATTCCGACGATAGTGTCCTGGTTGTACGAAGCACCAAGGACTCAATGTCGGCCGCCCCCATCGAGCCAAGAGGGCATGTGAGAGCAGCAAGGAAAGCCAGCGGCGCCAGAAAGCCGCTGAAACCTTGCGTTCTCGCTTCGACATGCTTCGGCCAAAATTATCCTCTGGGGAAGCGAAGAAAGGCCAAGGAAAGAGGGAAGGATGAGGTTGGTGGATGCGACGTCTTGTGCCCGCAGCCTTGGACAAGCATCTATCGACAACAACGGTGGGAAATCCAAAAGGAAAGGGACATGAACGACCAGCGGGACGAAATTGATGGCATTGAAACACGCACTGGTTGGCGTACGTACCTCTATTTGCAATGTGCAAAAGTTCAAAAAGAGAAACGAAGGACGGTACAAGCGCAAGAAATCATCCGTACACGATGACTGACGCCGAGATGTCTTTCGCTCTGTAGGGCCGTTGCGCGCAAGACGTCCAAAGCCGTTGGCTCTCCCCCAGGAAAGTCAAGGTAAGAAAAGAAGGTCGGAACGGAGCCGGAGGAGCAAGACAAGCGGTTATGGGTACAAGGGGACAAATCCGAAAGCTCGTGAGGTGCGAGTATCTCAGATCTTCCTTCAGAAAGACACAAATACAGGGGTTATAGCGGCGAAGAGCGAGGAAGCAAGTCGGAGAGTTGGCAAGGGAAGAGGGAGGCCGGCCTGAAGCATTCTAAGTAGAGATTTGGGGAGATGATGAAACATCCAGCAGAACGGCGCTACTCCGTAGATTTTCTGGAGTCCTGTTTAGGCAAGTGGCGGAGGACACAAATTCGATCAATGGAGGTACAGACCTGGAAACTCGTAGCGGTTAGAAGGCTGCTAAGGCACTGCCCTGAGCCCTGAACCGCCCAATCGTTTAGTGGTCAGGGGCAGACGTTTAGTGACGGAACTGGGATGGTTGGAGGCGGATAAGGCGGACAGATGTCGAGAGGCTTTTGGCGGACGCCTTGTTCTGGATATGGCGGCTCAAAAAAGTGTGATGGAAAGCTTGGTTCAAGGCTTCCCAGCTAGGCATGATGCTAGGACGAGTCTCAACAAGCCAATTCCCCAGCACGGTGATGAAGGAATCCCCGCTGCTTGCCTCCTTGCAGTTGGAATTGACAGATGTTGTACGAAGTCAACCAGCAGCAACTCACTCGCACATAAAACGAGTGCATGTACTCCGTATGCCATCCGATTTTGCCACTTACATTGGCTCTCCTCCAGATTTGGATTCGCCAAGGTTTTGCTGGACTCAGGGGAGTCCCGAAGCCCAACCATAGAGAGACCGTGTGAGTCGCACTCACTACTTGCTTGCTAGTGGTTTCTCGCTTCGATTTGGCCGAAACGAGAGTTTCTGTGATGGCTTTAGCGCAAGACCTGCCCAGAATGGGGAATGACTCGGGATGACTTGTCGTCACTTTCATGGATGGATCACATCACCTACCTTCAGCCTGCTAAATTCTTGCAGCCCAAGTACACCTTGCGCCAAACTGCCACGGAAAAGCGCCTCTGGCAGATGTATGTTGAACGGTCCTGGGCGACAGGGCGAGACAAACGGCGCCGTGTCCACTGGTCTGCAGCCGTTGAGCATGTACATATTTGTAGCATGCATGTAGCATGTAGGTTGGAAGCTGTGGTAGCTGTATGTCATCTGCACGAGTGAGTTGTTTGCACTTCAAGTGCATCTTCATTGCATGCCGATGCAGCTGTGGGCGCATTGTCGAGACTGACACGCTGCTGGCGAGCGTACATGTATATACACGTACCTGGCTGAATCGAGCATCGCCGCGATTGGCCAATTCGGAGCTTCACGGCGAATTGCGTCGACGTCCTGGTATTTGGCTGCCTTATGAAGCTCGGTACGGTACAGGCAGGGTAGTGAAGCAGATGGAATACCGGCGCGATATGGATATGGATATGCCTGCAGGTACTTGCAACTTGTTATGGATCGAGGAGCAGCATTCAGGCCCAAGTCGAGCAGGTTGGGCTTCCAGTTAGTACAGAATCGGTACGAGACGCATCCTCGCTCTTCTTCTTGTGCCCTTAGCAACGCAACCTGCAACGCCACGCCGGCAGCCTTCAGAACTCGAGAGGCGCTGCAATTGGACGTCCGAGATGCAAATCGCATGCATGGCGCGCCGTAATTACAAACCTCATCAGCCATCCGACTGTGCAGATAGTGCTGCTATAGAGCCCAGTAACAGAGCAGAATCGGAGCCGCAACGGGACTGGTGGCGATGCTCTCAAGTCTGCTTCGTAAACGCAAGTCAGCATCCGACAGAGCTGCAACCACGCCCTGTACAAAGCAGTGCAGCATGTAGACGCCCCAAACCGTGCAGCTTTGATCCCGCGTCTGCCCCTCATGGCTGGATGTATGTATTGATTGTTCAATAATTACCCCATATAGATACTACCTTACCCTGGGCACTCCGTAGAGGAGTCATGGTCAAGTATTCAAGGTGAGATCAGACCTGCTGATTGTTAGTATCTCGCCGGCTGGTACGAAGTATTACCTACCAGTCAATTGATCGCCTTGCACACCTCGCTCCACCTCCGGTCAAGCCCCCTTGAATGCCGGTGAGAACTCGAAGATTTCTGGATATCGTCTTGCTGTTCGGCGAGTCTCTCGTGGTCCCAAGATGGCCTGCAAGTGACTTTTCCTCAAGTTGAAGTTGAATGCCAAACATCGAACTGTCCTGAATATGATACCTTTCTTATTCTGTAGACCTTCTGAAGTTTCATGAACCGAGAGACTTCCGGCGTTGCAAGAAACAGCGACCTTAGTAGCTTCCATTTGCGATATCAAGATACTAATGTATAGGGACTAAGTACAATGGCAGGAGCACTGGACCTGGCAGTGACGCGACATGACGATGGATGTTTAAGCCTCAGGCACATTGAAATCTCAGCATCACCACCTTTCATACTCTTCAACTTGACACCGGACATTTTGCTCTTTTACCGATGATTTCTTACGCCTCGTGCGCGGCTCGCCTCCAGACCCATGCAAAAGCCGACAGACTGTCCGTCACTGCGGGCGACAAACACCGGAGACGCCTCAACCCGTATTACAGGTAATGCTCACGCTCACGCCCGCAGGCTTACAACATGGGGCTCTCGGTTTCGCGCTCCATCCATCGAGAAATCGACCTGCTTCATCATTGAACAGCAGCGGCTGCCTGCCAGAATTAGAAACCGCGAGTTTATCTGGACGTTCCACGAGCGGCTGAGGCGGGTAGTACCTCCGATCGCTTCGAACCCAAGCGCCTCTTCCGGCGGTCTCGATATGCGAACGCCTGGCCCGAATACAGGCCCCGACTCGGCTTCCTCACAGGACCAACGATTGACTGTGCTCCGCGCTAAAACGTGAAGGAGCGAGGGGGTCTCTGGGGGACCCTGGTCTGGATCTTCTTGATGACTCGACGAGCCTGGAGAGTTTGCTCGCTAGCCGGCTCCTTCAAGCACGTCGTCTCAGGCTCGAGGAATGCCATATCCTGGAACCGACACAGGCACGTGTACGCATCTGGCGGTTGGTTGAGGTCACCTCAGCTCTTATCAGCCTCTGCTACATGTCTCTGGAGGTGATTTTTGTTTTCTTTTCTTGTCTGTTCATCTCGGTATCGGTTGCCTGGTGCGAGGCAGGGCTGCCCCATACAAGCCCGGAGCGCAGCACCTAACTTGTGCCCTAGCAGAGCCGTTCCGTGGCAGCAGTGAACTATGCACGTACGTATGTGATGCATACCTTAGACTAACTACGTCTGTCCTTTGTTCATGCGCAGCAGATGGATCTCTTCACTGCCAGCAGTGCCCTGTTCGCAATGCAGTGCTACGATGCGCAATCTACTCCGTACGCAACGCTTGCTCGTACAACAATGACAGCCATCTCTTCCACGGCGAGAGATTAAGCACGAGCGCGAACACAGCAACGTCGACTTTTGAGTCTGTGCACTTCCTCGGGGCCAAGCTTCCAGACAGGGGCTGGTCTTTGATATCGCCCAATATGAGTTGCAAGAGGCTTTCAGGCGGACGTGCGGGGTTGCAAGGGGAGCTGTTTGGCCTCAACTTGTCGCCTCGCCTTTCGTTGGCCGAGATTGCCGCTTTCCTGCCTCCTTGACCCGCAAGAGGCTGTTCTCGAAAGCATTTCGTCATCAGAAGTGAGAGCTGAGGAGGCTAGGCTGGATTGAACCTAGAGATGGATCTACCAGCATCCTGCATAGCCTTAGATGCGGTTTAATTAAGCACCACGGATCGGCTGCTCTGCGAAGGGAGGGGTCCAGCTGCCGTGCTGTAGTAGCTTGGAGCTGAGATGCTTTGCTCCTGGGAAGGTTCGTCGGTGTCCTGCCTCAACGCTCCCACTCTTTCAGCATAAGGCTTGATGGCTATACAATGTTGCCTCGCTTTTTTCATTGCCCCTTACTGACCATGCTACCGGTCGTTCCACCGAAGCGAGCCATCATACTTTGATTCTGATACAGACAATTCGACTACTGCGTGATTGGTGCGATGGTGATAGTGAGTTGGTGGTGTGGGCCTGGTTTGGCATACTTGCCTATATATTAAACTGAGGCCACAATGCCCAACTGGCATGAGGAAACGAGTTCACTCTATGATCTCTCATATATATATGTGTGTGTGGCGATTCATGTATATATAACCCAAGGTTACATGTATCTAAAGTCATTGTTAGGTGGCAACAGCATGAGGTAGATGAAGTCTCATGCTATGTTAAGTGGTGACATCTCTTCCTAGCTTGACGGAAGGGAAATGTAGCCTTTTATCTTTGGTATGAGCAAGTGAAAGAGGCCACTTAGATATTGAAGAGATTGCTCGGTTCATCAGATACCGTCGAGCTATCAAACGTCCCTTTTCCAGGAGACTTGAGGAACGGATCAGGCCCATTAATACGACTAAAGATGGAGGCAAACTTCGGTCCAGAAAGGTTTCTGCCCAATCCCCGACAAAGTACACGGAAATATAAAGAATAAAATATACTATATATAATCTCTGGCCATCTCTTGCAAGCGCCTACAGGTTACATACAAGTAGCAACGCCGGAAGATTCCCGATGTAACACCAGAATGTCGTGGGAAAAGGGGGTGGATTGAAAGGCGGCTAAACACAGGTCATCAATATGGATATATGGGATTCCGTCGATGTACTGTCCTCTCTCTCTCTTAGGCAGAGACTAGATGCCTCTGTATCGCGTTTTCCCCGGTACAACGTTCAGTGTCTGAGGCTCTGTTTGCCGTTTTCCAGCTTTAATGTGAGAGGCCAAGGGGTCGGCGAGAGATCCGCCCGTTGTGCTCTGGGCGGTGTGGAATAACAGGAAACAATTGCCTTCTTCTTTTTTGCCATTGAAAGAGACTTAGGGGTAGTTTTGTTTTTTATAGCATTAGAATCGTCTGACCAAGATAAATGATCAGCTGCGTGAACCCATTATCGCCATCACATTGTAACCAACCCCTGAATATCCTCCAACTCCCAAAAATGCCATGTTCCATCTTATGACTCTCTCACATCAGGCTTCGCCTCAAGCCTTGGTAATGGACAAAGCATTCTCCAACATTGTCGCATTAGTCAACAGCTCAACCGTCAAATGCGCCATCACCCTCGCCATAACCTCCGTCTGCTGATACGAATACGGCGTGTTCGCCACAGCCGCATACGCCGCCTCATGGTTATACGCACAAATCCCGCCCTCCTTACATAGGTTCCAGAACGGCATCAAGACGACCCTGTCCGCACTGGTCACCGCGTGAGTCGTCGGATCGACGACGTTGCCTTGCGGCCAGCTGGCGTCTGTGCTGGCTGCCGACACGGGGCTGGTGATCCAGTCGGTTTGGGATCCGTAGTCGGGGAGATTGACGAGTCTGATGACTTCGCTGACGAGATCCTGGGTGGGCACTTCGAAGGACGGGTAGGGAGTGTCTGTGGAGGTGCTTTTGACTGTGGGAGCGATGGCTGACTCTACGGCTGCGGCGATGGCGTCGAGGTCTTCGGTCCAGCGGGTTCGAAGGTCGAAAACGACGTCTAGCTCGTTGGACGTCATGTTTCCGGGGAGAAAGAAGGTGTTGGAGGCAGTGGCGGAGTAGGTCCTGAAGAGCTCGATGGCGAGGACCAGGGGGCCGTTTGTATCGGCAGAGGCGTGGCCGCTGGGCCCCAGACAGGTGACGTTTACGCCCGTCTTGACGTTCAAGTCGTTCTCGACGGAACAGTTGACGCTCGGGTAGGTTCCGGTTGCCAACAAAGAGGTCACTGAACTCTGGACAGCGGAAAGAGAAGGCCCCTCCAGACCAAACGCGATAGCCCCTTGCACCACGTTGCATTCCGCGTTGAAGACATCCTCCACAGGCGTAGCGGTAGAGCCAGTTCCGGGCCATCCTGACGCTGAGTCAATGTCCCGTACTGCAAGCATGCCTTGATACGCGCGTTTCACGGCAGCGGCGTGTGTGTCCTCGATGAACTTGGAGTAGACATTGAGTCGCGCGTTCATAGGCACGATGCCGTTGGCGTTGGCTGGATGACCAAACAGCCAGATGGGAGAGCTGTCAAAAGCGCCAGCTTCTAGCAGAGTGTGTTTTCCAGCGCCGTTCTCCTCATCGGGAGTGCCCTGGACGATGAGGCGAGCCGGAATGCCGAGGTCAATGGCCGCCTGTCGCGCGAAATCGGCCATGGCCAACGCAACGAGTAGAATATGGTTGTGACCGCAGGCATGGTGAATGTCCACCAGGGCATCGTACTCTGCCATGAAGCCAATGGTCGGCAGCTCCGCGTCCGCAGGCGTGCCGGCGGGACGGTTCTCGAACTCGAGGGTCCAGGCGGTGGGCATGCCGAAGGAGCTGGGCGTTACGGTCCATTGGCCCGGCCTGGTGTTTGTGTAGTAGTCAACGACTCGATCGTGGGCGTAGTGCTCTGCGAGTCCGATTTCTGGGTGATTCCAGACGTCTTGGGCGATTTGGCGGAGGTCCGGGTATATGCTTGCAGAGATGTTGGAGAGGAGGGCTGGGAGGTTGGTCAGGTCGGCTGCGTGGCCGCCTGCTATGAGGAGTGAAATAACTGATGATTTTGACCACATGGTTATGGGAAAGGTTGTGCTTCTGCTAATCTTCTCCCTGTCCGTTGGTTCATGGGCATGTTGCTGTCTTTATATCTCTCTCTCACTTGCTGTTCCAGATCTCATTACTGTCCATATGATCACCCCCCTTTTCTGCACGTAATGCTCCGCTGGTTACGATGGCCCTCATCCTTCTTGGATTATTAACCGTTGCCAGCAACGTTGTAGCTATTATGGAACTGTCGAGGGTCTTTCCAGTATGCTGGGCACCAGAGGAATCAGATTGGCGAGCGACACCGTTACGTCGGATCCCGTTGCCGGCGGCTCAGGCGGTTCAGCTCTCAAGGTGGGGATACTATCATCTTGTTTACTCAGGCGCTCGACACTTCGCCGAAAAGACTCCTAGGATGATAAACTGCGGCACGTCTTACATTTCAAACAAAGAGGCGGTGACAACGCATCTGTTGAGTAAACACAAATTGGAGGAAACAAAGGGTCTTGGGGGTCACGGAAAGGCTATAAGCTCGTCAAGTCCGATTAGGACTTGAGTCCAGGGGCTGTTGTAAATTGAGAATGGACTTCACCTACCTAGTTACAAGGGTCAGTTCGAAAGTTCAATTGGCTTTTACACTTCTTGCGGGAGAGTTGCCGGAGTTGTGTAACCAACCTGGCCATAGGTCAGCAGACTGTATCTGGTTGTCATTGGCTGTTGGACTCAATGATGATTGAGTCACTTGCAGCATAGGCCTAACATGGTTCATTTGTACTGGAAATTTCTCTAGTATTAGGTTACCAGTGTGTATGAATGGAGATGAAGGGAAAACGTAAGTCATTTTCTCATTTTTGTTAGCATTTCTTTACCTCGGAAGAACGATACCATCGGTGGTGAGACTGAACAATGTCACCTGGAGCTATAATCGTGCAAGATAGTTTGGCAAGTCATTGCTAAACGTGTATAAGTAATCCCTTTCTCCACGATCACGCAGTAGTAGATGGAGACAACGCCATGCCGGCTGCGCGGCTCGGAGCGAAATCCCAGTGTCAGGGGCATGTGGACATGGTGTCAGCCCTTGTCTATTGATCCTCAGTATCAACCCAGAGAATTTCTATACTATATCCTCCGGATCCAACCTTGTTCACATCCAAGTTGTCAGCAGAGAATGTTGGAATGGGGACATACGATATGCATGGCGAGTGTGGGTTTCGCTTGGTTCCGCGGCTTCATGATCAGGAACTTTCCTCAGTGTCAAATGTAGACTTCAGTCCTTAAAATTTGTTTGTATCTATAGTTGATTGTTCAGCACGAGTGCTCAACATAGGCGGGACTTGCCATTTCACTTATAAATATTTAGACCAAGAGCATTGTCACGATGATCGGGACGATTCGATCGGTTGTCTTCTCAGATCTATGTGAGAATACTGAAGTGGAGAACTGCAACACAATCCCTGATTAGTTTGTGGATAAGACGGCACGAATAAGTAATCTTCAAGAGCTTTTCCAATAGTCTAGAGGGCTAGAATCGTCGAAGACTTTGGCATGGGATTCATGTTGAGGCTCGCGATGGTTTTCATTGGGGTTTCACAACATAAGCGACGAGAGTAATGCCATGATCTTTGACCGAGAGTCTGTGACCGCTTATTAAAGAAAGAAGGACATATTCTTAAAGTCATGAAACTTCCTTCCTCTGGTGGCAAATGGCATGTTGAGTAGACTTCATATGTGCATACAGGGCATCACAGATCATACTCGACTTTTCGACAAGGCACGAAGTTACTTTTTACTCGCTCAAAGAACGGATCCTCGATGTTATGTATCACATGTCCAACATATGAATGTTTGAAAGATTACCAGCGAATTCCTTGGTGATATTCTCAGATACATCACCAGTCTATAAATACATCATCACCCGGAACCAAGCCTAAACACACAACCTCTTAGTATATACCCTCCGACAACCTATTATCTCCCATTCACCCACTAGCCCGGTTAATGTGAACACTATACGCTCAACCAGCCTGATACACCGCCAGAGCCGCAACATGCGGATTCAGCATGGTCAAGTTGTATGGCGTAACAGTGAGATTCGTATCCGTAAGCGCAAGGAACATGGTTCCATTGATAGCTGGATCATGATCCCACGTCGACACATTGGGCTGGAACGTAAAGGCCGTGTTGTCCCGCAGGCTCACGTTGAGCAACGGAGAATACGTAACGTTCAACTGCGACACCCAGGCAGCAAACTTGGGCTGTTTGACATTGGTAGTGGTCACATAGCTGTTGTTTGGCCCGACTAACTGTCCTGGGTTATCCCATTGCAGGAATACCTGGCGGCCTGGATACGAAAGGGGAAGGCTGCGATTCTGGGAAATAGCCGGCGCGCAGTCCAGAGCCTTGTTCGTGGCGTTCAAGCAGAGTTCAGAGCGAGAAATGTTCTGGGTAGACAGAGTGTTGGCCCAGCCGCCGGTTGTCTCGTTAAAGGCATCAGAGCCATTGATGCGAGCCGGATTAGGTTGGTTGAGGATGTGCAGCGCAGGAAAGTTCTGCCACACCAGTCGAGTCTGGTTGAATGGACAACTCGAAATGTACGGAGCCAAAAGAGTCCACGCCCAGCTCTGAGGAATTCCCACCGTGTGCCACTCCGGCATGGGGAACTGCCCGCCGAACTGACGGAAGATGAGCTGCTGACGAGCCTCAATCGTGATGCTTTGGAGGAGCAGCTGAGCAGCCGGTCCCGAGTTCAGGTGCGGCAAGAAGCCATACACACCCGCCTCTCCCCAACGCGTAAGCTTCTGGTTGAAGTCGATGAACTCTCGGACGTTGGAAACCGGGTAGTTGTAAGTACACTGCTTCGGCGCTTGCGGGCCGAGCATGTTGGTGATAACAGTGGCGTGCCCAATCTCCTGATCGGCCATGTACTCAATGAGGAACCTCTCCTCGGCATTGATCCCATTGGCTTCCCACTCTTCAACAGTGAAGTTCTGCAGACCCCAATGGAACAGGTCGAGTTCAATCCATTCCTGATACAGAGCCAAGGCTAACGATTGGTAGTCGAAATCGCTTTGGACACGATATACTGGAGCCGAGCCGTTGGTTCCAATACCGCCGCTGGGCGTAAACGGCGCAGGTTGAGGGGCGTGAAGCTTGCCATCCGCAGTGTAGTTGAATGAATCCGGAGCCGGAGGCAGAGGCGGGATCGCAGAGGCTGTAACGGTGGTTGAGAGAGCACCCGTAGTCGAGGCTGGGGGTCCCGTGAAAGTGCCATGGGAAGTGACATTGGTCTGAGGCACCACTGCTGGAGTCACCGTTTCGGCTTCTGAAAAAGTAGTCGTCGGCGTGACTAGTTTCGGGACAGCTTGGACGAGTACCACGTTCGAGAGGGCGAGAAGCCCTGCGTTTTGCAGCCGCATGTTGCCGATCATGATCCCTTTACTTAACAGGACACAACCGAAGGCGAGGCGTGCTGTGAGAAGCAGGATTGTAAGCAGTCAACGGATATGCCTGGTCTTATAATGCCCCCGAGCCTGTGGATTCTTCTTACACCCACCCAACCTGATGGACATGCCGAAACACCCGCCGCCAGATGCCACTCACTCATGTGAAAACGCGGGAGTGTCTGTCACTCGAGACTCAAGTCACCACGTCCAGCAGCTCAAGTCATGACGTGTTCACAGCTGAAAGCCGGAGTAGAAACCCGATGTGACGGCGCCATTACAGCATGGCAAATAATGGCGTCGTCATCGGAATTCGTGGTATGCGGATGCCTTTTGCGTGTCGCGATGTGGCGCAGATGCAAAGTTTATCTCGCAGCATGTCATAATCCCTGTGTGATACAACGTGGAATCAGATACCTGACCCTTCCCCTTCCAAGGCGGACGAGAGGAACTGGAGACTGCTGTCGTCATGGTACGGGCCGTCTGTCAAGGTGGATGTGCGTTGCGCGGTGGTATATCGATGTATCTGTCTCGTCGGTCAGTGATGTGGTGACACTGGAAATCTATGATCCCGATACTTCACCTTGCTGTGTAAGACATACCAAGTAAGTGGCGACGGCATTTCGACATGACTGCGAATTCGCACCGAGCAAGGCTGATGCATGGCAAGGCGGTTTGCCTGCTTCGCGTGTAACGAGGCATGGATGACGAAGTGGTGATGAAGTGGTGACAGGGCTGACTGTAAGCGGTGGATCACGGCAAAATGCTGAATATATGGCAAAACTGCCCATCTCTATGTGATCAAGTGAAATAATGTTCTAAAACGTCTTTAACAGGAGTCATAAGAAGAAGATGAAGGACATGAACCAATTGAAGCAGCGATTATGCATCACGGATGTTCTCACATCACTGCTTGACCCGTCAGGAAGCGGCTATCCAATACCCCAGATCGGCTACCAGCCTTCTATGCCAATATGTGATAGAGTTACTCTGTACTCGGTAAATAGGTAAACTATTTAGTGGAGTAAAGCTTATAGCAAAACTAGAACATCGTGATAGTATCAGACATGAGCCCTCCTCTCTACCATGACTGTAGCAGTACTAAAAATAACATTCGCTGCGTGATTTTTCATAAGCGCGTCAACCAAGTATCGCCACTATCCATCCAAACCTTCCTTTTCGATTCCTCTGCCATTCACTATTGAAGGACATATCTTTTTCGTAATGGACCTGCTGAGAACGACGATGCTCGTGTATCTGTCTGAATTCGAGTTGACCATGCAGCTACATGTATCGATGTTGCATGGCGATTGGTGCACATGCAGCGCCATCCAAGATGTATGATTGGATTGTCACTGGCCAGTAAGGCTTCGAATGCTTGTCGCTTTGTCCCATGGCGATTGGGCGCCCTCATAGCTGCCTAATTCATTCGTGTCTTCAAATTCTACAGCCAGAGCACAGCGTGATCTGTCGCGGTCATTGTTGGTATCGCATCGAAACGGGCTCTTCATCGCTGCGATGTCGTTCAGAGAGAGGGTCCGCCGCCGGTTAAGGCGCCTTTTCCCCCAAGAAGATCATACAACTGTACAGCACGGGTTGGTGAAGCAAGATGGCCAGGCCGAGGCAGCAAGCACATCTACTTTGCCCGTCAAGGATGAGGCAGCAAGCGCGTCTATTTTGCCCATCGAGACGTCAAATGCACCCAGTGCCTCGACGGGCTTGCCCGAACGCCTCTGGGATCGAGCATACGACAAGTTGAAAATCAGCGATGCCGCGCTGATTGAAGCATACGAGAAGATCTTGTCTCGCAAGCTTGGCGGTCAAGGATTCGATACGCAAGTCACTGCATCCGAGCAGAACATCATTGCCCAGAATGATACGCACGCAAGGCGAAGTCAGATGCGGCAGCTCATCCAAGACGGTTTGGATAAGACAGCTGGAGAGGCAAGAATAAAACAAGCCATGGGCGCAGCATTTGCTCTCTCTGCAAAAGACATGATCAGCGCTGCGATTCAGGCCGTGCCACAAGCAGCACTTGCTTGGACAGGTGTATGCGTGGCGCTCGAGGTAAGTCTTCAGTATTGAACAGGGCTGGGTTTTCCACGCTGACTTGTGTGTCACAGATGCTTCAGAATCCCATAGCTGCAACGGAAGCTAACCGCAGCGGCATCGAGTACGTGATCAAGAGGATGGACTGGTATTGGAACCTATCCAGCGCTGTCCTGAAAGATAATGCCAACGAGAGTGGCTTCTCTGGCGTCCGACAGGAAATGGAGACTCGAGTCGTCGACCTCTACGCAATGCTCCTCTCGTATGAGATAAAGAGCGTCTGTTCGTACTACCGCAACCGTGGTCTTGCGCTACTTCGCGATATTGTCAGCCTCGACGATTGGAATGGCGATATGACAGCTCTTCAAAAAGCCGAGCGAGCCTTCTATGATGATGCCGATGTATATGCCAACCTGAGGATGGTCTCCAATCTCGATCAGCTTGTTAGTCACGCGGAGACGCAGTCTAGCGTCCAATTGGCAAAGGAGGATCAACAATGCATCAAAGACTTGCGCTTCACTGATCCCTCAGATGACAAGAAACGCATAGAAACTACCAAAGGTGGTCTGTTGCAAGAGTCTTACAGATGGATCCTGAATCGTCCGGAATATCAACAGTGGAGGGACTCTGGCGAAAATCGACTGCTCTGGATCAAAGGTGATCCAGGCAAAGGAAAGACTATGCTACTCTGCGGCATCATCGACGAACTGAATCGACAACCAAGCGGCTTGGGCCTAGTCTCCTACTTCCTTTGTCAGGCCACCGACCAAGAACTCAACAATGCCACTGCCGCTCTACGTGGACTCATCTTTATGCTTGTAAGGCAGCAGCCCTCGCTCATCTCTCATGTCCGGAAGAGGTACGACCAAGCCGGTGAGAAGCTGTTTGAAGGAGCAAACACCTGGTTCGCCCTCTCGGACATTTTTACAAAAATTCTTGAGGACCCAGCGCTGAAGGGCGCATACTTGGTCGTCGACGCTCTTGATGAGTGTGTGTCCGAGCAGCAAAAGCTATTGGACCTTATCGTGCGCGTCTCCGGCACCAAAGCTCGCGTAAAGTGGATAGTGTCGAGTCGAAACTTGTCTCATATAGAGGAGCGCCTGCAACTTGCGAAGAAAAAGGTCAAACTAAGCCTGGAGCTCAATGAAGAGTCTATTGCCAACGCCGTGAAAATCTACATCGGGGAGAAGGTGCTAGAGCTATCAAATCGAAAGGGCTATGACGAAATCACTCGCAAGGGAGTTCGAGACTACCTCCTCGAGAACGCAAACGATACGTTTCTCTGGGTAGCTTTGGTCTGTCAGAACCTTGAAAAATACACGCGATGGAAGGTTCTTGACATGCTCGGCGTATTTCCACCGGGCCTCGACTCTCTATATGAACGCATGATGGGGCAGGTGCTCGAGGGTGATGAGAGCGAGGGCAACCTCTGCAAGCAAATTCTCATCGTCATGATGAGCGTCTATCGTCCCATTACTTTGCGAGAACTGGGCTCTCTTATTGAAATCGGTCAAGAGTTTTCAGATAACGTCGACTATCTGAGGCACATTGTCTCGCTCTGCGGATCTTTTCTCACTATCCGTGAGGATACCATCTATTTTGTCCACCAATCCGCTAAAGATTATCTCTCCAAGAATGAAGACGCCATCTTCGCATCCGCTGTAAAAGACGTACATCGAACCATGGTTTCCCTTTCGCTGCAGGCCATGACCAAAATTTTGAGAAAGAACATATATGCATTGCCTCATGTTGGGCCTCTCTCTGACGACCGCATTAACATGCCAGAAACTGATCCCCTATCAGCCATCAAATATTCCTGCGTACACTGGGTCGATCACCTTTGTAAGGGGTCCGCGATAGAGGCTTATCTCGAAGAAAAAGGGGCCGTGTGTTCATTCCTGCATGAACATTTACTTCATTGGCTTGAGGCGTTGGGCCTTTTGCACCAAGTATCGGCTGGCATCCTCTCGATAGTAGTGCTGAAGGGCTTGGTTGCTGTGAGTCTTCCTATGCTTGGGTGCCCAATTGAAACAAAGCTGACCTCTCTAGGCAAAATCACCGGAAGGAGAGCTTCTGAGCTTCCTTCAAGACGCGCATCGATTTGTCCTTTACAATCGAAGGGCTATCGAAATCGCTCCGCTCCAAGTCTATTCATCTGCGCTCGTCTGCAGTCCTACGCAGAGCCTCGTACGGAAAGCTTTCCATCGAGAGATACCATCGTGGATTCAACATAGGCCTGTGGTCGAGGATAATTGGAGCCCCTGTTTACAGACGCTAGAGGGCCATGCTAGTTTCGTTTGGTCAATCGATTACTCAGCAGATCTCATGCAGATCGTCTCAGGATCGTACGACAAGACAATCAAAACCTGGGACATTACCACGGGTGCATGTCTCCAAACGTTCGAAGGACATACCAAGTCAGTGGAGACCGTGGCTTTTACAGCAGACAGCCGGCGAATCGTCTCGGGGTCCGATGACCAAAGTATCAAAATATGGGATCTGACAACAGGCGCGTGCCATCGGACACTTCGAGGCCACACAGGCTGGGTTATGGATATAGCCTTGTTGGAAAATGATCAGATTGCTTCTGCATCGAGAGATAGAAATATCAAGATCTGGGATATGAAGACAGGCGCATGCTTGCAGACGCTCAGAGGCCATACTGGATCAGTGGAGTCGGTGGCCCCGCTGACAAGTGGCCTAGTCGTGTCAGGAGGGACAGATGAAACAATCAAGATCTGGGATCTAGCTACGGGCTTGTGTAGCCAGACGCTCGAGGGCCACACTGGCGCAGTATATTCGCTTACCCCGTTGGCAAATGGCCAGCTCCTCTCAGGGTCAAACGACGATACAGTAAAGCTCTGGGATGTTGCATCCAGGGCGTGCACTCGGACGTTTCAGGGGCATAGGTCCGCGGTGACGTCAACAGCTTCTTTAGAGAAGGGTCGATTTGCCTCAGCGTCATGTGACGGCACAATCAAGATATGGGACATGGCGACAGGGACATGTGTCCAGACCTTTGAGAGCGGCTCTGGTCCGATTAGTTCGGTGGTCTCGTTGTCAAACGGACAGATCGCTTCAGGAGCCGACGACTACAACGTAAAGCTCTGGGATGTTACCATAAGCGCCAGTGTTGAAAGCACCAACCATCATCAGGGTCGGATAAGCTCAATCGCTTCATCATCAGACGGACGGCAGGTTGCTTCAGGGGCAGAAGACGACAACATCAAAATATGGGATGCACACACGGGCGCCTGTATCCAGACGCTGGTGGGCCATGCCAATGATGTGCAATCAATAAGCTTTTTGACAGATGGCCGGGTTGTCTCAGGATCAGATGATCGTACAGTCAAATTCTGGGATGTGGATACGGGCGTGTGTGTCCGGACGTTTGAGGGCCATGACGGCGCGGTTTTCTCAGTAGCCCCCTCAACAGACGGTCAGCGAATCGCTTCGGGATCAGTGGACAGGATAGTCAAAATCTGGGACACCACTACTGGTGAGTGTGTCCGTACCTTCGACGGACATCGTGATTGGGTGTGGGCTGTGGCCATCTCTATGGATGGTCAGTGGGTGGCCTCGGTGTCAGCTGATGGTTGTATCATGATCTACAACGAAGCTTCGCACTCATATCGCACACTTGCAAACCACGCCGCCCGTATCAGGTCAGTGGCCGTCTCACCAGATGGCCTGTACGTCGTGTCGTTGGCTGTTGGCGGCATGATCAAGGTTTGGCATATGGCTACGGGAAAGTGTGTCCAGATATGCAATGTTCATGCTGGGTGGGAGACTCAGTTATCATTCGATCCGACGATGAAGTATCGCATTCAAGGCAACTCTGGCTGTTTTGATCTGGATTCGCAATTGCTTGAAGCTACTCTTGCCATGCTTCTCGAAAGACAAAGGCATAGGGAAAGTGAGGTTGAAGGTGAGGACGAGAGTGAGTATGAAAGCGAGGAAGAAGATGAGGATGAGAGTGAGGATGAAAGCGAGCAAGAAGATGAGGATGAAAGTGAACTGGTACAGAGTTCAGGGCCGCCTACTCCCACATTATCACCTGTTACGATCCGTGGCTACGGTATATATGAGCGACCGGGGCTAGATGAATGGATAAGGAAGGACGGGAAGCCGCTGTTTTGGCTGCCGCCAGAGTATCGATCAAACTACTCCGTTGTAGCAGGATCCACTGTCGCGGTCTGTGTTGCCCAGACTCGTGTCGCTATTTTCAAGTTTTCAGAGGCAGGGCCGGACTCATAGAAGCTGCCTGGGTTATATGTCTTTTGGAGCGACTTAGTCATACTCATTATGTGGAAGTTGTTAATCATGGGAATGGCTATAGGTAGCTATGAATTCAGCATCCGCCTTCAGCTGTTAAACTCAGGCACTGATATTGGATGGTTCAGTTACCTGTCAAGCAACGTTCATAACCTTACTATATACAAGAGCGAGATGTTACCTTACAATATACAGGAGCGAGATGGCTTCACAAACCCCTTTCTCGACTAAACACACGTAATCCTCATCAGCAATACCTCATCCCCCCTTCCATCCGGTACAGACAAACAATCTCGAATCCCAATCCATTCACAACAGGCATCCACACAAGAATAGTAATATAAAGTGACTGTCAATTATCGTTCAAAGCTACATACAGGTATCAAACAGCGGCTCTCATGTCGAATCATAACTATCCATCGTGCTAAGCAATAATCGGCAGTAGAAGAAGAAAGAAGAAGACAAAAACAAGCAAAGGCAGGCAAAGAACCAAACAAAAAGGGTGTTAGAAAAAACAAACAATTGCCTCCAGGCCAACCAATCCGATTAAATCACAACCCTCCTCAGAAGCCCACCATCATCATCATCATCTCAACAAGCGTCGTCCGTTTCATCGAACAACCACGGCAGCGTGAGGCTCGTCATCGCCATCAATGCTCTCCTCGTACTCGCTTCCGGAGCCCTCGTCGTCCTCGTACGCAGAGCTGCCCTTGCTGATGCGTCGTCTCTGCGTCCCGTCGCTCTCTTCGTGTCTCCCCCGGGCATCAACGTCTTCGTCGTCATCATCGTCAATCTCTTCCTCGTACTCGGAGCTATCGCCTGCTGCGTTATCAACCGCAGACTCGTGCGTCACGTTGACCATGTCGCCCTCGTCGAGCTCCTCCACCGCCTCGTCCATCCCCAGGTTCTCCTTGTGCTCCTCGCTCAGCCCACTCTTCTGCGCCGTGCCTCCCCAGCTGCGCTTCCGATGGCCGTTGACACTAACACTCGGTGTCTTCACGCTATGGCTTCTCGTGATGGGTGCCGACGCCACGTTGTTCGCCATCTGACTGAGAGACGCAATACGTCGCGCAGTCCCAATCTGCGAGGGCGCCATGGGGTTTCTTGCCGCAGCGAGATGCGTCGGAATGGCTCGTGGAGACGAAGAGCCGTCTTCGCCAGCGGGTTTCTTAACCCGCTTGCGGTTCATGGAATCTGCGCCGCCCTTGGCCTTCTTGCCGAAAAGGAGCACCCGAGAGTGATCCATGACCCCATTGAAGATGCGTCGTTCAAGGCCTTCAGCGCGGAGTTCCATCTCCTGGAGCTCTTCCTTGCGCAGGCGCAGCGCCGTCTCAAGGGCAGAGACATCGCCCGTGAGACGAGTCTTTTGCTTCATCAAGCCCTCTTGCTCGTTACGCAGAGACAAGACGCTCCGTCGCAACCACTCCTCTTCCTCCTTTAGGTTCTTGACGGAAAGCTCAACGTGCTCCCTCTCCGTGCTGGCTCGCTCAAGAGCAAGCTTGGTCTCTTCCAAGAGCCGAGCGCGGTTGTCGCGCTCATCCACCATGTGCTTCGTCTGCTTGGACAGGAAATCGGACACTTCGGCAGCGGTCTCGACGACGGACTGGTGCACCTTGTCCAGAGTCTGTAGCTGGAGCAGCGCCTGGGCTGCAGCATCGTTGTGCTGCACAATCTTGTCCAGCTTCTCGCGAACCTCGGCGTCATCGTACTTCTCGGGCATCATGGCCTTGAACGTCTGCTCCGTGGGGATAGCCGCGACTACCTCGTCCCGGATGCTCTTGGAGTGCTCAAAGTGATCTCCGACGAGGCCAAGGATGCTCTTGACTGCCTCCAGGATTTGGGGCTGGTATTCGCTGACACTGCCTTGGACTTTGCTTACGGCTTCCTGAATCTGGTCGCGCGTCTGCTGGTGATCGACCTTGCCTTCGTTGTGAGTCTCCTCGGAGCGAACAGCCACCTCCTCAACCTTGGTGAAGACAATCTTGGAGGCCTCCTCCATCTTCTCCAGGGAGTCGGTCACGGTCGACCCGAGGGTATCGATCAGCAACTTTAGCTCGTCGGCGACGGCCTTGGTGCCCGCCACCGCGGACTCGGTCACGATTTCGCGTGCCTCGGCGGCTTGCGACTTCTCATCCATCATGATCCGGAGCGCCTCATTCTTAGCCAGGACCTCGCTGATCTTGTCGTCAATCTTGGCGCGGATGTTTTGCGTGACCTCGTCGAGTTTCTCGTTGGACTCGATCCGGGACCCGGCAATGGCCTCCTTGGAAATCTCAAACTCGCTCTTCATGACCTCAAACATGTCCTTGACATCTCCGGCAACAGTCTCGTTCTTGTCAATCTTTTCGCCCACGGCTTTGAGCAGCTGACTGATGCCTTCAATGCCAGAAGAGCCATCCACGAGTTTGTTACTGATCTCCGTCTGAAACTCTTCGAGAAACGTCTTGACCTCAAAGATGCGGTCATTCACGCCGACAATGTCGGACTGGCGCTCGACGAGCGCCTTTGACGAGGCCTCGTGGTAGTTGTCAAACGTTTCCTTGGTTTCCTTCATGACGGCCTCAAGCTTGCCGAGGTCATCGCGGGTAGTAATCGTGGCGAAATCCGCAACTGCAATGCCGTCCACCAGAGTCTTGATCTCACGCACAACAGTCTCGACAGCGTGAACGTCCGACTTTTTGACCTTTTCGGGGCTCTTAGCCTCTCGTTCGGCATGTTCCTTGATGTCTTGCAGGCCCTCGGCGAGCGATGTGATAATCGTCGTGAGTTTGGCAAAGTCATCCTTGTGGAACAGGTTGGGGATGTCTTCAAGCTGCCTGTTGACGGATCGAATGGCCTCTCGGGACTCCAGGATGAGCGACTCCAGAGTGTCGATATGTTCCCTGCGCACTGCCTGATCACCATCAATCAGATGGTCAACACGGGACTTGGTGTTGCGCAGGATGTTCTCGATGGCAGCAACGTCTTCCTTTGTCGGGTTGCCGCCACTCTTAGTGAAGATGGAGGGAATGCTCCTCATGACGTAGTCCTCCCCTTCCTTTGGCTTCTCGGACTCTTCCTTGTCGTGCTCCGACTTACCAGCCGATGACGCTGCTTGAACCACCACTGGCGCGCGGGACTTGAGCTCGTCGACACCCCTCTGGACATCGCGAAGCATGGTCTCCAGGTGGGACAGGTCCACCTTGGGGGCCGCTGCAGCAGCAGCTGCAGAGGAAGCTTTAGCTGGGTCAAGCTCTTCGATCTTGGCCCGCAGCTGAGTAATTAAGATTTCGAGATTCTTGATATCATCATGCTTAGCCATATCAGCAGGGATAATCGCCATCTCGTTGTCGTGCTCGCCGCCACCAACGGTACGAATGGCAACAGCTCTATCGTTGCTCGAGTCGCGAATGGTGCCAATGTCCGACCTTACGCCGTCCAGGCCTTCCTTGAGAGCGTCGAGGATCTCATCGTTTGCAGTGAGATCGACTGGCTTGTTGGTAATTCTGTCGATGCCAGCTCGAATGTCGTTCAGGCCGTCATTGAGAGCGTCCAAGATCTCGCTGGTCTCGGGTCGTGGTCGGAGGATCTCCTGTCGAAGGTTGCTCAGGCCATTTCGCAAAGCGTCGAGGAGCTCGTCGTTGTGTGGTTGCGACATAGGAGCGGCTGGGACCATGGATGAGTGGACAACGTCGCGAAGTCCTTCCAGCTCCGTCTGAAGCTGTTCTCGAGAAGTCGCGTTGGCTTTGGACACGAGCGAGGAAACCTCCTCCTTGAACTCTTCCATGCTCTTCAGGAGGCCCTCGAGGAAGTCTTCTTGGCTAGCCACGCCGGTAGCGCGGTCAACGTAACGTTCGATGGCTACACGAAGATTCTCAAGACCGTCCTTGGTAGCGTCCAGGAGCTGCTCAGTTTCGCGACTGCTGGCAGCCATGCTTTCCTTGTTCACGTCCGAGAGCGTTCTAAACTCCAGCTTCATAAAGTCCATCAGCTCATGGAGCTTGGTGCTGATCTCGTCATGGTTGCGAGCCGGCACAAGAGCGCTGCTCTTGCCCAGATCCAGGTCGTTGAGGCCCTCTTTCACTGCGCGGAGCATGTCCTCGCGAGTCAATTCGTTTCCAATAGTGGATGGGGCCACGGGAAACTCGAACTCCTCCAGGCATTCACGGACGGCTTCGATAATCTCGTCTCTAGACATGGATGCCGGAGTGTCCATCTGGGGGGGAACGTAGTGCTTCAGGCCTTCGACCACAGCCGTCAAAACTTCGTCTCTCGTAGCTGCTGGGGGCGACTGGTTGCGACTCTGGTACTCTTGAAGACCCTCCTTCAGGCATTCCAGAATTTCGTCTCTCTCCAGCCCAATCTGCTGCACCTCAATCTCGGGCTTGTAATTCTCCCAAGCCTCACGGACAGCTTCGAGGACGTCATCTCTGCTCAAGTCTGGCATTTCCTTGGCGGCCTCAATGTCCTTGAGGGCGCTCCTGAGAGCAGTGTATATCTCTTGGTAGTCAATGGTGAGTTTTTGCAGAGACGCGGATGCCTGAGACTGGCGGCGATGCTCCGTGAGGACATGGCTAAGCTGCTCCTTCATCTGCTCAAGTCCCTCGTCAATAACCCGCGAAACCTCATCCTTACTAGCCGAGGGTGATGGCTCGGTATTATCTCCAGCTTTTCTGCCAACGTTCTCTAGCCTTTTTCCAAGCTCACGGCCCATACCCAAGACTTCGCCACGGAGTTCTCGGACAAGCGCCTTGACCTCTGCCGTGAGACCGCCGCTGGCTGCAACGCTATCCTTGACAGAGCGAATAATGTTAATGACGTCGTCGTTGAGGATACCTTGGGATGCCGGGCCTCGACGGGCACTATCCAAGCTGTTGAGCGTGCGCGGAGCAATGGCACGGCTAGGGCCGTGAGGAAGGTGGCCCTCGTTGTGCTCCAGGCTGAATCTCCGGGAGTGGCCCGGGGCGAAACCAGGAGTGGCGGCGGACACCATGGCACTCTCCGTCTGCGCGCGGACGAAATTCACCAGCTCCTCCACCTTGGCAGCTGTCGCCATGCCTGAAAGCTTGTCAGAGAGCTCGAGAAGATGGCTGAGGAGTGATTCCTGTCCATCCTTGGTTCCCAGGCCACGAAGGATCTTCTCCAGAAGAAGAATAGAAGTTGCGCCCGAGTTGTCGCCGCCAACAAGCGATGGTGTGCTCATGGATGCGCGATCGATAGACTCAGCAAAGCTCTTGGGCGAAGGGATTCGGGGCATCTGATACGTTCGCCCGCTGTTGGGTGAGGTCGGGTGAGGCTTGTTATCAAGGAAATAGCCGTTGTACGAATCTCTGTGGACGATCCTGGCCGAGGTATCCTGGATGTTCCCCAGCAAGTCCCTGAGACTCTTTCTGATATCCTCGTCTCGAGTGTTAGTGGCCTCCTTGAGGCTGAGCAGATCGGTGGCGTTGTCTCTGCTGCGTCGGCTGAGAGCTGCCATTTCCTTTTGAAGGGAGCTCGCGATGCTGGTGAGACTGAGGATTTGCGATGCCAGACTATCCATCGTTGCCCCTCCCTTGGCACCACCCATTGCGCTATTCGTAATGTTGGAGAGCGGTGGCTCCGTCTCCTTGGTGGGCGAACTGCCGGGCATGCTCTGCAAGGCCAGCATGGTCGAGGAGACAGGCGGAGTGTTTTCGGACAGGATGCTTTGCGGCGCCGGTCGACGGACGGTTGGTCGAACAATGGGCGTCAGGCTGGTTGACAAGGACGGTGCGGACATGTTCATCTCTTTGTCGTAGATACCAGCACCAGTACGAGTCTCGAAGGAAGTGCTCTCCCTGAGGCCCGGCGGCGTGGACGGTCTGGTGCTCCTCTCCAGCTTCTCGTACGACTTGGTGGGAGACACGCTCGGGGAGCTCGAGTTGTTCTCCAGCATGAGGCTGATGTCTCGCACGGAGCCCGACTGCATCGACTGCAACCTGCGGTGAGGGCCGACGCCCTTGGCGAGCGATCTGTCGGGCGACGAGTCGTTGACGCGCTTGGGCACCGGCGGCGGCATATGGGTGCCGTGATTGTCCCTCACGCGCTCACTAAGCGCGGCGTGGGCGGACTGGATGGCGCTCGACACTGGGTACGGCGATGTGCTCGTGCGCGTGGCCATCTTGGGCGACTGAGGGTTGAGGGGGAGCGGCGGCGGCGCGCGCTCGGGATCTGAACTGTCCCACCTGCTACGGGTTAACTGACGCCAGAACATCATGGCGGCTTGCGGGCGCGAGATGCGGTGAAAGAGGGCGGCAGTACGCACATTGGGATGAGTCCTCGATCCGAGGAAGCTGAATGTTGATGTCTCAGGTAGGGCTCTCCGTCGAAAGAGCCTTGTCGTTCACTATATGGCATGCTTCGACGCCTCGGGTGGAATGTAGTAGCGTGCAGATGGCCAGAAATGCGCCCTGCCTTTTGGTCAATCGAAGCGATTCACTCCAGTCTCAAATTGGGCTCCGCCGACGACGACACGAGCTAGGAAGGGATATGGAGTGCGACTCCAAGAGAAGCTCGGGTGGGACTCCTGTGCCGGATATAAAATATATATCGCGGGTTGCAGCCTGCTGCGAAGGGAGAGGGAAAATAGGTACTTGGGTAAGAGAAAATAAAGAGAAGAGCAGTTGTCCAGTGTTGACACTGTAAACACCCGAAGATGCTTTTCCGGACAGCCTTCACAACTGCTGGTGTTTCATAAAAACAGATCGCTGATAAGTTGCGGTGGTGGTTGGTTTTTAGATGGGGAAGCGCTTGGGCGGATGGGCTCGTCACGAAGGCGGGCGAAATCGACAGGGGGTGTTTTTGTTTGTTGCGCCACTGGCGGGTTGCCGGGCAACGCGGAGCGAACCAGGGCAATGGGCAACGTCCAGGCTGCGAGTGCAGACAATGCTGTGAACAGGGGGGGGTTGGAGAAGAAAAAGAGAAAACAAGGCACATCCATTGGCTCTGGCTTCGGTTGATGGCTTTAACGCGAATCAGGAACTGGATATGCGCCACGTCAACCGTTTCCCTGTTGAGGTCGGTTGTCGATTGGGAGGGGAGAGGAACTGGGATTATCGCGGGTTGGATTCGCGGGATTGGTGGAGATGCCCGGTGCCCTGTGCGCGTTTATCTGCGAGCAAATGGGTTCTTTGAACGTTTGGACGCTTATCAATGACTGGAATATTCATCATCATTCATGGCTTTGGATGTGATGATGTCTTTTTTTGTGTGTTTCTTCGTCGCTAAACAACTAATAATACCAGGGGAAATCTAATTCTACAACAGAGCAGAGTGCGTTTCCTTTCGTCGTCGTCTTCCATTTTTTTTTCTATACATGCCGTCCCGAGCCCAGCGGCGCCCCTTGTAAACCTCCCAAACACGCCAGACTTCTAGCATATCCTCCCCCTCCCTCTCTCCTTTTTTTCTTTTGCATATGAAGATCCGTCTCGCTTTGTCTCGCTCTTTTCTTATCAATTGTTCGCTCCTCTCTCTTTATCAATTCGTTTGTCGTTGTTTTCGTAGATGATACATGATGTATGGGTGTCGTCTTTGCGTAACCCGGAGGTTCATTTCTGATTGGTCTATTTGCTGAACATGACATCGAAAGCAGGGATCAAAGTCTGGGCGAGCCAGAAAGAGAAGACCAGCTTAGGTCCAGTCATGAGCAGCTGCAAAGGAAACATCATGTCAGTCTCGCTCATAGATTTACTCGTGTTGTGATTTTTTCGTACCTTGGGAACGAGGCCCTTGAAGAAACTCGGCAGACCCTCGTTCTTGGCCATGTTGGTCAGGATCCGGAAGCCGCTCTCGGGGTTCTCAAAGTTGCGGTTCTGGATGCGGGTCTTGATGACGTCGAGGGGCGCGGAGACGACGAGCGAGGCCGAGGCGCCGGCGATGGAGGCGATGAAATTCTGGAACCAGGTGGCCTTGTTGTAGTCTTCGAGGTGAAAGAGGTACTCCTTGGCGAAGGCGGAGCCTCCGAAGAGCTGTGATGCTTTTCGTTAGGAGAGCTAACACTTGATAGGATTGAGGATGTAGAAACTGGGAGGGGTGGCTTACGGCGAAAGATCCGGGGGCGTTTCGGGCGGCGGTCCATCCCCAGCCTCGGTACAGGCCAAAGCCCTCGTCGGCGACAATCTTGAGGACGCCACGGCCGCGGAAGGCCTCGGGGTTCGTCTGGCGCTTGATCTTGAGCACGTCGAGGGGCAGCAGGACGATTTCTCCGATACCGATCAAGCTGTGTCGCCCCGAAAGAACATACGTCAGCAACAACTCTTCTCCATCCATCACATCCCTCTTCTCTTCAGAGTGCCCCTTACCTGCCAGCGGTCGAGTGCATAATGGCCTTGCCCGTCTTCTTGCCAAACGCATTCTCAAAGTCCTTGCCGTAGTGCTTGCCCAAGAAGTCGCGCGCGACGGGCTGGCCGCCGTACTTGTATATCCTCTGCAGCACCTTGTAGCCGGCGGCGTAGCCCAGGCCGGGGAACAGCGAGACGAACTTGCGTCCCAGAGGGGCCGAGGCCTTGTCCTTGAAGATGACCTGGTTCAATTGGCTTGCGGAGGTGACCTGGTGGAAAACGGGATGATGGGTCAGTCTTCCATGGCTTCACTCGGCTTCGTTGGGTCTTATCGCAAATTTGGAGGATGGAGACTGGTGAATGGCGTTTCTTACTCGGGTCTGGTTGCTCATCAATCGCTTCGCAATGGTATCAACCTATTCAGCGCAACAGGAGGAAGATTCGTCAGCTCTAGAAGGATACAGGCCCTTTTGCGACATGACTCCAGGCAGCGACATACGGGGTGGAAAATCGCCAGCTCGGAGATACCAGCGGAACCTGAGAATCAATCCATCAGCACACAGCTTCTCGACGCAAATTGAGCCGCGCGCAAGAATCAGGACAAATGAAAAGGAAGAGGAAGTAATAGAATACCTGATCCGAGCAGGCGAGCCAGGTTTGACTCCTTGGAGCTTCCAGCAGCGGGAGGTGACATTGTCGCGACTTTGGAATCCGAAGAACAGAGAAGGAAAATCCCAGAGAAGAATTACACAATAGACAATGAAGAGGAGAGAAATAACAATTCAAGACCGGTGTCACAATCTCGCCCCAAAAAAAGAGAACCGCAACCTGAAGAAATCAACAAGAGGAGCTCGGTTGTGTGTTGTGGAAACTTTTTTTTTGCGCACCAGCACTTCTCGCGATATTATCTGATGACGATTCAGAGACTGCCGATAAGGAATTGAATGTCAAGGTCCACCGAATTGACTGTTACCGTCTTCTGGACCGATTTTCGGCGGGAACGCGAGAAACTTTTCGGCGCGGCTAGCTAGTCTCAGCGGGGCTATTTTCAATTTGGAGGGGTAATATTGACTGCGGGTTATCGGACGATTTTTTGGAGATTTTTTTTTTGGTGGTTCAGTCTTGGTGTTTGGGTGATGCTTACCCTGGAGAATTACCTCTGGTTTCGCAGGATATCACATAGGGCTATGGAACGAAATTCGGAGAAGACAGAGAGAATAAAGACAAACGAAGGAAATGAAGATCCAAATTCTGTGTCGATACGGTTATCCGGGCCGTTCAATAATTGACGACCAACTCATGTGACAGCCGCATTGCATCGGGACTCTTGGCTCGTTATAAGACCGAGGTCCTATAGACGATATTTGAGTCAACTCTCTCAGCCGCGGCTTAACAGCCGAGCAACGACAATGCACAGACAGTCCCACGGCATGCTTCTTTTCCACTATTACTCAATAATAATAGATTGCACAGTAACGATCTGATAAGATGAAAAGATCAATGGCTGCAGATTGTTCCACAGCTAATATCCCCCCACTATTATCGTAGCTGGAGCTCTGTCCACATTGTCCATAGAGACCTTTCTTCATACTTTGGAAAACCATCTGCAGTAGTACAAGTATCCTGTCAAGTAATTGCATTGCTCAATGCCTCTAGTAGTCCCGGAATATAGACACCATCTCTTCCAGTCTCATCACCTGTCCAATGAGCTTATTCTGCTCCTCCAGGTGCCGGTTGTACTTGTTGTAATGCTCCGCCGTCATCACTTCTTCCTCCTTGCCCATGACGTCCTTTCTCTCCACAAACGACAAGATGTTGCGTTCTCGATGCCTCTCCACTTGCAGCACCTGCAGAGCGCGCACCATGGCCTTGTACAGGTCGTCCAGGATGTGCGCCTGGCATCGCTCCCGGTCAAAGAACCAGAAGAAAAGCGTGCGGTTGGCCAGCCTGGTGTTGTCCTTGGGAACCTCCTGAATGTCCACCAGCCCAGCCATCTGCATGGCAAGCATCTTGGCCTGCACGTCCGTCTTCTTCATCAGCGCAGCAGAGGGCAGCATCTTCTCGTCCAGCTTGCCCTTCTCCCGCAGTATACGAGTCAGGCGGAGTCCATGTCTTCCAAAGGACTGTTCAATGAATGCATCCAGCTCCAACTCACGAAGACGCTCCATCACCTGGTCGAAATCCACCGTCCACTGCCCGCGGCCCTGCGTTCCGCAATGGCGAACAAAGCGGTGCTTACTCTCTGCCAATAGCAAGAGATGCTGACGCATTTGATCTAAGCGGTTATCGGACGATGTCGCTGTATCCTCAAACGTCACCTTCATCGGTCGGCCTCCATTTGGCTTGGACACAGATCGAGATCTCCGGGATAGGGCCCCGTTTCTGCCCCCGTCATCCGAGTCGTCATCACTATCAAATCCTCCCGACGGCTCCTCATCCGAGTCTTCGGTGATCATGTCGTTTCCAGCGGGCGCCGTTCTAATCTTCTCTGCGCTTTGGTAATCGATCTTGTCCTTTGGAGCCTTGCCTATCCCCGCCGCGACATTGATATTCTCGTCGAGATGCTCGTAGACGTCCATTGTCGTGGCTGCAGCTTGTTGCTGAATCGAGTCCTCGCCCAGGAAAGGATCTGGCCGGCACCTGGACATCTCTGAAGTAAGGAGGCCCAGTAGCGTGCGATACACCTCGCCGGTAACTTCTCCCAGAGTGTCCTTGGCGAAGGCAGCCAGACGGTGACTGCGCAGCTCCACCAGGCATTTCTCGTAGTTGACCCTGACAACAACGTTTGGCTTTGAAGATTTAAGTTAGAAAGATACAGCAGTATCAATGAGGGAGTGAGGCTCACATTAAGAGGAGGCGTATCGTCATCCATCGCTCTATCCTCTTCGCCGAATCCATTGCCGAGCTTCCGTCGCTTCGTTACGGGCCCTCCAAACTGGTCAAGCTGCCTTTTCAAGGCCTTGGGTTGCTCTATAAACGATCGATACTGCTCCATAATCTGCCGTTGCTGGTCTATTTTTGTTTTGGATGCCTTCTCGCCGGGTGCTGTCTTGGTGACCTCGGCCTCGATTTCGTGGTAAACATCCCTGGGGTCGCGGAACGACTGCGGCCGAACTGTCTCAATGATGTCGCATCGGATCAGGTGGCTCAGCACATTGTGCAGTTCGGATTCGGACTGAATCAGACCGGAGCCGGCCCCGTTCACGCCATTGCTGTTGGCATGCCCGTTGGATGTCGGGGCGCGGGATACGTAGGCGTGCGTCAGCTCGGCGATTCGCGCGTATCCAAGAAGCAACAGTGTCTGGACGAGGTCGCGCTCCGCCGTCCCATACTGGCTCTCAATCATCTCCAAGATCTTGCCGAAACGGACGAGGTTGTAGCACGCGTCGGGATTGGCGTCATACGTGGTGCGCTTGGTATCGGGATTTGTGTCGTGGTATAGCAGGTTCTGCTGGATTAGGACGCCCAGGCCATTGCGAATCTGGCGAGGGCCGAGCTGCGTGTAGAGCCCGAGCTGCGCGATGGTGGATCGGCCCTTGGTGAAGAGCGCGGCGAGGATTCGCTGCAAGTGGGTGAGAAGAAAGGGACAGAGTCAGCCTCTCAATAGATACCGATAATGCTGAAGCCGTAGTACAGCGCCAATGGACGACCATGTCTCACATACCGAAGGAAGCTCGCCATAGAGATCACTGACTAGGAGAGCGCAAAGCTCCGCCGCATGTTTTGTCTGGATGAATCGCCGAATTAGCCACCAATTGCTCTCCTCTTCCTCGATACAAACGGCACAGCGTGAGTGTGACTAACGACGAACATTGCTTGCTCCTAGAGATCCTCTCACTATCTCTAGAGCTGCCACAGGTGCTACCTCCAAGTCATTGACTTGCGCCGCACCAGATCCCGGTCTCGCGATGCTTGAGGAGAACGGAAAGGGCGGTGGAAAGGACAGAAAAGCGCAGACTTGTCGGGTTTGGCGAAGCGAAGATGCTGAAGCGAAGGGGAAAAAAAAGTTGACGGGTTAGTGATGTGTTTTGCGAGCTGCAAGATTGGCCTGGGCCATTTTTTTTCTTGCGGGCGATGGTGAGCTAAAAGGGAAGGTGGGGCAGCCGCACAGCATGTACCGCCCACTCTCGCCTAGCCCAACTTTTGGTGGCAGAGCAGCTACAGGTACTTGGGCTCATGGCTGAAGAGAGCCTCACCTTGTGATGATCTTTTGGCAGACTCACATAGAGGATTCAACTCGCATTATTCGGATACGAATGCGCTCACCCAAGAATCTTGAATAATGACAATCAAATACGGAGGAATTGCCTCTACGAAGTATTCGTATTTTACAGCTGTGCATGTGGTGTGTGTGTGTGTGATGGGTATCGGTTTTACTTGGGACTTTTACATGCCATCTCCCCCTCTATGTATTATACAGACTGCCTTTGGGAAGAGACAGAGCACCAGCTCAACAGCCGTTCAAGCTTCATGCTGCCTCGGCTGACCCCCGTTGCTGCTTCAGCTTCTCCTCAAACTTGGCAAACTCCTGCAGGGAAATCTCCTCTTCCTCATCCAAGACCTGCTTTACTCCCTTTACTTCTTCAATCTATGCGGCAAAGGAACCGACGGTCAGTAACAACCTTCAGAACGTGACATAAGTCGAAAAAAACTCACATAATGCATCAGCATGCCTTCAATGCCATTCTTCAGAGTGACCGTACTTGAATCGCATGTTCGGCAAGCCCCGCGCAGCTTCAGCAGCACCTGACCATCCTCGAAGCCCCGGAACTCAATGTCACCACCGTCTTCCTGGATGGCCGGTCGGATCCTCGTTTCCAGCAGCTCCTTGATCATGCCCACCACTTCGCTGTCATTTTCGTTGTATGCCAGACTGTCCTCTTCCGCCGCCGCCTGGCCAGCCTCATCCGCCTTGCGCTCCACGACATTGACTATCTTCTCGCCAGATGTGATGGCCTCGGTAATGAGGGCGAAGATCTCGGGTCGCACATGAGCCCAGTTGGCATCGCTGGCCTTGGTCACGGTGATGAAGTCGGTTCCATAGAAGACGGACGTGACGCCATCAATGTTCATGAGCTTCGCAGCCAGAGGCGAGGGATGCGGCGGGGATATCGTAGCGCGCGGGTTCATGTATTCTATAAACGGCGTGGACATGTCTTCCGGGATGATGCGGTGATTCGGCAGGAACTTGAGAGCGTCCGGATTCGGTGTGCTTTCCGTCTGGATGAAGATTGTTCGCACGCCGGTCGGTACTAATCGCTGCGTCTTCCTAGACTGAGGCCGTGATGCGGCAATGACCGGGATCCGGACGCCGGTGCTGAGATGCCGCCGAGAGGACCATCTTGATGCCGCGGCTCTGACTTGACAGGCGGGCAGCGGCCTGGACACTGCAGCGGCGACGAATCGCGACGCTGTTCTCTGCATGTTAAGGGACGCCATGATCTGAGAATATTAGAAGAAGGAATAGAGAGGAAAAGGAAACGAGAAAGAAGAGACCCAGAAACTGGACGGCGGGCTAATAACGAAAAACGGATTACAAACCCGACGTCAAGAGGCAACTTTCGGGCGAAGCAGCCAAAAGCTGGATATCCGCGGGGCATCACGTGACGCGCTCAACCTCCCGGGAGCCGAAAATTAGACGGGTAGCTGCTGCACGACGAGGCACTTCTTTTTCGGCGACGACCCATTGCTCCATCACGACGCCTCAAGGACCGTCAATTGCCTACGCCATCACCCCCCGACAATGATCTCGAGGTCGGCTCTCTCGAAAAGCGTGCAGCACGCCGCTCGCCGGTCAGGCGCCGTGTCTCGCCGCGGCTTCGCTGCCGCCGCCGCTGCTCCCACCGGATCGTACGAGACTGCCGACATCAGCGGCCTCAAGGTTGCCTCCAAGGACACCCACGGCCCGACCACGACGCTGGCGGTTGTGGCCAAGGCCGGCACTCGCTACCAGCCGCTGCCCGGCCTGACGTACGGCCTGGAGCAGTACGCTTTCAAGGCAAGGGCGCATCTTCCCTGCTGGTTGGCGCAGCTTGAGCTAATTTTACATCGCCAACTCTTAGACTACCCAGCGACGATCTGCCCTGCGCATCAACCGCGAGTCTGAGCTTCTCGGAGGCCAATTGGAAGCGTCCCACACCCGTGAGGCTCTCGTCATCCAGGCCAGCTTCCTGCGCGACGATCTGCCCTACTTCGCCGAGCTCCTGGCCGAGGTTGTGTCCCAGACCAAGTATACCAGTAAGAGATGGCCGGTTCGCAAAATTTGGAAAGAATGAAAAAACGAGGTGATGCTTTTCACGATGAGAGACTAACCATGTTTTTTTTACTCTATACAGCTCACGAGTTCCACGAGGAGATTGAGCGAGTTCTGCCCTTTAAGAAGGCTGCCGTCAACGCCGATGTGGCCGGCCTTGCCCTGGACAACGCCCACGCCGTCGCCTTCCACAATGGCCTCGGTGCCGCCCTGAACCCCTCCGCCTCGACCCCCTTCCAGAAGTACGTCAACGAGGAGTACGTTTCCAGCTTCGCCGACGTTGTCTACTCCAAGCCCAACATTGCCGTTGTCGCCGACGGCGCCGGTGCCCAGAACGTGTCCAAGTGGGTCGACCAGTTCTTCAAGACCGTTCCTGCTGCTGCCCGCAGCGGCCAGACGCTCAAGACCGAGGCCACCAAGTACTATGGTGGTGAGCAGCGAACCAGCCACCCTGCTGGCAACGCCGTCGTGATTGCCTTCCCCGGTTCCGACAACGCCGGCTCCAAGCCCGAGATTGAGGTTCTGGCGACTCTCCTCGGCGGCCAGTCCACCATCAAGTGGACCCCTGGCTTCAGCCTGCTGGCCAAGGCCACTGCTGGAACCTCTGGCCTTTCTGTCGGTGCTTCCAACCAGGCCTACTCCGACGCTGGCCTTCTGACCATCCAGTTGTCTGGTGCTGCTGCCTCTGTCCGCAAGGCTGCTGAGGAGACGGTCAAGGCTCTCAAGGCCGTTGCTGCCGGCAACGTCAGCAAGGAGGACGTGGCCAAGGCTGTCGCCAACGCCAAGTTCAACCTTCTCGAGAAGGCCCAGACCCGTGGCGCCAGCGTCCTGCTGGCGGGTACCTCCCTTGTCCACAGCGGCAAGGTCCAGGACCTCCCTGCCCTGGCCAAGTCTCTGGACGCCGTCACTGCCGATAAGCTGAAGACGGTGAGTTTTCTTCCTCAGCCCTCTTTTATCTCTTTGAACTTGACTAATAGACTTTATAGACTGCCAAGGCTCTCCTCGACGGAAAGGCAACCGTCTCTACCGTTGGTGACCTGTTTGTGCTGCCTTATGCTGAGGAGCTGGGTCTGCGTGTATAGAAGGAGGAAGATATCATGGCGTAAAAAGCTTGTACAACAGTCAATAGTCATCTAGATGCGAGGGAGGGGCTAAAGTCATGGTGTTGGTGCGAAAAAAAGAAGGCCATTCTGTATTCAATCTTCTTCCCCTTTTTGTTCATTGAACCGCAGCTGTCCTATATCGCTTCTTTGAGCTCGTCACCAACCTCCTACGATGGCCGGGGGAAAGAGAAAAAGGAAAAGAAGAAAAAAAAGACTATATATGATTTTACCGTACTATGACATGCGTGGGATTCCAGTGTTTGTAAAGTATGCGACATGCGTAATACAATGCAAGGCATATGTGGTAGGTATGTATGTCGGAGACTGCATCCACCAGGGCCGGGGAAGCGGGTTCCCATCCAAGCGAAGAGCCGGGCGATGGGATCTTGGGGAGTCTACGAAGGGGGGTTTTCTGACTTTTGAAGATTGTGAAGAGGAAGCTGAGAAACAGCTGTGCACGGGGAGACTTCTCGAGAGGTAAGGTCGGAGTACTGAATGGGAGGGGGAGAACTTAAGAGCTGCTGTGCTGCATCGTTTGAGTGTCACGTAATTGTTGATGTTTGGATCGTGGTGAGCCCTGAGAGTACAGGTCGGGATGAGATCTGGACGATGATCGTGCTTACATGAACCTTGCGGAAACACATCTACATTCGATCCAGGTCGGTACTGACTCATCACATCTGACGGACGTCTTGTACTTCCCTATCTGCTCGAGGTACCTATTGAGTCTGGTAACAGTGCCTCGCTTGTGATCTACCCAGACATTCAGATCTACGAAAGAGGCTGTTGTCACTTTGAAGGGGGAAGTCCAGAGAGATGCGAGTCCTTATAACCTGAAGCGGTTCTACGGGGGGACATATGTACTGCTTGGGGTAAGGGACATGTCAATTGCAGGCGAAAACACGGAGCTGTGTGGCGCATATCCATGTGTAGGGCCGGGAGGATGAAGAGATTACAGCTTCGTAAAAGTCTTTTAAGAGGCGTGATGAGATTTGGTGCATGGGCAATTGCTGGAAATAGGGAAAAGGGGGGAACGGGCAGGGGAACGGGTAAAAAAGAAAGCAAATTGCAATGGGATTGAGATAGTAGTACTTAGTATTTGACCATCGGGCTTCTGAATGGTGACGGCGCAATAGAACTAGTGTGGAAGCGGACGTCTCGAGTGTTGATCTTGTGGTTGGTGGTTTAAGCCGGGGAGATTTCTCAGCTCACGATAACCGTGACCTGGTGTAAGTCGAATGGCCCAAAGAAGGACGGACGAGAGCGGGTTCGTTGGCCGCGTGATTGTAAGATTCGACCGGGTCCTGCGAGATGCTACTGCTGGCAGGCGGTTTGTGCACTGACAAGGATGGCAATACACACATAATCTCCGCAATATAAGACGTGCAGTGTGTATGGGTGAGATGCTAAACGAGAAGAGCGCGTCATTGACACAGCCGTGAAATGACGACGGGCCCTGTTCGATGTACATGTACCAGCCTCACCTGGGGGGGCTGAACTGAGATGCTGCCGCATTTATGGGGAGGTACCTGTTCGCCTGTGTAAGGCATCTGGTTACAATTGGGGGCGTGGAATCTGCAGAAACGACATTGGCTGTGGGAACTGGAGGTGCCACGAGATTGGCCTGTTGCCTGGAGAGATTGGGCGGGTTGGTGATGGTGTTGACGCTGCGTGTTGCGGAGGGTTATCTTGGAGATGAAGCACAAGTAGCTTCGAAACGGAGGGAACCAGAGGCTACACTGAATGGCATCAAGGTCATATCGCAATTCATTGCGTTGTAGAACATTGATACAAGTACACGACTGGTATCTCCTCACAAGGTCTACCTCAACTCGCCCATAATCTGGCACCTCATTTAAACATTCCATCCATCTGCTCTGGCATCAACCAGCCGTCACCACCAGCCCTTGCCGGAAGAGGAACAAAGCGCAGCAAGGGTAGCTCGCTAGCGCCTCGCCCATCTCCTTTTCTGGTCTCCCAGCAACAGGGATGCTTTATTGGGCGTCCTCTCGGGCTTCTTGGCTGTCCATTTCGATCAACTCTGCTCCAGGGCTGGTCTTCGAACGGCCCTCTTCAGCACCGCGCTCCACCCCTGCCTGATTAGCACAGGACTCTCGGGGTTCCCCAGCGGGCTGCTTCAGGGCTTCCAGCGCTCCCGCCTCTCCACTGATTCACTGGAACATTGAAGTCGACTGCCACTGGCGGCTCTCCTGACTGTCTGGAGACCAGACCCCTTGCAGGTTTATAAGCGGCGCTCCACAGAACCCCCGGAGCACCAAAGTCACGACGGCAGCTGCTAACAAAACTCTTCCCGTCAGCGTACCCAAGGTCATTCGTACCGCTGCAGCCGCTGGAGCTTGTCGACCTGCAGAAACAGCTCGTCTTTCAATCTTCTTTTTCTTTGCTTTTTTCTACACTTTCTCCATTTTCTTCTATTTTTGACTCCCCAAGCTGTGGCTGCAGTGGCGCCGGCAAGAGGCGCTCCTGCTTGGGACTCTTCAATACCTTGCCTTGTACTTACAAGGGAAGTCCGACAAAAAGAAAGGCACAGGTCACATCCAGGTACCGTGCCAGAGGCAACAGGGCCGGTGAGGAGAGAGGCTGTTTTGTGCCTGAATCTCAGCTCGGGGTTTCGAGGTCAGATCTTGCCTGAGCCTCGTACCACTGCTCTGCTTCAACACACCGGATCTCGAGTCGACTCTGGCGATGCCTCTCAGTCCCTCTTCTTCTTCATAGTCACTGTGAGTCTGGAGCCAAAACCCTACCTAGCCATGCGCCGTGCAGCGCCGTGCCCTCAACTGCCCCGCTGGATGGAGAGCAGACGGATGGATACCGGATGAACAGACGCTGGATCCAACATTGAACATGCGCTGACCGACCCCAATGAACAGCCTTCTTCAACCATCTTGACCAAGCCGCTGTCACTGGGCAGAGCTTGAGGCCGCATCAGACAGCTGCAACGTCATTTTCTCATTCGTCCTACCCGATCCAGCGGTTCGCTTTGCCCAACGACCCCGGCAGGGCATCGTCGGCCCAACACACAACGCATACTTTTTGTTCTTTATTGCTTCTATTTTTTTGTCCTTTACACTCTTCTCCTCGCTTTCATATCTTCTCTTCCTTTTCCCTGCCGGCTGTTCTTGTCTCCCATTTGAGCGGCTTCCCCGTCTCGATGATCACCCGACGACCTTCCGCCATATCGTGAAACCATTGCCTCGTCTTACTGTCCATGGCGGCAGGATGACGGCGACTCCCTCCAGCAACCGGCTGAAGCTCACTCCCTCCAATTCACCTTTTCTCACCACCCGACGCCCGAGGTCTCCGCTGCGCGGCCGGCCCGTCTTCGACTCCCGCCTCTCGCTCAAGAGGGTTGTCGGCACCACATGCCGCTCGCCCACCGCCTTTGACGCCGTCGGCGCCAGCTTCGCCTACACCGCTGGCGGTGCCGTCGTGGTTGTCCGTGTCGACGCCGATCAGTACACCCAGCGATTCTACCGAGCCCGCCCCAATGTTGCCTCCCTCTACGCCTCGCCAAACGCGCCTTCTACACCGACAACGACGGCGACGACCACCCCAAAGGCCAATGACAGCCGGAACCGTGTGGCCGCCGGCTACCGAGACTCTCACGGCGCGCCTGATTGGGCTGATGGAATGCCTAGAACGTGGACCAGCCGCGAGCGCATCAAGGCAGCCACGTGCCTCAGTCTAAGTCCGGATGGCAAGTATTTGGCTGTGGGCGAGACTGGATATGCGCCCCGCGTTTTGATCTTTAGCCTCCAGGATTCATCTTCCGACATTCCTCTCGTATCAATCAGCGAGCATGCGTTTGGCGTCAACGCCGTTGCGTGGTCTCCCGACTCCAAGTATCTCGCCTCTCTCGGTGCCGCCAACGATGGCTTTCTGTATGTCTGGAAGGTCGACTCCCGCAACGGCCAGACGAAGCTGTTCCAGCAGAACAGGTGCACGTCCTACGTCAAGGATATGGTGTGGCTAGGCAACTCCCTCATTACTCTCGGCATCCGGCATATCAAAATGTGGAAGATTGATGAAAACGCCGGCATCTCTCCGATGAAACCGAAATTTCCAGTCGAGCACCCTCCCCTGTCGCCGACTTCTCAAAAGACATTGCCTGGCCGGAACATTATCTTAGGGGGTCTTCTGGAAGCTACATTTAGCTGCGCGGCGGTGGACGGCAGCCGCCTCATCATGTGCACCGAGGCGGGCGATGTGTGCATCTTGGAAGGTGATGACAGGCAGATGAAAGTCGTTTCCATCCTCAACCTTGATTTCTTCATATCAACCATTCAAATCCGGGACAATGTGGCCTACGTTGGCGGAAAAGACGGCAATTTCACCAAGCTCGACGTTGCTGGGCTTATGGACGGGCGCAAGGATTGCGTTACTGGCACCTCAAAGACCTCGGTTGGCTTGGTGGCTCTGGGCTTCATGACAAACAACTCGGTTACCATCGACGCCAAAGGGTCAATTGACGTTTGGGACTTGGACTACGTACCGGGTCAAACGGCGGAGCCATCGTTGCACATCAATATTCCGGGCCATGGAGATCCGGTTGCTGGTATCTGTGCCATGGATAGGCTTAATGAGGTGCAGGCGGCTTTTCTGACGTGGTCATACTCGGGGAAAGTGACATTTTGGGACCTGGATGGCCGGATTAAAGAGACCATCGTTGTGCCGCTGGAAGGCTTGAACGTGCCGGATCCCAGCGTGGAGCCGGCAAATCAGTTGACCTGCGTCAAGATCTCCAAAAGCGGGCGCCTCCTGGCCACAGCCGATCGCCTCGGCGTACTGAGAGTTACAGACACAGTAACTGGAGATTGTCTGCTCGATACCAAGGCTCACTCAGCTGATTGCACATCCATCAGCCTGTACGAAGATGACGCGAGATTCCTCATGGCTTGTTGCGGTAGGGACCGCACGGCGCAGCTATTTCATCGCTCTTGTACGGGCGGCAATATCGAGCATTTCCAGACAATCGAGTTCGCTTCACGGGTCGTACAGGTGCTTGTGCCATCGGATGACAAGGTACTCACTTGCGCTTGGGACCGCACGATGCATATTCACGACCTGGTGACCAAGGAAGGGGAGCCCGACGCGATAGCGGCCATCCCTTCAAAGGTGGTCTCCCTCAAGGCGTCGCCGACTTCCATGACTGCGAGCTTGGATAGCCGGACCGTATTTGTTTCTATGCTGGACCGATCTGTTTGCCAATACGACATCTTGACAGGGCGACCGATCAACTGCTTCAAGTGCATGGACGAGAGCGGCATAGAATCCGCGGTTCTTGAATCTCTCTCAATCGAGCAGGGCGCGCCCAGAGACTCCGATTTCTTGCTGGCCGCCTCCAACACCGACAAGTCCATTCGACTTTATGACTCTATCTCCGGGGCATTCTTGGATCGGGAGTGGGGCCATACCGAGGCCATCAACGGGGTGGCATTTGTTGACGGCGGTGAGGAAGGCAGAAAGGTTGTGAGCGTTGCGGCAGATGGAACCATCATGATATGGTGCCTCGATGTGCATGAGAGGCTTAGAAGCAGGGAGTCATCACCGGCGAGAGAAGCAACTTCGGGCAGGCCTCCGCTGCGGAAAGTCCTGTCAAAGGCCGAGCTGGCAGAGTTTCAACGCCCACGCGAAAACTCAACGGGTCAGCGCACCTCGCCGCCACCGCCAACGCAGTCTCGGACCGTCCGGAAGCGCACTTCCCGACTCAATCTGTCTTCCAACACCCCTGGCTCCAAGACGCCGTCGCAGATAAGCCCTGGAAGCGGCCGGACCATGGACGACACTCCTTCGCGTCGAAAGACAAACGACGCGAATGCCTCCAGCCCTCCCCTGAGCCCAAGGGCCAGGCTGTCTCGTAGGCCTTCGCTACCGGTCCTGGGTCACGCCGCGCGTAAGAAGAGCTCGGCTCCCAACCTTCGCGGAAACGCCTCGCTGAACACAGCGACGGAACAAACCTGTCGTACTTTGAGAGCGTACCGGAAGAAGCTCACATCGGCTGAGCCCATCAATCCAGATGCCCTCGGCGAACTCGATCAAGAACTGCGATTCACTGCGGCCGCGCTGGGCGACCGCGCCATTAGGAGCAGGGCGATGAACGAAACTGTCCTGAGCGGACTCCTGGACCAATACTCTGAAAGACTGGTCACTCTGCTGGACGAGAAGCTGCGCCTGACCAGCCAGCCCCTCGAGCGAGATACGGAGGTGTCAAGCGAGGATCGCCGCGGCAGTACTGATGAAACGGCAAGCACAACTTCGTCAAGTTGATACCCATCAATTCATTTCTTTTCTCTTGTGTATTACCATCCCAGACCACGCGATCGTCTTTTCTTTTGTATGAAGTGCCGGGTGCGGTCAAAGATTACCACATGGACAGAGGCAGTTCACAAAATGGCGTTTAGGATTTTATTTCTTATAGGGGGAAGCTCTCGATAAGAGCCAAAAGGGAGCGGCGGACTGTGCTTCAGCCACGGGAGGTTCTGCTTTTACAGCGCTGATATGATACCACGGGGGTCAATTGGAGTTTATGGCGGTACATCAGATGCATTTTGGTATCTTTGCATGGGATAATTCACACCCATTCAAGATGGTGGTGCGGCATGCATCTCTTGTTCCTGGTTTTCCTTATAGTTTGTTTCTAAGAGGGGAGAGGCTGTAGCAAAGCCGGCATACATCGGGACAGCTCTGCGCGTGCGCGGGCGTCGACATGATATATCTATACACATTCACACCGACGATGTACAGAGTCCATTCTCCGTGAAAACAGTGCTATTCAATGTCTCTTTGCCCATTGGACTTGTCCGTCAAGTGCTTGTTGGCGCTGTTGATGCTGTTGATGCTCGTTGCTGTGGCTGAAGTCTGCATCGTGCACGTGACGCAGCCGCGATTGAGGCGTTATCCCTGCCTTTTCCGGCCAGCCGCGCTCTTGTCTCTCCTCCATCTCACACGTCGAACCACGACCGACTTCGCAGCCTCGCGAAAAAAAGGCTATTCCTGCATCACGTGATCCAGGACGACTCGGTCGCGACAAGAAACACGACAGCGAAGAAAAAAGCCAAAGGGAAATCAATCGCGCCACCGCTCCAGAGGGGATCGCAACGTCTTTGAGAGGAAAAACCGGATCGTATCGAGCAGCCCAGCCGCTTCGGATCAGATGAGAGGAGGACGTTGAAAGCCACCGCCCTGAAAAGCGACCGGAATCTGGAGCCACGGCTGCCTGTACGTTGTTCTGCCTTTTGTTGTTCTTCTCTGCATCGCCTTCTCCTCTTCCTTGCCCCGTTTGCTCCGTAATGACGTAGATGACAAATGGGCCTGTTTCTAACGATGGTGTTTCTCTGTCTCGTTTCGATGAAGAATAGATCGTGGCGCCCATTTATCCTGTTGCGACGAAGCGTGACGGTCCCCTCGATCGCGGGCGAGGCGGACCTCGGGGCATGAACCACCAACCGGCCGCCTTCACGCCCCTCGAGTCGCTGTTCCTGTTCCAGAGCCTGCTTTCGCAGGGGGTCGACGGCGGGGCGTTTGCGCGCATCTCGGAGCTGCTCAAGGGGAACCCTCTGATCAAGAGCGGCGAAACGTACGATGCCGCGCGTCTGACGCCCGAGGCGCTGCAGCAGCAGTTCCTGGGGCTGCTGCGAGACGAGCTCAAGGGTGATGCGGAGCGCGCTGATGGGGGGCAGACAACAACAACAGCAGCGGCGGCTGGGGGAGGAGGGGACGGGACGACGGGGTCGCCTGGGTCGTTGAAGAGGAAGCTGGGGAGCCAGACGGTGCCGACGCTCAAGGATATATACGACAATATCGATGTTCTGCCGGCGATTATCGATCGGCTGTACGCACGGTATCGAGACCACATGGTTGGGCTGATTCGCGAGGACGAACGTAGGCTGGCCGTCTTGCAGCGAGAGATTCAGCTGCTGGAGCGGAGCGAAAAGGAGCGTCTTGCGAAGGTGGCCGCCAGCCAGAACATCACGCCGAGTCCGGCTCCACGAGATCCAAGGACGGCCGCAACGGCAGCGCTGCCCTCGACGACAACAACAGGGGTGCCATCAGTCGCCGCTCCATCACCCTTACCACCTACAAACGGAGCTACTCCTTCTCCTTCTCCAGTACAGGTATCGACGACAGCGCCGCCTCCGGCCATCAGAAAGGGACCAACTCCGAATACGCCTGTGCCGCCGCCGAAACCACCCGTTTCTGCCGTTGCAGCGCCCAAGGTCCCAGTACAGAGCCAGCTGGCGCCTGCGGCGACGCCTTCTCGACCGGCTGCCTCACCGAAACCGCCGAATGCAGCGTCTTCCGTGCTCCAAGCGCCTACCGGGGCTCCAACACCACAGCCAAGCTCCCAAGTGTTGCAGCCGCCGACGCAGCAGCCGCCGAAACAGAGCATACCGCCCCGGCCAGAGTCTGCTGCACCACAACCACCAGCCGCGCCAGGAGCCGCTCCCGCTCAGGCTGGGTCGCTCAAGTGGGAGAAACCCTATCAGCCTCCGCCAACGGCGCAGGCTTCTCCGGCTGAGCAGCAATACTCACCGCCGATGCTCTCTGCGCCGAACAATGCCGCTTTGCAGAAGGCTCACTCGCCCGCGCAACAGCAGCAACCTTTACCTTCGCCTGCGCAACAGCAACAGTGGCAACGACAGCCAGTACCTCATCCGCAACAACACCCACAACAACCAGAGCATCCACAGCATCCACAACAACAGCCTACGCAATATCCTACACACCCGCCACAATTACCACATGCACAGGTGGCACATCCACCACGTCCCCAACCGCAATTTCAATCACAGCCTCAACAGCAGCAGCTGCCCCAGCAGCAGCAGCAGCAGCAACAACAGCCGCGGCCACCCGCTGCAAAGCCTGTTTTGGTTCCCCCTCAGCCTGCCGGCCAGCTGGCTGCCCCTATACAGCCGGGACCTCCTCGCGCAACCGGACCAGGGGCTACACAGCAAGTTCGTCCGCCATCGACGACACCCTCGGCCTCGGGCCGTCCTATTCAACCTCAACAACAACCTCAGCCGCACCCGCAGCAGCAACAGCAGAGCCAGCAGACAACACCACAGCACCAGCACATACAGAGAGCAGTACAAGCTCAGCCATCCTTGCTAGCTCAGAAGTTCCAGCACATCCCGAGAATCCAGACGCCGCGGCCAATTGTTTCTGCAAATTCTCCCAAGGGGTCGCCTTCGGTTACCGCTGCTGGATCTCCAATCCTTAATAAGGGTGCCGCTCCTGTAGCTACCGCAACGCAACGATGGCAGCCGGGCGCTTCTTCAGCACAGCAAGGAGCTCCTCCTCGGCCAGCTCCATCTCCGTCACCCGCCAACAAGGACAAGCCGCATGGCACACCGTATGGTGCCCAAGCGCCGCGGCCTGCGATCCCCGAGCACATGATCCGGCAGGCGGCTGCTACTCCGGGACCTGTGAGACGACTCAGTCCAGCATCTCCAGCACCACGGACGCCAGCACCGTCAAGTCCTGTATCTCTTAAGCGCGGATTTGGAACCAAGTGGGCATCTCACTCGACTCCGTCGACTCCTGGTCCGATTGCATCAGAGCCGGAGAGTCCGGCTTATGAACCCGTTAGTCCTCCGCTGCAGCGGCCCACGATTGCAAAAGACTCTGCAGTCAAAGCGGCTCCTAAGATGGCCGTGCCAAAGCCAGCTGCCACAGTTGAGGCAACCCCTGTAGCAAAGGCACCTCGAGGTCGACCCCCGCGATCGGTGCAGAGAAGCCGCGGGCCCAGTGCAACGCCTTCTGCCACGGGAACGCGGCGAAGCCAGTCTGTCATTAGCCAAACAGATGAGCTGTCTCTTGATCACTCCATGACCAAGGTGAAGAAGGAGGCGGCAACGCCGCGCCTCAGGGAGGAGACTGGCGATACGACTGCGGATGAAAGCATGCCCGGACGGGGCATGATGGGTACTCCCAGCAGTATGACCCGTGCATCTAAGAGGAAGCGGCAGGATACTCCTACTGACCTTCAAGGCCCTCCCACGCACGTGTTGTGGACGCGAGGCTTCACAAAGGTGTCCTCGTCGGCCCTCGACCAGATATCGAGCCATCGCGACGCGAACATGTTTGCGACCGCCCTGCGAGAGAAAGACGCGCCGAACTACCGGCAGATCGTCCTCCAACCGCAAGACATTACTTCGATTCGCTCCGCCATCAAAGCCGGCAACAAGGCCGCACTGCAGGCGGCGGCGAACTTGCCAGGCGGCGATCCGGGCACGGCCAGTGTCTGGCTCCCCATTTCCGACGATCTCGTTCCTCCCCGAGGAATAATCAACAGCGCTCATCTCGAGCGCGAGCTGGTGCACATGTTCTGTAATGCGATCATGTACAACCCCGATCCGGATCGCGGCCCGGGGCCGGCATTCATGAGGAGGTCTCAGAGCGACGAGGAGGAGATTGTGGGCTACCGACTCGACGAGAACGGGGTGGTGAAGAACACGCAGAGCATGTTCCTCGAGGTGGAGAAGCTCCTGGGGGACCTGCGGGCGGCGGAGAAGGACCGCGGCATCCCGCCCATCTCGACGACGAGGCAGGGCAGCGTGGCGACGCCGGCCGAGGACACGGCCGAGGAGGAGGACGAGCTCGCGGGGGACGGCGACTCGACGTCGGCGTCGGGCACGGGGACGGCCAAGAGGAGGCGCATCAGCACCAGGATTTAGAAGCAGCCTGTGCTCATGAGGATGCTCGGCGAGGCGACGCCGCCGCCGCCGGCGCCACCACCACCACCAGCGCAGCAGAGGGAATCGCGGAGTTTGAGGGCGTCTCGGGGCTCAAAATTGGCCAAATAGGGTGATTTTGCTTGTTGACGGGGAATGGACCGGGGCAATGTGGCCTGCCCTCATGGAAAAGGGAAGAGGATCTCATGAGCGGCGGTTGGGCGGGAATCTTTTTGCTGTCTTTGTTGGAATTGTGAAATGTTGTTTCCGAGTTGTGTATACCAGCGCCCCGCCCCTTTTACTCTCCCCCCTTTTATCTTTTTTTGGGTTTGACAGAGTAGTAAGTAGTTTGGAGAGGGAATATTAGCTTTTTAAGCTTTTACTTTGCTTGTGCGACTTGACCAATGTGTGCGGATCAGAAGAGGTATTGATTCACGTACTGGTAGATGGCTGACTGGGTGATGTTCTACTTGTTTATTATTTTTGACTGAAACCATTAGGCTATCTATTAACAAACTCCATGATATCACATATGCTATTTGACATTCAGCAGGCTCAAAATGTACACAGGCTCATAATGCAGGCTCATGAAATCGCTTCTAATCTCTCGAAACAAATGCCTTGAGAGAATTCCAGCTCACCGATCCAGCTTCGGGACCCTGATCGACGAAGTCGACCTCCGACTCGGCGCAAGCTTCATCGAATCCTGCGCCTTGTCCTTGGCGGGCGGCTTCCGCGGCCAATCGGGACAGACGTCAATGTTCTCCCTCGGGAACCACCACTCGAGGAACAAGAAGAAGAGGTAGTCGACGACGACGCAGAGGCAAAAGAGCTTGCCGGCCCAGATGCCGCAGCCGTAGTAGCGCTTGAGGCGGTCGATGAGGGCAAAGTCGCGGATGCGGCTGCCGTTGTTGTAGCCGCTGGTGTCGAAGCCGTAGAACTCGTCCTCGCTGATGGTGCCGCAGATGCCGTCGTAGACGCGCTCGGTGCGCATGGCGACGTTGGACCACGAGTACATCTTCTTGACCTCGTCGTGGAACTTTTCGGTGCGGATCTTGCCGGCGCGCATGGCGGTGATGGCCTTGCCGGTGGCGGCGACGATGTCGTCCTCCTCGGGCTTGGCAAAGGTCGTCATGTGCGAGGGGAGGACCTCGGGGATGCCGCCGACCTGGGTGCAGACGACGTAGAGCCCGCACGAGGCGGCCTCGACGATGACGGTGCCAAAGGCCTCGGTGAGGGACGGGTGCAGGTAGATGTGGCCGCGCGTCATGACGTCGCGGACGTCCTCGTGGCGGATGGGGCCGAGCATCTCGACGCGGTCCTGCAGCACGTTGGTCTCGATCATTTGCTCCAGGTCAATAGCCTTGGGGCCCGAGCCGGCGATGATGAAGCGCGTGTTGGGATGGTTCTCGAGGATCCGGGGGATGGCGGCGGTGAGGAGGTCGGTGCCCTTGTTGTAGAACAGCCGCGAGATGACGACGATGGTGATGACGTCGTGGGGGCCGAGGGTGCGAGGGGACGGCTCGGCCCTGAAGCTGCCTCCTCCTTGCTCTGACGGCGCGGGATAGTCGCGGGGCCTAAAGTTTTCGCCGACGACGGCGTTGGGGATGACGGACACCATGAGGGGATCCAGAGAGGCGCGGAGAACGGTGTTTTCCTTGCTGCAAAGAGATGTTAGGAGAGTGCTGCAACACATGAACCGTGGTCATCTCAACTCACCAGGTATGGCTCACGCAGATGCTGTGGTCCACGTCACTCAAGATAAATTTGAGCAGCTTATTTGTCAGAATACTGGCAGCATCCGCAAACCCAAAGAGCGAATGATCCGTAAACACAGTTCTCAATCCCATAGTCCTTGCATGCAGGATGCCCTCGTGACAAAGGGAGCTGAGACTGCCATGGCCATGGACGATTTCGATCCGCTCGCGGATGCAGATATTCCGCAATATGGGAAAGAAGGAGAAGACGGTAGGGAAAGTGGCCTGCCGGTAGATGACGAGAAAGGGCACATGGTAGACCTTGAGGCCGTTGTTGAGATAGCGGACGCCCTTGCGGTCGTCGTGGGCGTGGGTGATGATGATGACCTTGTGGCCTCTGTCGATGAGCTTGCTCGAGAGTTGGTAGATGTGAGACTCGACGCCGCCGGGCTGCGGGAAGAAGAAGTCGCTGACCATGGCGATGTTGTACGTTTTGCGCGCCATGTTGGTGATGAGCAGGTATTGTGAGACTGGGATGGCTAGATGGTCTGGTTCTTGATCATGGGTCTTTGCGGTTGTGAGAGCGGCTGATGCTGAGGCTGAGGGTAAGATGAAGCATGTGAGCGTCTGGGTAGACTTTGGTCTTTGTCCTGCAGCTTCTACCGTCGCATTTCTTAGTTTCACATCATCTCAATGATGCAAAGAACAGTCTGAATACAGCTCGATTTGGTACAAAGACGGCAGAGAGAGGCTTCATCAAGGACGGAGGATGTTAATGTAAGAGCGTCGTTGGTTATAGGCTCACTCCCTCCAATTGGATACGTCTCCGTCTCCATTGACGACGCTAACTCGAAGCTGCCCGATAACGCGGGCGGTGAGATGCGGCAAAATCCCGATAACAGCTCCCGTCGCCAAATTTTTGGACGACAGCTTCTGGATCCTCCGATTGCTTCGCATTTTGCTGGGTTGAAGACTGACAGAAAAGCTGTCGGCGCATTTTTGATCCCGGGTTTGGGGTCAATTCACTCTTTTTTTTCGTTTCTTGTTCTCCTCACGCATTCTTACTATTACAGAAAGGCGCAATGTATGCACGGTATATCCCCGGGCAGAAGCCTACCAAAGACAACCAAGATCTTCCCGTCGCAAAGCAATCGCCCGCCCCGTCTGCAGCCACGAATGGTGGAGATGGACTCTCCTACGCTCGCTATATACCCGGCGTGACGCCTCAGAAGCAGGCCGAAACGCCCAATGTCCAGCGATTCGAAGACGAGTCAGACTCTCCCAAGCCGAAGAGGAAACGGGACGATGGGGAGCCGCTTGGGGAGCCGCTACAGGAGCCTCTGAACAAAAAGTCGAAAAAGTCGAAGAAAGGGAAGCAACAAGTTCATGAAGAAGAGGTAGAAGAACAAGATGGGGAGACGGAAGAGGTCGAGGACGAGGCAGAGCACGCCTCTAAACGCGCAAGGCGGAAGGAAAAGGGCTTAGAAGCTGTCCCGCAGGACTCAGAATCTGCAGAGGAAGTGAAAAAGACCAAGAAGAGCAGAAGATCCGAACAGGATGGCGCTCTGAAAGAGAGCAAAGACGGAAAGAAGGAGAAGAAGAAGAATAAGGATAGAAAGAGAGAGGAAGCATCCGACGAGGAGCACAACGAGTCCACTTCCGATGGCCAGAACCCAGAGCAGACCATTGACTCTTCTACTGCGCACCCCGAAGACTCCGAAATGGTAGATGCAGCGGACGGCATAACCCCCGAACCCGCAGAGCAGCAACCCAAAAAGCCCAAAAAAGAAAAGAAGAAGAAGTCGCAGGATGCCGCCATGAACGAAGCGGCGGAGGAAGAAGCCGAAGACACACGCCACAAGGCCGTCTTCGAGCGAAAAGCCAAATCGCTCAAGTACGCCGAAATCATCAAAGAGCAAGGCATCGACGAGGAACCCGAGGAGCCAGCCGAGCTCCACGGCCTGGAACCCCTCCCGCAGCCCGCGCGCACCGCTCCCAGCACAGCAAAGCCGACATACGAGACGCTCCCGCCGTGGCTCTCCGCGCCGATCCGCGTCTCGGTGGACACGCGGACGCCCTTTACGGAGCTCGGGATCCTGCCAAAGGCCGCACGGGTCCTCGAGCAAAAGGGTTATACAGAGGCTTTCGCCGTGCAGACGGCTGCTCTGCCGCTGCTGCTCCCGTCGAACAAGCAGCAGCCGGGCGACCTCCTCGTGTCGGCAGCAACGGGATCCGGAAAGACGCTGGCCTACGCCTTGCCGATCGTGCGGGACGTGAGCAACAGCGTCGTCACGAGGCTGCGCGCTCTCGTCGTGCTTCCGACGCGCGAGCTCGTCAAGCAAGCCCAGGAAGTCTTTGAACTGTGCGCAAAGGCCTACGAGGGCGAGGACAGGAAAAGAGTCCGCGTCGGCATCGCCATCGGTAATCAGTCTTTGGCCTCGGAACAGGACCTCCTCGTGGGCAAGGAGACGCGCTACGACCCGGAGGCGTATCAGCAGCTGGAGCAAGAAGCATCATCATCACAGGTAGCTTCAGCAAGCGAAGACGACCTGGACGCCCTCCTCAACGGCCCTGACACGCACCGCCGCGCCAACCCCCGCCTCGGCCCCTGGCAAGGCCAAGTCGTCGACTTCCACTCCAAAGTCGACGTCCTCATCTGCACGCCCGGCCGCCTCGTCGAGCACCTCGACCAGACCCCCGGCTTCAGCCTCTCCTACATCCGCTGGCTCGTCGTCGACGAAGCCGACAAGCTCCTCGCGCAGAGCTTCCAGGGCTGGCTCGACGTCGTCCTGGACAAGTTCAAGACGAGCAGCGGCGGTGTCTTCGGCGCCAGGGACTTTCCCGACATGCCCCACTCGGGCGTCCGCAAGATCCTGCTCAGCGCCACGCTGACGAGGGACCTGAGCCTGCTGAACCAGCTTGCGCTGTGGAGGCCGCGGCTGATTGTCCTGGAGAGCGGGCAGGATCAGGATGCTCAGCAGCAGGTCGCGGAGCATTCGCTGCCGGAGGAGCTGAGGGAGTACGCGGTCAGGGTGCACGATGCGAACCTGAAGCCGCTGTATCTGCTTGATCTGCTACGAAGCCCTCACATGGCTACCAATGATGATGAGGCTGCAAAGCATGAGCATCCTGCTACGAAACCTCAATCCGACGCAGATTCAGACACTAGCTCCGACGACTCAAGCTCCGATTCCGACTTATCTTCTGAATCATCAGACGACGATTCAGACGCTACAAGCTCAGACTCAGACACATCCTCATCCTCATCCTCGAGATCCACCACAGCCCCCGCCCCAAGAAAGTCCCACGCCATCCCCCGATCCCTCATCTTCACAAAGTCCAACGAGTCCGCCCTCCGCCTCTCCCGCCTCCTCGCCCTCCTCGACCCGTCCCTCGCCCCGCAAATCGGCACCCTCACGTCCACCACGCCCACCAGCGTCCGCCGCAAGACCCTCCGCGCCTTCACCACCCCCTCCTCCTCTTCCCCCCTGCGCCTCATCATCGCGTCCGATCTGGTGGCGCGCGGTATCGACATACCGAAGCTGCCGCACGTCGTCAACTACGACCTCCCGCCGAGCGTGGCTGGTTACGTGCATCGCGTGGGACGAACTGCGCGTGCCGGACGGCCGGGTTGCGCGTGGACGCTTGTGGGCGATGGCGAGAGCGGTTGGTTTTGGGGCAAGATTGGAAAGAGTGCGGCGGTGAAGAGGGCACAGAAGGTGGGACGGGTCATCATTGAGGAGATGAGCGAGGAGAGGATAGAAGAGTATGAGAGTGCGCTGGAGAAGCTGGGCAAGGAGGCGCTCGAGTCACGGAAGAAATAGAACAGTGTGATCGGGGAGTCATGGAAGTTTTAGACCAGTTGATATCAGATACCAAGCAAGATTCATAGCATAACCATTGTCAGAAAGATCACTTTTTCCCAGTTTCAAGTCGCCGTAGTACACAATTTGTCGGAATCCAGATTCCCATTCACAAGGCAGAAACATTCGGAAACGCAGCTTAGTCGTCGCTCCAGGCGTTTCTCTCATGATGAATCGGCGACGGCTCAACCCGCGGCCTGTTGTCCTGTTCATTCGCCGGCAGACTCTGATATCCGCGCGGACGGGGCGACGACTCGTCCTGTCGCTCGACGACCTCGTCTGCATCCGTGACGTCTTCCAGCAGGGGACGGCTCTCGCTGCCATGGACACGCTGTTGTCGGCGCCAGTTGATGGAGCGCCATGCGTTCCACCAGTTTGTGCCTTCTCTCGTCATCAGGAGGCTCAAGATCTACCCCGGACGAAAGGATCCTGTCAGTAACCAGTTTGAGGGACCCGGTATCGAAAGGGAAACTCACCTGCAGCAAGCCAACCGCGACAACGACTCCAAAATCAGCCCCCGCGCTACTCCGCAGCGCCGCCCTCCACGGCTTTCTACAACTCTGATCCCGCCCAAACATTTCGTAACACATACTCCACGGCTGATTTTTCTTGGGAAAAGGATACGCCCTGTCCTTGACGGAGTTCAGACCGCAGCAGTTGAGCGTGTCCTGAATCAACCGGATCGACTCCCCGTCATGAGCACGGAACATGCGCAGCCACTTATTGTCCAGCAAGCACTCGACCGTCGCCGAAGGAATCACATCCTCAAAGAGCAGCGTCGCGAGGACGGCCGTCAAGAGGCCCTGGAGGGTCTGCAGGATCGTGGGGCTGAGGCGGTGCAGCGGGTGGGAGGAGTGGCGGGCGGAGTGCAGGAGGGTCGGGTAGATGTAGGAGTTGAGGAGGGAGAGGATGGGGAGGAGGACGGTGAGGACAGTGATGGCCGGGTTGATGGGGAGGGAGAGGTGGGCGCTGTGGAAGTGGACGACGCTGGGGGATTGCGTGTAAGCTGATGTTTTTTCGATGGGGAGGAGGTTGGAGGTTATAGAACGTACGCTGCGACGCCGAACAGAACTGCGCTGCCCTGGAGGGAGCAATCAACGTTAGTATTCTGGAATAGAGAAGAGTTTGAATGTGAAGGAGGTGGTGATGGAAGTTCCGTACCAGCAGAAACACGAGGCCCAAGCCAAGTGCCATGTCTGTGATGTTTGCGAGCCCAACGCCCGCTTCTCAGTCGTATCGTGTCGTTGTCTCCGTCAGTAGTAACAATCCGTCAGCTACGATATGTAGCTCCAATATACGGCGCGACGAGGACTTCAGAAAACAAACAAGGCGAAGTGAAACAACAGCGATATGAACAAAGAAGAGAGATGATGAAGATAAAGAAGACGGTGGACGTTGGATTTCCCCCCTCCTCGTCTTATGTCACGGCAGTGGCGCTGCCCGATTGGGTGACATGCTTGCTTTGCGACGCGGGAGGCCGACGGTGTAGTACCGAGAGTGACTTGTCTTTCTCACCGTGTTGGTATGCAGCGAATGCGTATCTATACAGCACAGATGCGGTGCGGGATACCAAGCTGTGAAACAGTTGAAAATATGATACGTCGTGTTGAAGCGTAGAGCAGGTAGGTAGGTACCTACATAGTATGCATTTGCATGTACAGTAGGTTAGATATGCTCGGCGCTTCTGCAATGTGACGATGCCGGTGGAAGAGCAGGATGGATGATGTAATGAATGTGACGGGAGCTGCGTGATAAGTCGACCCATGGGAGAGGATAATACCCTCCCAAGCCATTCTGCGTGGAACACAGATGCTCATCGAAGGTGAATTTGGCGTCGAACGACTGTGGAATCAAAACGAACTGGCATTCATCGAATTGAATATCAATCACTTATAAGGCGACGAGCCTCGTGCTAGCTGAGTGTTTGGGTACCTCGAGTGTAAAGTACGCCATCAAGGTTCACGGGTCTTCTTCTGTGCATGTTTCACCTGATTCGCTTCTTCACTCTTTGCCAAAGCATAATAGATACACTTGGCGCTGTATTTCAGACGACCTGCGCCTCATATCCTCTTCCTCGATATTCCTCTAGCAGAACTCAACTCAGCGTTTGCTCTACTGTGGCTTGTATGCCGAGTCGCCATGCACGTGCTAATCAGCCGACGGCTAATTGTCACAGGCGCGGTTGTCAACAGTACATGCCATACGCACGATAATCACACGCTCTCCGGACCGTTACACTCCGCTTGTATGTAGGTGTCATACAATTTCATTCAGAAGCTAAGGCTACATACAGACATGAACAAATGCCCCGTCCCATAGGTACTCATATACTATTCGTGACAAGTTTGGTTCTCCCTTCTTTTTTTTGTTATCATTTTATGATTTTTTGGCTTTCGTTTATTCGTACAGCTTAAAACAAGGCACCGCCCAGGCGAATGGCCACGGACTTGTTCTGAGTGTAGTTGGCCAGCGCAGCCTCGCCCAGCTCGCGGCCAATGCCAGACTCCTTGTAGCCGCCAAAGGGCATCTGGTGGTGCAGCAGGTTGTAGCAGTTGACCCAGACGGTACCGGCCTGGAGGGCGTTGCTGACACGGATGGCTGTGTTGAGATCCCGCGTGTGGACGGCGGCGGCGAGACCGTAGTTGGAGTCGTTGCCCATGCGGATCACCTCCTCCTCGTCCTTGAACTTGGCAATGGCGGCGACGGGGCCAAAGATCTCCTCGCGCATAATCTTCATGTCAGGGTGAACGTTGCTGAAGACGGTGGGCTTGATGAAGTAGCCCTTGTCGCCGTGGCGCTCGCCGCCAATCTCGACCTTGGCGCCCTCCTCCTTGCCGGACTTGATGTAGCCCATGATGCGGTCGAACTGCAGCTGGCTGACCTGGGGGCCCTGGAAGGTCTCGTGGTGGAAGGGGTCGCCGACCTTGTTCTTCTGGGCGCGCTCCTTGAAGGCCTCGAGGAACTTGTCGTAGATGCCCTCCTGCACAAAGATACGGGTGCCGGCGCAGCAGGTCTGGCCGTGGTTGTAGTAGATGCCAAAGTTGACCCATGAGATGGCCTGCTCGATGTCGGCGTCGTTGAAGACAATGTTGGGGGACTTGCCGCCCAGCTCGAGGGTGACCTTCTTGAGGTTGGAAGCGGCAGCAGCCTTCATGATGGAGCGGCCGACAATGGTGGAGCCGGTGAAGGCGACCTTGTCAATGTCCATGTGGGCGGCGATGGCGGCGCCGGCCGTCTTGCCGAAGCCGGAGATGAGGTTGAAGACTCCGGGAGGGAAACCAGCCTCCTTGACGAGGCTGGCGAAGACGAGGGCAGACAGGGGAGTCTGCTCAGCAGACTTCATGACGATGGTGTTGCCGGTGGCCAGCGCAGGTCCGATCTTCCAGGCAAGCATGAGCAGGGGGAAGTTCCAGGGAATGATCTGACCGCAGACACCAAGCTGTATATCAGGACACAAGTGGTTAGCAAACAGCTTCCCGGCGCGACAACAGACTTCTTCTTCTCCCTCCAGTTTGCTTTAAGAACTTACAGGCTCCGGGCGAGTGTAGTTGAACATGTCGGGGGCAATGTCCAGCGTCTTGCCCTCAATCTTGTCGGCCCAGCCACCATAGTAACGGATGCATCCGATGACAGCGCCGACGTCGCCCCTGGCCATGGTGATGGACTTGCCGTTGTCGAGAGACTCGACGGCGGAGAGGAGCTCGGAGTTCTTCTCGGCGAGATCAGCGAGCTTGAGGATCAGGCGGGATCGCTCGCCGGGGGAAGTGGCCTTCCATGTTGTGTTGAAGGCCTTGCGGGCGGCGGCGACGGCCAGATCGACGTCCTTCTCGGTACCTTCGCAGACGGAGGTGATGACCTCTTCGGTGGCGGGGTTGATGACCTCGAATTTCTTCTTGTCGACACCCTCAACCCATTCGTTGTTGATGAACCTGCGGGAGCACATGTCAGTCGCTGATACAGCTATATAGCAGAGGGGAACCAGTAAGGCGAGGCGGGACTCACAGGCCAATGGGCTGAGTGTAGGTGCCCGTGATGGGGGTGTTGAGCTCGACGGTCAAAGCCATGGCGAAGGATTTATGATGTGATTGAAGAGAAGACGGGGAATGAAGAAGAGAAGAAGAAGAATGAAGATCTTTTGAAATTGTGTGAGGGGCAGGAGGGGTATTTATGACGAAAGACGCAGTGCGGTGAAACAGCTGCCGATGCAGGAGAGGAGGAGGAAAGGATGTTCGAGATGGGGGCAGCCGGGCCAATTTATTTGCAACTCGCTGCCAACATTTGTCCAACTCGAAGCTCCTTCTTTTCGCCTTGACGCGTTGGAGCGGGGGCGATAATATCGGAGTCTCAACCTCAACAACCCAGACCAAGACGCTACCCCAGCTGTTTGCCTTGTACCCCGTCCCCGTCCCTACTCCATACCTGTGCGACGAGGCGTGGAGACGGCCTCGGCATGGGTGCGTGTTGTCGAGAGACGGAGACCATCCGCCCTCAGCCCTCAATCGGGGGCGGATCTTGGAAGGATTGATAATACAGCGAGCAGATGACGCTCGTACTGACTCGGTACCGGTACATGCCGCCTACATACTAAGGTACTGCCCGCAAACAGCAGCAGCAGCAGCAGCAAGCTCTCCCCAGTTCGCCTCTTAACCACCACCACTGCAGCTTGCTCCCCCTCCATAGTAGCGACGATAGCCGCAGAGCTTGGCTCCAGCCTATCCATCCATCACAGGGCCTCGCACTGGCTCGTCCGTGCTGCCGCCCACCGGCTAGAGCGCCAATTGCATGAGATCCGCAGCGGGACCCGGGCTGCCGGGGGCCCAAAACCGCCAGGACTAGGATCAAGTTGGGTAGAGGCTTGAGTCGAGTTCGAGCTTGAGGGTCGCCTAGTGTCGAGTTGGGGAGATTTGTTGGTTGTTCCAGGGGAGGCGAAACTCGTGCGCAATCCGGCAGAGTCGAAGCCATGCTCAACCTGGATAGCCGCCAGGTTCGAATGCCAGCTGCTAGAGACATTGGCACTTGGTATGGAGTACTAGTTCTCTCAGTCCTTCGCCTTTCTCAGCAACCCAGGCGAATCACGGAGCTCCAGAAAGGGCGAGTCCGGGGTCTCGAAAGATGGTTTCCCCGCAGCTGCCCGGTGGCCCATGATGATGACATGCACCTCTGAGGCGCTTTTACGTTTACCCAGATGCCCCCTGTGGTGCTTGTTCTCACAACAACTCGCCCTTGTACGTGCATTCTCATGCAATCCGATCCTCCTCCGTACGCCCTATCGTGAGAGCGTGTAAGTAATTGGTGGCCAGATGCAGTGAGATAGTGATGCACGCTTGTGTGCCGTGTCTGAATCAGAAGCACCTGGCATCTCCGTCTGCCTCTTCTCCGCATTCGCATTGCATCTGCGCCCACGGGCCAATCGTCCCGTCTCCCGCCAACCTTGTCGGCGCATTTCGAATGGGGGGCAGTAGTAGTATTCCGTACGTGCATTCACACCACCACGCGCTGCATTTGCTTTTGCAGGACTGATCGTCTTGCTGTCGAAACAGCCTGACTCTCCTCTTCCACCTAACCCGACTGTACTGCTGACATGTTGAGACGATGTGGTATAATTCGACCAAGTCATGCAAACAGCCGTTTTGTAATCAATCGTCTTTGAGAATCTACAAGAATCCGAACTGGCCGTGAGTATAAGAACGCTCTCATGACGTAGAAACGAAGCTTGCATCCCCCAGATCGAAGCACCTTGACCATGCATCACAACGTCAAACTCGCACTCGCACCTCCAGGACGAGTCATTGCCTCATCACATTGCCCGATTCAATTTGCCTTCCAAACCGTCACTCTCCAATGAACGGCGCTCTCCCGTGAGCGGCATCTTCCGTGTCCATCTCTATCTTCTTGACCCCATTTCTCAGCGCATCATGTAATACATATCACAAGAACAATCCATATGCCCGGCAGATGCATCTCCCAGGCCCCAAGGATATGCAGGCATGGCGTCCAAGGTCCAGCCAGTTGAAGCGAAATGGATTCTTCCGCTTCCGGAATCAGTTCGGATATGTTTCCCTCTCAGCGGCTTACCCCGCTCCGCTCCGGATGCCAGCCAACCTCAAGCTCATACATACATGCCTCCCCTGCATCTCTTCTTCCCTATCCGCGTCCTCGCGGGTGCGACTGCGGCCACTGCGGCGACTTCAAGGTTGGTATCTATCGCTATCTTGTATTAGTGTGGCCCTTTGTGTGCCACTGGAGGGTGCCTAGTTCCCACTGCGAACATGGGGAACACGGGGAACATGGAGAACACGGAGAAGCAGTATTCGTACGGTACTGCTAGCCCACACCCACCCAGAGGACCCAAAGGCAGCAGTAGCAGCAAGTAGAGGTACCAAGGACCAGAGTTGAGCAGAAATTGCCCGTATGATCCTAGTTGTCGCCCTTGCTGGTTGGTTCGAAATCGTACGTCTTGAGGGCCAGTGGTCCAAGTCGCTTGTGGTATAGGTGCGGCTGACCTGGCCCTCTTTCCCCAGCTTCCTTGCAACCGGCATGAGCATCCTGCGAGTTTCGACATCCGTCTCACCGAGAGCTCAGGCGCTGGCTTTACTGGACGTGGACAGGTCTCGGTCCTATGGAAGAAGATGCAAGATTAGTAGAGCGTGTGATTCAGAGAGCCGCAGCTTGGACAGGCATACCCTGGGAGAACACGCCACCGGCCTGCTACCTACACGACAAGTAAGAAGAAGGTAATCTGTAATAAAACAGATGTAATACTATTACAATTGGCAACAAGCGGAGCCTAGTTTCGAACAACATCTATTATACTGTACAGTATCTAGGTTGCGCGAACCCCGCGATAGTAGGTATTCGTAGACTGAAACAGGGTCCATCCTCCACGATAGTCTCCATCACACTCCACCGCTGACAAGAACCACGTGCAGCTTCAAGCCATCGAAAGGCCTTGATCATTCTCGTCTTGGCGAACAAAGTAATGAATAGTATCTATACTTTGTGAATGTACGAAGCAGCACGGAGTATTCCGCTGGTTGTTGTCGCATCGTGGACATTTTGCAACCGGCACTAAAGAGCGAATTCGGTGCCTGGCCTCGGCTATTCGGTAGTTTGTGCAGCGATCTGGGGTCCGGGGTTGGAACTTGAGCTCGCGGATGGGATTTGTTTTCGGTAGTAAATACCGAGTTGCCCATTATGAAAGTTCAGATTCTCGTGAGCACGGTGGACAACGTGCTACAGAGATGCACTGTAGCAGTGCATCGAGCTGAGGTTTGCCTCGTTTTCTGAAAAGAATTGTTGATTACCTTAGTAGAGCATAGAGGAGAGATGGAAGTCTGGAGTTGAGTAATACGGCATGCATGTGCCTTTTCCCCGAGTAAGGTATAAAGACGTGCGGGGGTGGCTGCCACTTAATCTGGAGGTAGGCTTTGGACGGACGATTTCACACATTCAACTGAGGCAACCATCAATACCTAGTCTACAAGTCTTGACAACCCACTCTTCCGAGCATCACCAGGGGCAACCTCTTCTCTTCCCCCGTTCTGGAATTTCTTGGGGGGTTCATTCAAGCTTTTGACTTTCTACCAGCAGTGACATAACCCCTTCCGCAAGTGCTTACGCATCCCTGAGGGACCGACGGCAACTTCCACGTGTTTTGTCGTCGAAGCCACACATCACGTTAATTCCACGTTTCGAACGGGAGAATCCGTCAGCAAGGGCAAAAAGCAAGGAAGCTACGGGTAGAATTGGCACGAGATGGACGCTAAAGCCCCCAGAGAAATGACGTTCTTCGCGACCCAATCAGGTGCTGAGCAGCGGCATCTTCGTTTGGTAGGTAGCCGTCTACTCTTACGAAGTGGACAGCAAGCCTATCATACATACGAGAAGGGATCACAGAAAATACCAAGAAGGATTGAATATATGGACTGAGAGACAACCTTGATGCTACATGTTGATACTACTACCAAGGCTGTGTGGCTGATGCTACCCTTGACCCTAATAAAGCCGACGGGAGATATCGTACCTAGATCCGACTTACACGAGGTGCCTCGTTTCGATTTCTATGATATGCCTCGATCTGCCTTTACACCACACCTTCAGATGATTGCTGATTCGACTTTGCATGATCGGCCAAACTACGCGTATATGCACCTCTACTCTCGAACATAAGACGGCGGGCGTGGGATGGGTGTGCAAGAGCAACATCCCTGATACCGTATGTGTGTGAGCACACGAGCACTTCTGATTCTGCATATTCAGATGCTGTGGGTTCTCGCGATTTTCCATCGCGTTGCGGTGTTGCTATATCGCGATGCCCATTTCGCGATTTCTGGGCTCAAACCGAAGACTGCTCAGAACCTGGAATCCGGTCAATTTTGCAGCTATCAATAAACACATCCACCCAGCTACTTGGTTCCGAGAGCCCCCTTTTACAGAGCGCCATGACGGGAACATCTGGTACCCCGTAGCATCTCCATCCCTCGTCCACCTGTACGCTGCCCACAGCGGTTCCTCAGCAGGAAGACCCCTCTACGGATCCATCTCAAGTGAAGGTTTATGGCCTGCCTGATCGCTGAACAACTTGCTACGCGGCGCCTTGGATGCCAGAGTACGCCTCACTAGCATCACGAAAACCAGCTTGGCACAGGTAAACAAAAGCGGCCACATGTATGGCAGCCTGCAGACCAGTGTGCTTCAAGATGAGTAAAGAAGTCGAAAGACTTCGGTACTTGGAGGCAGGGTAGTATCTCAGAAACATGCCATGATTTTGCTTGCCGCCACAATGCAGGCTACAAGGAGGCTGTTCTACAGCTATTTTGCGGTCATGATATGTGTGTTGACTGCCTCTAGGTAGCTTCCTGAAGCGCGTATGTCTGCTTTCTCCTCTCCCAAGTATCTGGCTATATGACTTGACAGACAAGTACATCTGCTAAGCAGTACTGTATAACTCCTCGTACCTCGCGATGCGCAGAGCTAACCCTTGTGATGCTTGTGGGGTGCACGTCCTGGCTGATGAATATCACTGGCAGCCTCCACCGTCCCCTCACGACGCAGATGGCAGCTGAATTACCCAGAATGGGGGGTTGAATTGCGCCCATTAGACCTGCATAAGAACCGCTAAACGGGGTCACAGCATGCTGAGCACACGGGCGTGACGATATCTTGCATGCAATACGTGAGTAGCCGAGATGTGGCATGGCAGCTGGGTTGACTGCATTCGTACGCCGAGGCTGGATGGTGTGCATGTAAATGCAAGTAAGGTGAGGGGACATGTCGTTGCAAGTACCTGTACTACAGTTATTCATGTGTGCCCGAATTGGAGACGGATGTTGCTTCACATCAGACGTGATAAGGTAATAAGGGGAACACAGATACCACTGCATCGACGAGACAGCCATCTATCGTAGCACCATAGAAGTCATTGACATGATGTTGGACCAAAAAGGGGCGACGGAACGGTAAAGTAGAAGCATTGAATAGTTCTATGGAATGCAAGAGACCAAGTACAGCTTTTGGTATCATTGAAACGGCATCCGCTAGAAAAGATGTAAAAGAAAGGAAGCAAGACAGAAAGTCAGGGGTATCACACAGGCTGGCAGAGCGCTGCAATTAAGTACATGTAGACATATCCAACATGTCAGGCATTAATCATCCCCCCCCCCCCCCCGAATCTCACATGGACAATCGAGCGACTGCACATGGGTTGCCGCAAAGGGCTTTACTTCTTCACCGGGATGTAGTGCTTGTTGCCGATGGCCTTGTCCCACATCGTCTCGAGAATGCCACGCACTGGCCTTCTCTTGCCGACGCCCGTCTCCATGTCGGCCTTGAGCTTGTCGTAGACGGACGGCAGCGTCTCCGCCTTGTACTTCTTGCGCATCGCGTCGTAGACCTCCTTGTTGTAGATGAGCCAGAACTCGTCCTCAGTGTAGTAAGTACGGGCGTACAGGAGCTTGGCGCCCATGAGCTCGGCGCTTCGCAGCTCCAGCTTGCGGTTGAGCTCGTAAAAGGCCTTTGGGTCGCGGGGTCCGCGGCCGTAGACGCCGACGGCAAAGATGCGCTGGTCCGAGACTTCGTCGACACGCGGATTGAAGCGAGACGTCAGGCCAATCTCCTTTGGGGACTTGCAGGGAGCCAGGAAGATCATCAGCTCTGGCAGGGTCTCGTTGACGAAGCTGATGAACTCCTTGACGGTGCTGGCCGGGATGCCAAAGTCTTGCACCACATACTCGTTGGCAAGGCCCGTCTTGTGCAGCGCATGGTAGCACGTGCGGCTGTCGAGGAAAGGGTCGGCCAGACGGCGGGTGATGGCGTTCTCGGGCACGTGGAAGTGCTTAAAGGCCAGCTTGCCGCCCCAGAAGGCGCCGTGATCGTAGCGGAAGAGGTAGTCGGGCGTGTACATGTAGAGGTCTGTGGGCTTGTCGCGCGTCGGCTGCTTCTTGATGGCGGCCTCAATGGTGTCGGCAAACCAGTGGACCTCCATCTTCTTCAGAGGAGCCTTGCCATTGGGCAAGGTGGAGATGAAGCGGCCAAACATGACCACAATGACGCCCTTGCGGAAGTAGACGCCGTCGATAAAGTGAATGGACTCGTCCTTGGTGGCCTCCTCGAACATGTCGTGAGCTTTGGCGACGTCGTCCACCAGCTGGATGTCCAGCCTGACAAAGGGCGTGGCTGGGATCAGCTCAATCGTGAGCAGGGTGACGATGCCAAAGGTTCCCAAGCTGCCGGCAGCATGCTCCAGCAGATCCGCGTTGTGCTCGCGGTTGGCCTTTTCCAGCGTGCCATCGCCCAGCACAATCTCAATCTCGGACACGGTGTTGTTGAAGAGGCCGTAGCGGTACATGCTGCTCTCGCCGGAAAAGCCAGAGTAGCCGCCGCCGACGGTGATGCCCTTGAACTCCATGACAATCTTGGGGACGACGCCGTGCTTGAGGGTGTGGGCAGCCAGGGCGTCCATGGGCACCTTGGGCTCGGCCTGCACGGTCATCGTCTCGAGGTTGACGGGGAAGAGGCGGTCCATGCTGCTCGTGTCGACGATGGCGTCCGCCTTGAAGGACAGCGGACGCGTCGAGCTCGTGGAGCCATGGTAGACGCGGAACGGCTTCTTGTTGTCGTAAAAGTACTTGACCTGCTCCTGGACCTTGGCAACGGCAGCTTGGTGCTCCTCGAGAAGCTTTGCGGGATTCATCTTGGTCAGTCTGGGGTATCAATTGGATATTAATAATGGAGGAGACGGCGATAACGACAGATGAATGCGTGTACGGAGTAACAGAAGCAGTGAAACCACAAAAGAGGCAGCACAACAGGAGGCAATGCCTAGGAGACGGCCACTTCGGTCCAAGTTGAGGACTGCTGGAGGTGTGAAGTGGACAAAGAAAACAAAGCAAAATCAGGAATCGGGAGGAGATGCTGTGACGATGTGACGTGACGCACCAGCTTGCATCGGCACAGGGATTGGCGCTCCAGCCATTGTTCCGACAAATTAGGGGGGCTGGGCGGCTGACGTGCCTTGCTAACCCCCCTGGAGCTTCACTGCAGCTCGAACCATTCGGCGATCGATTTCTCCGCCTAGGCCGGTATGGCTGATGACTGGCTTGACTGGCAGCTGGTAAGAGGTGAGACACTCATGGCCAAGGGTCCGACGCTGTGAGCAGGCAGAGGACAAGCAGGGTCACAACGGGAAACAACGTCAAGATCGGCAGTGTCTTTCTTGTTTATTCCCACGATGGAGCCCGGACTTGTTGGTGCCACGGCTTCGGGTTGGCCCGAACAAGACGCCAGAGCGCCTCATAGGAGAGTGGCTCCCTCGTGGGAGCTCCCGCCAATCGGTTCATCTGCCATGCCCGGTCCCTCGTGCACGATCCGAACGCATGCCCCAAGCTCACGATCTTGGAAAGCAGGGACCGTGGAGTTGGAAAACTTGGAAATGGATCCTTTGGCGCCGTGGCGTCCAGGGTTGTGCCTCGGAGATGCAGGTTTCGATCGCGATGGCTTGGAGGACGCCGGTGCCGTGTAAGTCGAGGCCCCGCATAGAGGAGACGACGTGTGAAGACTTGTTGAGTCAGTCAGTGTGCAAAACAATGTCAAAGAAAGGTGAGGTCAATCATAAGAGGGAGAAAATGTAATGAGACTTGCAGTACAAGCCATACATCTGAAGGTGAGACTCAAACAATGAATGAGTGGCACACAATCATCTCCCGTGCTGCAGCCACTGGCTGGGCCAGGTTCCAAGTTTGAAGCTTGGAACATGATGCACATAACCCTGCTATCGATAACGGTGGGCCCGGCGCGGTACCTTGAGCGTCAAAGCGTCAAGGCTCAAAAGCTCCAGCCCGCGCGCCTCAACTCGCCGCCTTCAAGTTTGCGCCAACGCCCTCACGATCCGATCCCCATGACGCACAGCTAGGCCAGCCATGTCGTCCATTTACAACCTCGAGCCGCAGCCCACGGGCTCGGTGATCCTGCACACGACGCTGGGCGAACTCCACGTCGAGCTCTTCGCCAAGCAGACACCGCTGACGTGCCGCAACTTTCTGCAGCACTGCCTCGACGGCTACTACGACGGCACCATCTTCCACCGGCTCGTCCCCAACTTTATCGTGCAGGGCGGCGATCCCACAGGGACGGGGAATGGCGGCGAGTCGATATACGATGGCGGTGCCTTCTCCGGCGATCTGGATCCCTGGCCCATGGACCAGAGACACGGACAGAACGCGGGGCCCAATGGCATCAACTTCAAAGACGAGTTCCATTCGCGACTCCGAATCAACAGGCGCGGAATCTTGGCAATGGCCAACGAGGGAAGGCCGGATTCCAACGGCAGCCAGTTCTTTTTTACGCTGGACAAGGCGGAGGAGCTCAATGGCAAGAACACAATGTTTGGCAGAGTCGCCGGCGACACAATCTACAACCTGGCCAAAATCGGCGAGTCAGAAGTCGACGAAGCGACCGAACGACCGTTATACCCGATCAAGATTGAACGAGTGGAAATCTTGGTCAACCCGTTCGAGGACATGAAGAAGCGGACGAGGGTGGCGCAAACTCAGGCAAAACCAAAGGTGGAAAAGGAAAAGAAGAAGAAGCGGAAAGGCGGGAAGCAGCTGCTCAGCTTTGGCGACGAAGAGGGCGACGAGGAAGTGCCTGTGTTTAAGAAGCCCAAGTTTGACACACGGCTCGTCATGGGAGAGGAGGAGGAAGCCCCTGCGCCTCGAGAAAAGTCCTCGAAGGCAAAGGCGACAAAACCCAAAGACGCAGAGCAGAAGGAGAGCGACGGTCGGGTTGCCAACGATAAGGGAAAGGAACCAGCTTCTGACACCATGGACGGTGCGCAAGAAAGGGAGGCGCAAAGAGATGTACCTGTACACAAGAAGCGCAAAGAGCCGTCGCCAGAGTCATCACCGGAGCCAGAACCGACCAAGGAAAAGAGCGCACTAGAAAAGGCCAACGAAGAACTGGCAGCGCTCAAGGCCTCAATGAGGAGAACGATTTACTCCGAGGAACCGGTCAAGGAAAAGAAGAAAAAGACAGCGTTAGAGGAAATGATACCCGAATCGTCAATACGGGGAAGGAAAAGGCGGCCTGGCGGAAACAGCACTACGACGAATGAAGACCAAGCGTCTCTCCGCATGTTGAAAGCCTTCCAGGCGAAACTGGAAAAAGCCCCGCCGTCGAAGGAGGTGACCATTGAGGCCCCCGTGAACAACGAACCAAGCGAAGCAGAGAAAGCACCTCAAGAAGATGAAGCAGAGTTGTGCGACTTGCACTTCATCGCCAATTGCCAGAGCTGCACTTCGTGGGATAAACAGGAGAAGGAAGAAAGTGATGACGAAGGCTGGATGTCACACGCGCTGTCGTTTGCTGCAGATAAGCTAGGCAAGGATCTGAGCAACAGGAGGAAGGCCGAGGAGGAGCTAGTCGTCATCGACCCGCGGGAGAAGTCACGGACGCTCAAGGAGGAGAAGCGGGCGGAGCGAGAGGCTCGGGCTGGAGGGTCGGGAAGGGCATGGGACCAGGCACGGAACGCCCAGATGGCCCGGGCAGCCTCTCTGGCCGGCCGAGGGGCGAAATGATCTTTATCAGCGAAACTCGATTACGACTTGTTTGCGTCGATATTTCATCCATGGTGTAGCGTACGGAGCATTGCATGCTGGGCGGTATTATTGTAGTCGGTCCTTTCCCCCTGGTTTATATCATGCGTACTCGTAAGGAGGTATAGAAGGGATCATATTACCTTGCATGTATATGAGCAATCGATATTATAATCTCCTGAACCCACGGGAGGCAAAACCAGCCCGACAGCTTTGTTACACGAAGCAGCCGTTCTCCAACTACCTTGCGTCAAGTTGCCGACACGTTATGCTCGACTCCGTTGACGGATTGCTTCGTCAAAGCACGGGAGGAAGCTATCTAGTCTGGCTTACCGACGCCATGGCTCTCAACAACGTCTTCGTGGCGCAGTTGGCTAGCGCGTCAGTCTCATATTGAACATATGATCCAAACGGCAGTTTGGGCCATCTGAAGGTCGTGAGTTCGAGCCTCACCGAGGACATTGCTTTTTGCCTTTTTGCCCTCTGGGTGGGGGAGTGGCTTACATCAACCATAGTATCGTGATGCAAAGCATCCGGGAGGGTGGCTCATACCACTATCTACGTACTACTCGTACGAGTATAGCCTCTTTTTTTGCAACGTCCGGACAGACTCCTCCTGTATAGCCGAGGTTGCGAGTACGAGAAGGTGGTATTGTTGATAATCTACAGCAGATTCATAGAGCTGGAGGGGGGGTAACAGCTGAGACAACAAAGCCATTCCATTTTTCCAAATCTCGATCCACAGCAGAGAGCTGTCATTAATTTCGCGGTGGGACGCTCTGGAAGCTGTCGTGGCTCCTCACTGGGCGAGGCTGGCAAGGGTTCTGGTCAGATGGTGTGGGCTCTGCTGCATGCAATGTCATGTAAGTCCGATTCTTTGACTAAGCCGCCTCCCGTTGCTGAGTGCCGCCATCTCGGGGGCTTTGCAGGGGCACCTCAGTCAAGTCGTTGAGTAATGGGTGAGTAAACGACCGTTGAAGAGCATCACCAAGTAGGGTAGCTGGTGCAGTGCTGTTTTGAGGCTGCTGGTGCATCCCAAAAGATTGACTTTGCATTAGTCAGTCCCCTAGTCCGCGGTTGACGAGTTGACAGCTCAGATGCTCCGTGTGGAGGCTACAGATCAGAAGGAGGAGGGGAGCAGATCCTGCAACGGCGCATGACGTGACGGCGCCTTCGCCTGGCGATGTTTCTGTGTGTTCTTCGAGCTCAGCTGGGCTTCGGTCTCGACTCTGTTCTTTGTTTAGTTCCTCCGAAGCTGAGTCGTTGGTTGCTGAGGTGCTACGGCTACTGGGGCCGTCTTATCGTCACGTGCCACCCGCCTAGGCTGACTGCACAGGTTATCGTCCGCGGCGCTGATTGGCGGATAACGATGACATGCAAATAGGCTCTGACTCGCAACGCTATTTTCGATACGATAGTCAAAGCATTTTCGTTTCGCAATCGTCAACCTTCCGTCAACGACTTTGCGAACCTTCGCCCGCTCGAGCAAAAGATCAGGCCATTCCTGCAGACTCTGAGCTCGCCTAAGCTCATCCTCGCCGCGCCCCGATTGACGAATCACCTGCGCCGGAGCCATCTCCACCAACCCGTTGTCGAGACGCAGTCGCAGCGCTCGGCTGAAACCTAACGAGGTCGCGCCGCATTTTTTTTTATTCCCAGGCCCAGAGCTCGGGTTGCCGCCCAGCCCGCCTCGCTGCCAACAAAGCCACATTTCGGACGAATTGCTCCTGTCGCGCCGCGCGATATCACACCTTTCCGCGTCCAGCGACCGTTGCTGCTGGCCCTTTTTGGCTCCCAGCGTGCCCGGGCGATCCACCAGTTCGTGCTGCTCACTCTCGTTGACGCCTGGAGAAGCACGGGGTTGTTCCGTCTCGATCTCGATCTCGTCGACCCACCTGCTGCCGTTGTCTCCCTCGATACCACAAGTCCCAGGCGCCAACGGCCTGCGCTCCGTCCTTCTCGCTCCCTATCAAACCCTGTCCTGCTATCTGCTGTCTCTGAACGCAGCATATCGGCCGAACAACTCGAAGACCGCAGGCTGCCCATCCTGCCCTTGGGCCGCGGCGCTGCGCTAAGGCATCACCCACCCCCCTCCCAAATCCCAATACCGCGGCCGGAGCTGCTTCCGCTCTTGACGGGGCTTTGTCTCCCTTCGCGCCACTCGTAGCACACCACATCTCCAACGATAACCAACGTCAGCTTTCGCGGTCGTATATAACCCTCCCTCCATGTCCGCCCCAAACTCGCGGAAGCGAGCTGCCCCCGGGTCGTCACCCATCGTGCCCATCCAACGCAACATGCAGCAACCGTACGAAGCCGAGCCTGTCGCCGTTGCGAATCCTGCGATGCCGTGGGGCGGCATTGGCGGTGTTCCCGATGCCACCGACTACTTCGGCGCTGCCGCCGCTGTGCACGGTGAGAATCCCTACGGGCTCGCGCAAGCACCGCCGGCCTTCCCTCCCGCCGTCAGCACGCCCTCGACCTCCCTCGCCCGCCGACAGATGAACCGCGCCTTGGTTCCCACGAATCTCAGAGCAGCGTACGATGCCTCCGCGGACCGGTGGTCTGGCTTTGGGGACGATGGTCTCCTCGTCCCCCAGAACGCGACGGACGGCGCGGTCGGGCAGGATAGCATCGAGGTGTTGGAAGAAATGGCCCAGAAGGCCAAGAGGGAAGCTCAAGCGAAGAGGAAACAGATACCGCCATTTGTGCAAAAGCTGAGCAGGCAAGTACTCGTCTTAAATCCGTGTTTCAGTGTCAAAGCTAACCGTTACAACCAGCTTCCTGGAGGAGCGAAAGAACGAAGACTTGATTCGGTGGTCGGAAAAGGGCGATTCTTTCATTGTGCTGGACGAGGATGAATTCGCCAAGACGTTGATTCCGGAACTCTTCAAACACAACAACTACGCCTCCTTTGTTCGGCAACTCAACATGTACGGCTTTCACAAGTGCGTGGGGCTCTCTGACAACTCGATGCGCGCGAGCGAGCGCAAGAACAAGAGCCCGAGCGAGTATTCGAATCCGTACTTCCGGCGAGGACATCCGAACCTCCTGTGGCTGATCAACAAGCCCAAGAGCGGCGGCAAGTCCAAAAAGGGGAACAAGGGCCAGGATGCCGATGGCGACAGCGAGGAGGATGGCGCCCATGAAGAGATTGCGAGCCACCCGGGAGCGCCGGTGACCAGTACGACGGGCCGCTCCCTCCCCGCCGTCGCAGGAACAGAAGCGCCGCCTCTGCCCAAGAAGGAGATGGCCCTGATCAAGGAGGAGCTGCAGAAAGTGCGAGAGCAGCAGAAGCTCATCCTCGGCGCCATCAACCGCCTGCAGCGGAACAACAACGACTTGTACAACCAGGCCCTCATGTTCCAGAGCCAGCACGACCGACACCAAAACTCAATCAACGCCATTCTCAACTTCCTGGCCAACGTCTTCCGAAAGACGCTGGAGGATCAGGGGGCTTCGCAGAACGTCACGGACATCATCTCCAGCTTGATGGCGAATCAGAACCAGCAGCCGCAGCACCAGGGCAGTGTGGTGGACCTGGGCGACTTCTTCCACGGGCAAGGCGACGCCGGCGCCAGGAAATCCCAAAAGCTGCTTCCGCCGATTCCCCAAGCCGGCCAGCACATGGCCCCGCCCAGCCGGACGCCGTCGACCAGCAGCTCCGTCTACCACCCTGTTGGTGCTGCTGCTCACCCTGAGATGGGACACGTCACTGAGCTTCTCGACACGTCTCCGTCGGACACGACCCTGAGGCAGGAACTCGAGGCCAACCCGCACGAGCGGATGATGAAGATTATCAACGACCACAATGCAAGCAGTTCGGCAGGCCTCGATCTGCCGGAAGCCGCCGAGATCGTCAACAACGCCCCCAGCACGTTGAGTAACGACCAAAGAAGCACGCTAGTCAACCTCATAGCAGCCCAGACGACGTCGCCGCCGATGCCAGCTACACCCGCTGTAACCGATCCTCTAACGCATGTGCCCTCCACGGCTGCCTCCTCGGCCATGCCCTCTCCAGCACAAGAGGGCGCAACCGCAGCACCGCCATCACTCTCGCCGATCATGCGGTCACCGACCATGCCTGCGCCCTCTCTGCAACACATCAGTTCGAACCAGAGCGAGCTCGAGCAACTGAAGCGCCTGCAGAGCGAGCAGGATGCAAAGATTCACGAACTGAGCGGCATCCTGGGGCCTTTGAGCCCGTCTGGTCAGATCCCCGGCCTGGATGACGGCAACGAAGCCTACTTTGACCCTCCGAATGTCGATCTCGACCAGTTCTTTGATAGTAGCGCTTTTCTGAACGACGCTCACTTTGGAGACGGGACCGATTTCAACTTTAACCTTGACGCGGAGGCACTCAACAACGGGATCAACGGGGGAATCAACAGCGGAGTCAACGGTGGGCTCGCCAATGGAATCAACAATCACACTCCCAGCCCTACGGGGACTGAAGAGATTCCCCGAGATGGTTTTGGACTGAACGACAGCCCCAGTCATGGCAACAAGAGACGACGGATAGGTTGATGAGGCTGTCGTTTACGACCAAGTTGAGGGAGTACAGAACAGATGGGTGGCTGGCTCTGCCTCCAATCTTGTTGCTTTGATCACCCACGACTTGGCGTGTAGGCGTTCATCGGCACTGGTTTCTGAAAAGTCAGGCGTAGAAAAGCAGGCGCTCTGCTCATCCCCCCTTCGAGCATCGATAACAGGAGAGGTTGGTCACAGTTTCTTTACGCTTCAGATCCATCGATCTTGGAACATGGGGAAACTTACTCTGTTTACAGAGGCATGCCGAAAAATTCACCAAAGCGAAAAGCGTAGCTGAACAACGCAAAGGCCAACGCGTTGAACAGGACTACACCAAAGAAAAATACCCCCCTTTCATCACACAAGCTTCCACAACATAAACCAGCAGAGTACGCAGGATACTCGTTATTGCTACAAAAGCATTTATTGCCCACCTTGTGAAGTGCGAGAGGAGGGTGGAAAGGGGCCAACTATGGGAAAGGAGTTTTTGGGATTTGTTCAGGGTGTCCCCCTTTTAGCTATCACTGGTGATGGCAATTCATAGTACATAACGTACAATTCCCCCAATCTAGTATGAAAATCCATTAGATACTCCAAGTTGATGACCCGGAGAATGGTTTGAGACAGAAATAACCCTTTCTTATTTTTTTGCTTTCTTTGTCCCCAATGGTAGCCGTGAAGTGAGCTCTTATAGAACAGTTTTGAACTCATGCGTGTGAATAAATGAATGTTCTGACTGGGGCGCTGACTGCGCACAATAGTACTGTTCACGACAAACGCAATACGACAGCAGTGTTGCAGCTATTCAGCGAACCTTTGTTTCCATCATGCCATATCCATATCCCAAAGCTGTTCTCCCCTTCACCACCACTACACATTCTCCATCACCATGCCTCTTCCCCCTGACGGCTTTATTAACACCATACAACCTCCACATCCCTCCCCTTTCCCCCCCTTTCCCCAAACACCACAGACCAAACGTCCTCTCATTCTCCCAGAGAGCCCTAAAAGATGCCTCTCGGAAACTTTGCCACCATCCTCCCCTTCCTGTCACCTTCTTCTACGCCCTTTCGCGCCCCTGTTCCTTCCTCTCCCCCCTCTAAGAAGGAGAAGAAGGAGAAGAAGAAGCCGACGCTGAGGATATGCTTCCCGCTCAAGATCCAGCGAGGGGCGAGCAGCTGGTGGGAATACGAAGAGTTTCGGATCCAGTTCCGGGATAGGCTCATGTGGCGGCAGGCGTTTGGGCTTGATGCTCGGGATCCGCATGATACGATGAGCTTTTATTCTTCTTCTTCTTCTTCTTCTTGCTATTCTGGTTTTGAAGGAAGAAGTGGTGAGGATGAGGTTGGTAGGTTGAGGCTTTTGGCTGGTGCCAACTGTGGGACGTTTTACGATGATGTCGATAGCGATGTGGGCGACGATGTTGTTGAGGAGGAGGAGGAGGAAGAAGAAGAAGAAGAAGATCGAGGTATGAAGAGCCGGTGGTCGTTTTCTTCGTCTTCGGTTCATACGGAGAGGGCAGATGCTCGAGCGAGTTTCGCTTCGCAAGCTGTTTCGGCTATGTCTTCGAATAGACTCATGTATCTCATACCCCGTCTTCTCTTCCTGACGAAACGCAATGACAGCAGCACGACAGCGAGTTCTTCGTCGATGCATAGTCCGTCGACGGAGGAGCAGAAGCTGAGACCTGCACCTCTGAAACTGAAGTCCAAACGACAGTCCTTGGCTGAGAGCGCTGGTGACAAGGCCGCTATTCGTCCTCCTCCTCCCCCGCCACCCCCTTTCGGCACTCCCTCTTCTTCCGCCGCTCTCACCCCGGAAGCAGCAGAAATCCAGCACCATCGTAACATGACCCTTCAAAAACTCGAAGGAAGCTATCTCTACAAGACAAAGGAGCGCTACCTCTCCACCTTTCGAAGCATATTCCGCACAACACCCAACAATCCCCCAACCCCCAAAGCAACACCTCCCACCCTCCCCCCCCTCCGACCAAACTCATCCTCCCCACAAGCAGATCCAGGAACGTATCGCACGTCCTCTCGAGAATGGGCTAATCTGCGGGATGATATAGTCTGCGGTCTGTCGGCTGATGACGAAGCCTTGTTTCCGTTCTTTACGGATGATCAGAAGGCTACGTTTATGCGTGTCAAGCAGGAAGAGGGTAAGTTCAAGGTGGGACATGGGTCGCTGAGGGACGGTGGTGGTGGTGGTGGTGGTCGTGTGAAGGAGGCGTTGGAGAGGATTGAGGAGAGGAACTGGGAGGATGTTTTGTTTGTCGAGTTTGAGGATACGCCGAGGGCGATGAGGTGGTGGTATACGACGAGGGAGCCGCAGGTTTTCGAATGGGGGGTGCATATGATTTGATTTGGGGTTCAAGGGGCTTGAGGTAAGTCAGGATGGGATAAAGGGGGGGTCTTGTTGATAGAGATGAGCTGGGATTCTGCGTAGAATTTGTTTCATTTTGCTTTTAGAGTGTCTAAATGGTAGCATCTAAATAATATAGTCCAGAACTCTTTTGCTTTGCTTGTTAATTTCCGGCTTGTTCGTTGTGCAGCTCAAACGAGAACAATTTGAGTGGGCAAACTTTTTCTAGATTGTAAGCTTTACGTCCTGCCCGCCCAGTCGAGCCTCTCCTTGTCACACTTGCGTAGATGATTGGTGTCTCAGCCACGGCTTAGGACCTGGTTCACCGTCATCCGTCTAACGATTGTCATGGCCGAGACTGCACTTTGATTCGAGTTTCGAACGTGATTTTCATGATGTTCATAGTCTGGATAAATCGACAAGAGTTGGTTAGTACTGCATGGTTCACGGGTTTGGCACAATAGCTAGTAAAGACAGGCGAGTGCTAGAGGAACAGCATGATGCGCACCTGGCGTGTGATGGGCCAAGGCAGAGGTGATGGAATCATCATCTCCTGAGATCACTTCGGTAATGTGATCTGTGCTGAGGGACTCGGGGGTTGCACCAGGAAGCTTTCGGTCGGTCTTGTTCAGGTTTATTGCTAACGAAGTTCTAATGCGATACAATCCGTGGTGCTGTGGTCCTGAAAGAATGTAGACTTGCGGTTTTTTCTCAGGCGCTCTGAATGCCTGTTTTGGTTGTCCTTTGTGTGGCTCGACAGTGGCTGACTAGCCGGTGGAAAAGACGCCCTCGTCGGCGTCGACGGTTGCGATGCGTCCTCTGGGTCCTGGCGAGACGGGCCAGGTGGTCCCTTTACCGGGGTAGTCTCATGTTCCGAGAAGTTTCGGATTGAGATTCCTCTGGGGTTCACTGCCGGTTTAACGATATGGTTGAGTGTTAGTTTGGTGCCTGGCTCCTAACCGGCGGCCACCAGCTCTAAACGTTCCTTGGTGCATCGAATTGCGGCACCTGGGATGGCTGAGTCCCGGTATGTAAGCAAGCGAGGTGGCCGGAGTAGATGCTCTGATTCTATTCCCAAGAGTGTGCTCCATCCTGGAGATTGCGTCCAGACCTGGCCATCGGTCCATTTCTTAGGAGATGTTAATGTGATGAAGAAGCTTGCCATTAGGTATGATAGCTTATAGTACGCCTTTGTGACGCGGCATCTCCTTTCTCACGAACTCATGAACGCAAAGGCCGTCGGCAGCTCTTCGTGTGATACGCGACCTGATGAGTCGTTCATTGAGTCCCAAGGGTCATGCTCTTCTGGAGGGATCGGTCTCCTTTCAGAATCTTCCCCCACTGACCAGCTAGCTGCCAGTGAATTGTGACGTCTATGATGAACCTTCCGGTAAAATGATGGGCCAGAGATGGAGCTTCAGCCAGGCAACGTATCATGGACCGCCAGGATACAGAAGCAAAGGAGCTACTTCCCCGCCCGCAATGATAGGCGCAATCCAATCGTCGACCGCAGCTTCAGATTGTTCGTGTGTGAGAGCCTTGAACTTCATCACTGGCGTGATCGCTCTCCCAGAATGTATGCCCATTACTGTTCGAAGGCCCGGCGCATTTCTTCCAGCCAGCGCCCACCGTTCTTATAGACAGCGTTAAAGGCTCTAGCCGTCTGTCCACTGCTCGATAGACTGCTCTCCAATGATGCTCAAGAGCGGAAGAAGAACTTTGTTGCAGGAAAGGGATGAAACAATAGTAAAAGTGATGGGCAACAATGTGCGGCTTCTCCCTCGAGTTCGATACGGCAATGGCAAATTTGCCTAAATGGGAAGCTTGCTGCCACCCCTGAGTCGGGGCGCGTTGTCGTGAGGTCTCACAATGATGTCGGGTCAACTGCACTTGAATCCCGTAAATGTCGTAAAAAGCAGGAGCAATACTGGGCAGGGTATTCTGCATGTGAAGGGAGGACTATCCCTTCCCAGTCCTTTTGGTTGGTGAACGCCTGTTAGGCTCCCGCTATTATTTCTCTTCACGATGCAGTCCATTGTGCTTTGTGTAGGCCGTGCCGTCAGTCCTAGTGAATATGGTTGAAGTAACGTCATGATAGCGCATGCAACTTGACGCCGATAGTGTTCAGTTGATGCCGAACGCCAGAGTCTGTCAGTGTCTTCCGGAGGGGGATCTCAAGGAGACGCGGGTGCTGGAACTCCCCCTACTCTGATCCCATGCTGTGCAGCCGAGCCTCTTCTTCTGCACACGAATGCGGATAATCTCCGCGCATCTTCTAATCGCCCATGAGGATATAATTTCATTGTTGATCCTCGTTCCAGGTCTTGGGGTTGATAGGCCGTCATTCCTTGGCAAAGATAACCGCATTGGTTGATGGACTGTATAGGCATGCAAAGGGCAATCCCCATCTCCTTCTCTCCGCCCAACAAGCTCAGGTTGGATCTCATCTGCTGAATTGCCGTGGAACGAGGGCGCTATAGGTCTTCCTTAGAATAGGGAAAGGCAGAGGCAGACAGGGGGATGACTTACCTTGTTGGGCTCAACAGAGCACGATGAAGTTTGTAAAAGGACGTGGCCTTTTGACATTTGTATAATGGGCCTGTCTGTCTACTTTGCTGATTAGTACAGGAGAGAACAATACTCGTCTCAATTCACAATCTCACAGTAAATGCCCTTCCCCCCCACCCCTTGATGTCTGTCGATGATCGGTGTTTGTGTCGGCCTATCATCATCGTCTTGATAAAGAAGTCAAAAATCAGGATCACACCTGGTATATGCATCCCACTCACAGTAATCATGTTTAACCTCTCTTGCAGCTCTTCCATATTGATGACTTGATCGACAATGTCCTGTCGAAACCGATATTTGGACGCCATGTTGTGAGTTTAATTCCTCTTGGTTTGGCAATTAGGTCACCTTGTGTGCGTGTCCCGGCGTGTTGACAGCAGATGAGTTGCTTCAGACTGCATGGGAAGAAGGCAGCGAGGATCTTCCAATGCACTGAAGCCTATAAAGACCGCCCATGTAGGGGAAGTCAGCGTGACTGTCATAGACAGACTCACGCCGCGGCGAGCTGTGTCTCTATAGACGGGGACACATCAACTTGCGAGCCATACCCATGAGCTTGGCGTAGAGAGAGTGGAAGAAAACGGGGTATCGAAGACAGGAGATGACAGGGCTATAAGGAGGGATAGGCCTGCCAACAGCCAATTTGCCGGTGACTGGGCTTCTACGGCTTCATACAGAAGGCAGCAAGACGACGTGGCTTGGTTCGGGACACGACATGGTGGGTGAGAGTGAATCTGCTGCTGCAAGTAGCCATTGATCGCCTTCGTGACAGGCCACGTCAGAGCGTCAGCGGATGCAGCCAGCTCTTGATGAGAGCAGATAATAGAAGCCGAGTCCAAGCTCGCTGGAGTAACTCTAGGAGCAAGACATTAGTATGAACACCCTGAAGTGACATGTATTGCCAACTGGTTCAAGTTATAGAACAGGCATATTGAATTTATAGCTTGGCACATCACACAGTATGACTCGCCTGGACAGAGTCATCATCACGTACTCGGAAGCAGGTAGCCGTCCAAGGCCCCATACGATGTCGAGCAGAAAGAGGGACGTAGCAAACAGAAAGCAGAAGGGGATATGCAATCGCTTCAAAGTCTGTTGTGACCTGCAAGCTTTTCCATTGGTTCAACATTGGTCTCTGAATATTACCAGTATCTCCTCATGGTCATGATACATGCGCCAATCTCCGGCAGTATGAGCGACCTGGCTTCATTTGACACGCATCTCCTTTTTTGATGCGACAAATTTTGATTTTCTTGGGGAGGCATATTGAGCCTCCATCCTACATGAGTTCTGTCCACAGGATAGGGCCACGCTAGCACGCCAGTTGGCGGTGGATCAGATCTCAACGGCCTGGGGAGTCGAATTGATCGTTCTTCCAACATCAAGTCTCTATATCTGGACACAGTCGCTGCATACTCGGACTTTGCTCGCGATTGGAGCGACCTTTGCTCTCAAGTCTAGAGAGCTTCCTCGGGTCTTCGAAGGTCATCGATAGTCGACCACAAAGGACGCGGCTCGTCCTCATAAACTCGGAGCTTCAACTTGAGCCGTAGCCACACATGGCCGCTAGAATTTGATATCGGCAAGTAGAATAGCTGATAAATGTCGTCCATGAAGAGACGCCGGTATCGGGCGATCTGTACTCGAGGGCCTGGCAGCAAACGCTTTGCTTGTGCAACATTGGTATGCTTCTTATTCGTCCTCTGCGATATGGACGCAATGACCTATCCAGCAAGCGGATTCGCGTGAATAGTCACCTTTTCTATGCGGAAAGGCTCCTTGGGACGACTCTTCTTGTCGACCTCGACGGCCTCCATCTTGGCGAGCGTCACCAGTCCCTCGTCGCCAATGACCTTGCCAAAGACGGTGTTGAGGCCGTCGAGATGGGGCGCCTTGTCAAAGGTGATGAAGAACTGCGAGCCATTGGTGCCGGGCCCTTTGTTGGCCATGGAGACGATGCCCCTGCCGCTGTGCCTCAGGGCGGGTCGAATCTCGTCCTCAAAAGGGGCGCCCCATATGGACTGGCCGCCCTTCGGGTTCTCGGCCGTCGGATTGGCGGGAGCTCCCGTCTGCACCATGAACTTGGGGATCAGGCGGTGGAAGGGCGACTGGTCGTAGTAGCCGGAGGCGCAGAGGGCGAGGAAGTTCTGTTGAGCTTGTCAGAGGCTGTTTGATATCAGGACTCGGTAGAGTGGACGAACCTCGGCCGTCTTGGGGACGCTCTCGCAAAAGACTTCGATTTTGATGTCGCCCAGGGTCGTGTGGAGCGTGACAGACATTGTGCGAGTTGTGCTGCCGTGTGGCAGGGTCTGCTTGTCTCTATGTGCGATATCTGCGCTGTTGTTTGTCGGGTTGAAACTCGATTCGAAAAGTCGACTCGATCACGGAAGCTTCAGACGTGCTGTTGGAGCTCAACGCGGGCTAAGCCAGATTGGGCATCGAGCGGGACCCGTCGATTGTCGATGTCACTCCACCACGGAATTCGGTGGAAGGGTTACATTGTGCGAATGTGATATGTGGCCCGAATCTCGCCTGTTGCGGCTTGTCAGATGGAAGAGAGGAAGAAAATAGGAGAAGAATGGTGATGGCAGTGAGGACATGTAATCAGCGGTGACTGGGATTTGGCGCCTCATTACTATTTCTCTGGGTGTTTGTTGGATCGAACGAGGCTGACTGCGGCTGTAGAATACATATCTGATTCGAGCCGCTGGAGCGGCACAGCTGGGGACCCCTGCCTGTGACTTTGGAAACAATGCGGTGTTGGATACGAGCATGTCTGATGCCGAAGCCACGGATTCTTCAGCGGTTGAATAGGGTTGAATAGAGCTGCCGCTTGTTGGTCTGCTCGGGCAGTGGATGTCGCTTCTATGGTGAGGATGAAATTCTTTGCAGATACGAGTAGACATGCACATCCAAGTCCCGCCCCGGAGCTCTCTCTCCTGCTCCCATTATGGAGATGCTTGAAAGAACGCCTTGCTACGTATGTATGTACTCTCCCCTGTCGCTGTGGTCAGACCGTCGCAAGGGGACGAGATGCAAGAACGGCGATGCAGCCGGATGGGGGCCGACGAATGACAGGCGCGGGTGATGATGGTATTATTACAGGTCCATTTGCGGTGCTGCGAATAAGCCGGAGATGTGCGAAGCGCGTGGAAGCAGCAGGCACGGGGAAAGTCGAAGCAGTCCAGAGTCAACACCAACTACTATGCAATGGTACATGATAGTTTTTTGTTAGAGAAGATCATCTGTGTTATATCTATGTAGTTGTCGAATATCAAGCGCGGCCCTCCAGCATCACGACGATCCTCGTGCGCCGTCTGCCCTACGGCAACACCAACAGGCTGAATCCAGCCAAGGACGGAGCCAATCGCGGGGTACTTGGTGCTACTTGGCCGCATCCATGGCCCTGATGGAGCCTCAACAATGGCGCCAGCAGCAGGGCTGTGGGCTAAGATATTCCTGGAACTGCATGTCTAAGACCGCTAGGTAGAAAGCGGTACATGTACGAGTACTATCTTGATCCCATCACCATCAAACTTCCAGTGAGAGGCGCCGGAATCGCAAATCGCAGTCCTCTTTGATTCCCCCGGTTTTCTGCTCGTATTCTTCTTCTTCTTCTTTTCTTCCGTTCTTCCCTCTCTCGAGCTGCAGCATCACAGTCGCACAGCGGCAGCATCGCGTTTCCCCTCAGCGCCCGCGCAAAGGAGCAGCTTATAAATATCAAGGCCAGCTCCAGCTCCAGCGCCAGCCACCGCATGCGGCCGGATCTGTCGCCTTTTCTGCCTCTATTTGGTTCGTGATTCCGCTTCTATTCCTCTCTATCCTCTGTATCCTCTAAATCAGCCACAACCACCTGCTGCTGCTCCTCCCGCGAGCTGCTTTGATTGGACATCTTTAGCTCCGTCAGTAAGCTCGAGCTGTCTCGAGAGAGGCGCAGGACTGGCCCAGCGTCATCTCAACCGGGTCCGGCGCCACACGACCCCCGCTGAGCGCGAATCTCACCTCGAGCTGCCGTCTTTTGCTTCTTCCACCACTCGCGCATGTATCACGGCCTCTTGCCGCAGCCAATCCTACCAACACCCTTTCCCGGAGAGACACAGGACCGGTACTCTGCTGTAGGTGCTCGCCCCCATCCACACCACTGCTCCAACAGCACAGGCCCTCCGGCTGCCACAGGCGCTTCCTCCCAGCGCAAGAGCCGCTGCGACTGCTCCACTGAAGCTAATGCAACCAGCGCCCAGGCCCCGACTTCAGCTGTCGACCAGCGCCGCCCATTGCTCCGGCCGCCTTACCTAAACCACCACCTCGTCTTGAGTGAGGGCTGTCTCTCTCCTCTCTCCTCGCCATCGCCGCCCCTGCTGCGCAATTCCGTCCACCTGCAGCGCCGGCGCGCCGAGGCTGATGCTGACCTGACTGACGCCCTCCGTTGCTGAGCCCTGCTGCAACTGAATGCGACCCGGTCCAGGCGATCCGATCCCGCTGGCTCGAGCCCTTGGAACAAGAGCACGGAAAACCCACCCGGCCGCAGCCTGCCAGCTCCAAAACCCCACCTTGGCATCGACCCGCCTGTTCCTGTTCCTGTGCTCGTCCTTGTCCTTGCTCGGTTCTGCGTCTGTGAACTGTGACTGCGACTGCGGCCTGGCTTGCGTGTGTGCTGTGTGCGCGGCGGAAACACTGCGAGTGCTGCAGATACTGGTACCGAGCCTTGTCGCGAGCCTCCCGCTGTCTATGCCTGCTGGTCATCCGCTGTCGGCCCAGGACTCGGGGGATCCAGACGCACAACTCCAAGCAGACGCTCACGGCGTGCCCGCGCGAGCACCCACGGCGACCGCTGCCTGCCTCGACGACGACAGCCTGCTCCCCTGACGGACGGGCCGAGCACCACATCGCAGCGAACTGAACCGAACTCTACCGAACCTGAATCGAACCAACTTCGAGCTCTGCCCGCTGACGCTGACGCGGACACGAAAGGCACCCGCAGCGCATTCGCCGCAGAGCGACGCCGGCAACGACAGCCACGCCACAGCGCTCGATTCCAGGCGACCGCCGCGATAGCATGGCTTTTTCCACACCAGCCAGCGTCAGGGTCTCGGGCCCTCCAAACAGGAGCTTTCTCGTGGGATATCCGGGCATCTCCGCGACACTGGTACGTTGACCTGCCGCCCCCGTAGCACAAGGGGGAATGGAGATGAAGCTATGCTGACACAAGGCCTAACCGCTTTGTAGCCACGGATCGAGGGCAAGGTCGAGATCCGGCCGGGCCTTGGCTACTCCATGCCCGTCCCCGTATCCCTCGTCCGGATAAGCCTCCAGAAGCGCGAAACCATACACCCCGACGCCGACAGCCTCACCAAGCGACATCTGGGCGCCCCCCGCAAAGAGACGACCGACCTGGTGGGCAAAGAGGTGCTCCTGTACAGATGCCAGACGGGCAAAGATGCCGAGGAAATCATCGCCATGGATTTGCCGTTTGTCATCTTCATTCCCTTTGGCAGAGGCGGAGAGGAGGTCAACCGAAGAATACCGCCGGCGTCTCTGCAGCTGCCTAGTAGGATTGCAGAGACGTACTATGAGCTGGTCGTGACCGTGCAGCAGGGTCCCAAGAACCAGTTCAAGTACAACTTTCCGCTGCCCATTCTACGATACGACACCCTGTCCACCTTTGGCATGTACAACAAGCCCGAAGCGAAGCTCGTCTCGAGCGACAACCTCGTCAACCTGGGCATCAACCTGCCGCGCTGGAGCTACGGCCCCAGCGACCCCATCACCGTATACATCAAGGTGTCTCCGGCCCAGGGCGCTTGGTACAAGGCCAAGAAGGTCACCATAGACAAGATCACGCTGGGCATAGAGGAGGAAATCACGTTCAACCCCGAAGGTGACGAGCCGACCAAGAGGGTCAACAAGCTGGCAAAGCAAGTTCAGGTGGTCAAGACAAAGCTGCCGGAGGCCGGATACGCGACCAACATCGGCTTGGTTTTTCCCTCCAAGGACCTGAGAGACTCTGAAGGCATCATCAAGAGGGGCAAGCCAGCCTTTCCCCAGTACGAGGTCGCCTCCTTTACCACTTCGTCGACCCTTTACAAGATTGAGTTTTATCTCAACATCAAGGTATGCTCTCTATCCCTTTGCAATATATGATTATCGAAAGATCCATGTCCCTTCCAGCACCCTCCTTCGAAGGATCATGTCGCTTCCAGCATCTGTCGAAAGATGACTTACGCATACTGCAGGTGCAAGTAAGCGGCGCAAGAGACCTTCAGATACGTCAACCCATCGTCATCTGCCATTTGGATCAACAAGGCTGCAAGGAGGAAATGGACGCCATCGAAATCGCCGCCAGAGAGGCCTCGCACGTCGACGTGAACAACCCCATGCTTCCCGCCAGCACAATTGTCACGGCAAACGATCGAGATGCGCTGCGCGCTTTGGGATTGTGCATAGTCAGGAAAACCGAAAAGAGGCCATACATTGAGTGAGGGCCAACTTGGAGAAAGCTGAGCAGGTATAGAGAGTGGAGGGATAACAGTCGAAACGAGATGGCCGCCATAAAGCGGATACCTCGACCACAGCTGCATCGCGAGTCGCACCATCTACGACGTCCTTCGCCGCAGGCACTCGCACACCTCGAAGCGCGCTTCAAGCTAGCATGGGCTACCCATCCTGCCCACGGCGAGATCAAGCCGAGCCTGATACAGCGCAGTCTCGAGGCAGCACCCAACTAGCCAGAGAGTTTTGGCTAACGACAAACGGTACCATCATATACCCATTTGAAAATACGGCGTTTTTGTTTTCATCCAAGTCCACTGAGGCTAGGATCTCTGTTTGACACGAGGCATAATGCATGGCGTTTCAAGGCGATCTCGGACAGCTCGGGGTCTGAGAGGAGGGGGGCATTTGTCAGGAGGGCTCTATTCAGGAGACGCTTCAACTTGGCTTGGGCTTGGGCATTGCAAACGGACTCGGCTCAGTCTGTGGCGGGTGTTGGGTGGTGGGATGGATCTTGGGCGGCTCTTCTGCAGAGCCTCGAAGCTCACCCTTTTTGCTTATATGTATTCAACGATGACGAGGCCGATGAGACACTGGAATTTAATACATGTATTGTAGTATATACTTGACGAGACTTGGCTTCGGAGTCTGTACGCTTTGTAATACCATGTGCGTCTCCATTCCATCGGCCCTTCCAGGAGGCGTCCTGACGACGCCGCCTTCTTCTTCGCCGTCGTCGATCTGCCCGCCATCCGAAGGGCCCCTTGCGCTCGTTAAAAAGCACAGTTCTATGCCATCACGTTAGCGAATCGCATCCGTCCGGAAGCAAGACAAAGGAGCTTGGTAGATGGGTATGCCGTGCGACCGACCCAGTCGTCCGCTTGGACGGAATAATCTGCAACCCGGTTCATGAGGCTCCCCGTGTACGATTCAGATTTGTTTGGCCAAGCCTGGGACTTGGCTTTACGTTTGGACGTGATGATGATAATCCAGACGTTCAAGAGACAGAATCAAGAAGATTTGACATGATGATACTAACAATAGGTGTCTGCATACATTCACGATGAGACTTCTGCAAGTGCCTGGGGTGCGAAGCATTCGATAGAGTGCAAAGCAGAGAGAAACTTCGATAACAGATTATTAGACTATATACCCTATTCATTAATGCCATGCACATTCTTGTTATGCCTTTTGAGATCGCCTTTCCGAACAAATTCAGCCTTGCATACACCAAGATCGACTTGAATTTCTGTGCGTTGCCATGCTTTTCCCTGACGTGCATAGTCGGGCTCGTTTTTCGAGCATATGACACTGGGCATTTTGAGCATTTTGAAAGCCTTTACCTGGCGATGCACTGCAACAACATGCTCATTCGGATTATACCTTGAAGCGAATGAGCTCTCGCATTTGGGTTCCTGGCACTTGAGCGGCTTGGGATCGCCATGGTCCTTGCGGATGTGCGCCATAAGGTAATCCTCTGTGGCAAACGTCTCATCGCATTGCCCGCATGGCAAGCCATCGTCCTTCCCATGCGTCTTAGCCAAATGCTCCCGAAGATTCCGCTCCAGTTTGAATGTTTCGCCGCAGTCTTCGCACCTGAAGGGCTCCCTTTCCACGGCGGAGACGGGGGATTGAGAAGAATCCACCGGCACAAGTGTCTCCGGGTGTTTTGTCTCGGCGATGTTTCCGTAAGCCCTGGGCAGATGTAATGTCCACACCGCAGTCATCACAGAATAAGAAGGAACCCCAATGGGCCTTGTCGACATCGTCTTGATCGGGACTGACGGCGTCCTGGGAGGTTGGCGCCTTAGAAAGGGAGTGTCTCTCTTGGCAATGCCGGAGAAGCAGGCCGATGCTGGCAAATTCTTCCCTGCAGCATCGCTGCTGGCGAACGCCTTGATCAGACGTCCCATTGACCCAGTCGTCGATCGATCGCAGGATTGGTGAAAGCTGGCGGCGGCGTCACAGGGCGAGACAAGGACATTTGGGACCCGTTCCAGATACTGTCCCCCAGTCTCTTATCGACTGTCCAAGAACCATGGCAAAGGGGGACACTGCAGTAATTCGTGCGGTCGAGTCACAGTCGGCCGTGTTGTTATTGCCCATGGCACTATTCGTAAGCCGGGCATCTGCTTCTACCGTCCGCTGACTGATGTCGATGTGCTTCAGTGGGGTCGAACCGCTTGAGGTCGGGAACTTTGAGCCCGAGCATCATTTTTGGCCAGGGACATCTTGAACGGATGACGGGCCCAAGGGACTGTGGGCAAACCCTAGCGATCGAGGTTGTACCACAGCATCTGCTCTCTGGTTGCTGTGGGCCTGGTCCTTTTGATCCGAGCAAACCGTTCGCAGTAGTACGTGGCGAAGAAGTAGGTCATGGCTTCGGCAGCGTGTGGCTCGTCAAGAGTGACGGCCACTGCCCATTTGTTGCAGTACTTCTCCATGGTCCGAGCTGTATAAAGGCTCAATGACTTGACCAAATTCCCGTCCCATCTGTTTATCGTAGCTTGAGACCTTGATAAGACGTGAACAGGGTAGAAGATCCTCTCGCCACGACGCGGGGATTGGATGGTCAGGGCGTAGTCAAACTCTTTCTTGCTGAGGCCATATTGCTCTCCCATCTTGACAAGGTTGGAGTATATAGTCCTGCCAGCCCCAATGGTAGTAAACAGACTACTGCCGTCTCAGTTTTCACTCACGTGAAAGAGCTTCTGGCCATCGCGTCCTTGGAGTAAAGGGTTGACGACAGGGTATTTCTCGCCGTTCTGAGCACCTCCAGGACTTTTCATTGCTCTTGGGGCGTCCAATTCTCCCATTACTCAACTTGGTCGGCGTCCGGGAGCTCCAGAAGGCCAATGTTACCCATGATTCCAACATTTGTTATCCTGTCGTAGCTCCATGCCACTCCGTATTTCCATGTCTCAACAGTCCAGTGAAGCGTCATCGACGGCAATCAACGACTGGGCAAACAATGGCAGGGAGATGGATGCTTGTCTTGTTTTAGACGTAGTTGACAGCTAATGTCGCATTTCAGTGCAATCACCTCTAATGGCGAATGGGTATACAGCCTCTATGGATTCGCTCATAGGACCTGGCACCTGTATAATCGCACACTCGTGTTATCAGTTCTGTCATCAAGGGGATGAGACTGCAGAGAGTCGCCTAAGCCGACGGGACATGGCTTCAAGGTCTGTGCTGAGAGACTCGGAGGTTGCAACAGGAAGCTTTCGGTCGGTTTTGTTCAGGTTCAGTGCCAAAGAAGTTCTGATGCGATACATTCCGTGGTGCCGTGGTCCTGACAAGATGTAGACTTGCGGTGTGCGAGACTGGCGTCCAACGCGGAAGATCTCTCCCCAAGGATTGGGGTCCAGGGGAATGGGGTCAGAAGACTTTCAGTCGCTGTCATCCTCTTCTTGGACGGAGACGTGAAAAGTTGAGACGTCGAACAAAGGGGCGTCAATGGTTGGGACGTCATCCTCCTCGTCGTCGTCTTGAATGATTCTCCGTCTGTGGAGGGCCTGACGATAAGCTGTCCGGGCAGGAGAAGAGGATGCCACGGGAGGAGAAGGTGCCGAGACAGGATGAGAGGGCGTAGAGAAATAACAAGAGGGATATATATCTATATATCTATAGATATATATATAGATATAGATATAGATATAGATATAGATATAGATATAGATATAGATATAGATATAGATATAGATATAGATATAGATATAGATATAGATATAGATATATCTATATAGTAGAAAGAACGCGTCTAATCATCATTAGCGCTTGTCTGATTGGGGTGTTGGAAGTGCAATTGATGATGCACTTTGCTTCTGCTGAGCTGCTCGTCTATAGGAACCTGTAATACATGGTTAGCAGAATTGCTGCTGGTAGACATGATGTCGGCTGTAGACGGACGTTGTCCTCATGCGTAGACAGCCGCAGACAAAACTTCCAAGCTTTTGTCCGCATACGCAAAGGGACGGTCCCATGAGGGATCCGGCCAAGAAGAATCCAAAGCTGTTGCTTCCGGAGGCACAAACGCGGACGACGGAGGACGAGAACTTGACCTACGGGGTAGACCAAGGGACCCCGTAGATCAAGGGACGGCAAGAACACGGCGATGGCAGGCGGGCAGACAAGAGACGACGACAGGAGCGGAGGAAAAAAAGAAGACAGCAAAGACGAGGATAAGGGATATCGCAAGACTTCCTGTCATCAAGCACTCTCTTGCCCAAGGCTATCGTAGCAGCATTCTTCGCTAAAGCTCATGGGATTCTCCAGATTCACCCCGGTCAGTCCAGAGCGGTCCAGGTGCTGGAATCAAGACATTGGCATGGCTCATGAGGAGCAGCAAATACCGCTACCTGCTTTGTTAGGTGCCTCATCGTTGTATTTGCTGTTTGTTGCAGACGTAGAGGCTTTTGCCATGATGCGCGTCTAGCGTATGTCTTCTTTTCGTGTAACAGTTCGACGGCCTGGAGAATCAAGAGGTCTTGAAAGCGGACAGCCCTCGCATAGCTGCAAGTCGCTGAAAGATGCTGCCGTGCCGACGTGATGATTTTGTGAGAATCTAGCAAGAGCTTTGCCAGTATTGGATGAGCCTTCTTCAGCTCTGTCCAACCCTGCGAAAGAGCTCTTGCTGTTTTGGCATCATACCAGCCTCACCCACCCGAAGACGATACAGCTACAATTCTCCAAAGTTCCTTGAAAGGTTGTCGAAGGAAGGTCAGTCGGCTTTGATTAGCGACATCATCATCAGCGATGGCTGTTGGGGGAAACCACAATGGTGTAGAAGTAAGCTGCTAAAGAGTAGAACGAAGGAGCTTTTGACATAAAAAATTGTAAGTGACGCGTCTACATAAACTACTATTTTATCACAACTTAGCTTCTTCATCATCACGATACGCTACGCCCGTTTATTCTTCAACAGATCTCGAGCCCTCGCTCCCCTGACAGATTACAGAGGCACTCAAAAGCCTTTAACAGTACATCAAATAAAGGCAGGCAATACAAAAGAATACATAGTTCGATCAGGAGGCTCCTCCACCTCCTCATAGTGCTGTCGCTGTTCTTAAACTATCTATGTATTCTAGGAGTAGATACCTTATATCAGAGATGGACCAACGGAGAAATGTGGCCATGCCGAGATACACTTCCAGATCTGCCAGGTTGACTGGAATTTTGATGTTGGCGATCGCTGCCATTCGTTCCTCGGTGGCGGAGAGGCTCTAATCCTACCCAGCTACAGGTAGTTTGACGATACAACCATAGACAAGAATAAACAATGCGAGCGTTGATTAGCATACATAGCACAGTGCCCATGTAGCAAGCAGTTTGAACGTCATAGAAGCTGTCCTCTTCCAGGCTTTTGTCCGCGTTGATGCCCTATTTCCATATGGAGAGCTTGGCGTGAACTCCAAGGCTGGTATATATCTATACTTTGCACACTGCATACACTTAGCAGGCGTAGCATTCTTAGGGAACCGTGTTCTGATGAGTATGCAGCGTATCCATCGCGAAGGCCCTAGCAGCCGTATCCCGGAGCCTAAAATCATCTCTACATCTACGAAGTATTGCTAGATGCCATTGCATAATATGTGAGGTCAGTTGACCCTCGCTCATGGCGGCCCAGGAGCTATTACATGATCTTGGTTGAACAAGAACACGTATCAGATAGCACCTAAGCGCCGTAGTCGTGCAAAGTCGCCAGCGTAGAAGCCCGGGATGTCAAGTCCAGCTGCTACTCGGTGACCCCCAAGTATAAGATTCGACGCAGCCTATTAGCAAAAAGGCTCGCCGTTTTCACCTGTATCCGTGATCTGATGCAGTCGGGCATCAATCTCCTGCTTTGGGTGAAAATAACGGTATAGGGGTCATTCCCGTCGAACAACTCTGGCAGTAGACGGGGAGATGAGATGGCACCTTTCTCACTGCCGACCACCCTTATATATGAGAGCTCGGAACTGAAAAAGCGAGGCGAATCTCAGGGTCCAGGGACGCACAGACGCGAAAGTGACGCGATTCTCAGGGTCCAGTGAATGCGGTTGCGAGCACGGGCCCGCTGCCATTGAGTTTGTTGATATCTCGTTCCTCTTAGATGCTGCTCTCGAAATCCGAACTCTTCTCTTCCAAGGATTCTCGTCATCTGCTCGTTTTCACCATTTCAGCCCATCTTCACCCCCGTTTTCGACAGACTTTGTAGTCTGTCTCGTCATTTTCGTGTCGTCGTTGTCTTCGTGGCAGATTGCTCTGTTGTCTTTGCAAGAGACTGGTGTTTTCTGTTTGTTCAGTTGGTCGAACACAGAAGAGGTAGGAATCTGTGACTGAAGAAGGGATCTCTTTTCGTCCGCGACCTTTTGTAAGGCCGGCACGCTTTCGGTTACCGTTAGATTAAAAGGAGTGAACGGACTCTTTCGCAGTGCCCTTCCTCCACCATCACGCAGGTTTTCTGTTTGTTCAGTTGGTCGGACACAGAAGAGATAGGAATCTGTGACTGACGAAGGGATCTCTTCTGGCCTGCTCTTTTCGAAGGCAGGTACTATTCTTTCGGTTTACCGTTAGTCGAAGAGTGAACGGAGTCTTTTGCAGTGCCCCTCCCTCTACCTAAGCCTCCTTGCAAGTGCATCATCAAGATGTCCGAGTCAACGATGGATAAAGCCCCTGAGGTGAATGTCGAGACTGCTGAGGCTCAGAGCAGCGCAGTTGGTGAGCAGTCGGCGGTCAAGGCCCCCAAAATCAAGACAAGAGCAGTTGATGCTGCTCTTATGTATGTTCCATCTTCTTTGTTTCCTGACGCCGGTGCTGTGTTGACTTATGATCCTGCAGGGTTGGCAATGATCTCGGCCCTATCATCGCCTGTGGTCCAAAATTGGGCATGTCCACCAAGACGACGGCAAGGCTTCTCACCTACAAGTCGAAAGATATGAATCCATAGATTGGCTTTGTATTTCGTGTACCTGTTGGAGAGGGCCAGACTGCCAACGAGGAACAAGGCTTTGGAGTCCGCTACCGTTGTGAGTCACTTACCCCAGGATCTGATGTTTCTCGCATTGACAAGATACTAGTTGACGCAACTTTGGGCGGTGGTACGGCCATCCCGTCTGATTACGCTGAGATTTCCGTCCGATTCCCTCGCGAAGGATGTACCTTCGCATGCGAAGAAGCCTCCTCGGCCGTTTTTGATCGGTTTCCTAACGCCACGGGGCGGGAGAAGGGCCTCACGGTCATTCGGGTCTGCCTCGCTGATGAAGCCCGGGTCACGGTCCACGGTTTCGGCATACCCTTTGCGAACGCGGATGACCCTCAAGTGGAGGGCTGGGTAAACGAAAGCAAGCCCATCACCGGCAACCTCACTCTTCTGGACTTCATTAGGCAGAGGAACTTTTACATCCTCGTTCGCCTGGCTCCTGATGTCGCCAGCAAGGCATTTTCCATGGAGAAGCTGCCGCCGCCATTCAAGTATCCATACGGCACAGACCAAAGATGGGACGTCGACAAGTTCAAGGACTTGATCAAGGTCAACAAAGGCCACCAGTTCAGGGAAGCCTACAAGTGAGAATTTCTACGTTCCTTTCTTTTTGTTTTGTTGATGGGACCTTTGCTAACAGGTTTGAAGCCACGACGATGACAATCACCACATGACAGTCGTGAATCAGAGTAACGTGCAAGATGTCATGTGGCTTGACGACGTAGCTATCGAGGTATGCCAATTGCCTTCCCGTCTTCCTCTCCTACCCTTACTTCCCCATTCAGAACGGTAGACGGTAGACTGATATTGAGACAGATCGCGGAGACCAAGTTCCCTGCCTATTTCGTTCGCCCTGATCTTGGAGTTCCCACGGCCGACACTGATCGCTTCTTCGTCATCGTCGCCACCCGAGAAGGCTTTCTGAAGGAGCATCAAAAAGCCTGGATGCATCTGAGACAACAAGGGCCACTGTTGCTTCATCTCTACGACAATCCCCAAAACAGTGAGCCAGACGCCATATGGTACGTTCACCCCTTCGCTTCATGAGTTGCTGGTTACTAACGGCGGCGCTTATAGGGAGTGCAAGATCGTGGATCGCCCTGCTATAGAGCGACACGAGACCGCAAAGCACGAGCTGGTCCTCCTGGTCCGACGGCCAAAGCGGGCGGACATGAATCCGAACTATGTTGTCAAGGACTTTGCAGATCGTGCGGAGGCAAATGACGCGCTGGAGCAAGGGAACGAACGGTGGCACCACGTCGGTCTCTGCTTTGGTGCCCGGCTCCTGGACTGCAAGCGAAAGGTCGAAGCCGTCTCCCTCTTCCACCCCCTCGCAGAGCCATCCAATCCTTTCCGATGGGGGCTGCCAGATCCCACTATGCCAGCCAAAGCGCAAAAAGCACTGAACGACAAGGAAAAAGCCGAGTTGGCGCAGGTGAAGGCGCAGTTAAAGGAGAGGATGGAACTTCACCGAGCTCTCGTCCGCGGAACCGGCTTCTACGACTGGATGGTGAAAGAAGATGCGCCGAGATCCACCGTGGCCGCCACACCATCTCTCTCTGTGGTCGACACCAACGTCGTGTATCGCCGGTTGCCCTCCGTCAACTTCCTGGACTTTGGAGATAGCGTCCGTGCCGAAGCGATCGTCAACGAGGCGCTTCCTCATGATCGCGACCGTTTTCGTGGGTACCTGAGCAACCGGCCTCTTGGATTTGGGATGATTGCAGGCGTAGGTTCACCTCTTCCAAACCATTCTTCATGTCCGAATCAACTAACTCGATGAGCAGGGTCCAGGTACTGGCAAGACCACAGCAGGCGCGGCAGCAACAGCAGCCATGGCGGAGAGGTACGGCCGAGTCCTGTGCTCCGCGCCGAGCGACGCCGCCGTGGACAACTTCGCCGCTCGTTTAGACACGAGGACACGCGCCATGACTGAGGCCTGCAACCAAGTCAAAGAGCCGAGCGGTCCACAGCACTACCGCCATCGCCTTGTCATCAGGGCGTACGAGCCAAACGCCGAGGTGGGTGCCTTCAACGCCTTGCTCAGGGACCCAACGCTGGGCGATGGAGCGGCTCCAGAGAGATGGGGATGGGCACCCCAATGGAAGCTTCATCTTTCTTTGGCGTTCTGGTTCCTGGCGGTCCTTGGCTCTCCTGCCGTGAGAGAGTTGCATCCGGATGACAGTCAGGATCTGTGGGACCTACGCCAGCAGATTGACGGCACAGAGCCGGAGCTTGAGCGCTTGCGCGACGTCGCCACTGGAGTCACTACCTGGGAGCAATACGAGCGGGACGGTCCAGTCGCGAACAAGACAATCGAGTTCTACTTGCTCCGTCTCTTGCCATACGCCAACATGCTCTGCATGACGCCCGCAGGAACCGAGCATGTTGCCATGTATCGAGCCTGGAAAACTCGAGTCGCTCGCGGCATCGCGGTAGATGAGGCGGGTACCATGAACCGGGCAGACCTCTACTGCGTCTGGGGTAATACTTGTCTGCCGTGCTTCCTATCTGGCGACCCCCAACAGACTGTTCCGACCGTCTTGGGGAAAAACGCTAGGGATGGTGACGGCAACTTTCTCAACCGGTTCGCAAAGAGCGCCTCTATTTCGGCTTTGGCTTTCTTCCAGGCAACTGGCATTCCGGTATACCGGCTGAAGACCAAGCTGCCCTAAGGCCGACGGCACCATCAAGAAGAGTAAGGCTGTGAAGGTTGTGGAGGAGGAAGCTGGACCGGCTCCTGTTAAGTAGATACGAGATATACACTAGCCCTACAAGCTTGCTATAACTGCTTGTTTTTATAATAAGACATCTTAGAAGGAGAGAAGAGTCTGGATCCTGACATAGCCAACTGTGGCCGCGAATGATTGCAGAAATTCCCTGCGCAATCCACTGGACCCTGACAATTACACCACCAAGACTCCCGTCATGTAGCAGTGTACCATAACGAAACCAGCAACTACGAAAACCAACCACTGCAAGATGAAGATTCACGCTCACCAACAAACTACCAGTTCTCCCGGAATAAAGTATATGAATCAAGTTTCATTACCACTCTAGTATCAACTCTAATCCCGCACCCACGCAAATTCCCTGATAAAAGACAGAAAACCTCCCATTCCTTTCGGCGCAATTACCTCCCTCTTAGGAGCCCACAGCCTTTTTTGAAAACAGGGTATTCAGAGCCAAGACAAAAGAAAAGCAGGACGAAAAGAGCTCAGAACGACATGATCCTCCCAGACATGAATGAGAAAGAAAATGAGAAAAGAGAAGGAGGAAAATGAACAGAGGAAGACGCAACCGGATATAAACACACACACACACACGCAAACGCAGGAGGAAAGAAAACGAAGATCTTACGAACCAAGGAAAGGAGAGAGAAAAAAAAAAAAAGCAAAAGGCCTGCCCTCTCTTCAGACAACAAAGGAGATGAAAAGGGACTGAAACGCCTCTGTGCATGCCGCAATATACCGCCCTGGTCTGCTGCTTCGCGTGATATATATCCTTCTAGGCAGCCGTTGTATATCTCTTCCCCCCCCCAAATAGACATGAGAAATGATATAAGTAGGATAGGAAAGTGAAAGAAGAAATGTGGTTCATGAGAACCCGACTCGAAAGAAATTGAAGTGGGAAACTCAAAGCTCTCGCAGCATTCGATACATGAGGAATCTTCCTCTGACTTTCAGAACCGCCGCCTTAGAAAAAAGACGGCTTGGTGAGGACGCGGTACTCAACGTAATCCTCGCCGTCAATGTTGATAATGGTCCCCTGCGAGACGAGCTTGCCCATAAACGGCCCGTTGGTCTTGCGCTCGTACTTGACGCCGTCGTACACCTTGGCGTCCTCGGCACCGGCCTTGAGACGAAGCGTCTCCTGGCGCGCCCAGACCTTGTTCAGGCGCTGCATGTCCTCCGACTCGTGGAAGGGAAGCCTGCCGTTGGTGGCGGGAGCCTGAGGCGGCGCCGACGCAACGACAGCCGCCGCAGCCGCGGCCGCAGCGTCGGCAACGAGGGCAGCGGCTCGCTCGCGGTGCATGGCATGGCGGTCGGCACGGCCCTGCGCGGCCTCGACACGCGCAATCTCCCTGCGGGCAAGCGCGTTGGCCCGCTCCATTCCGTCCGTGTTCTGGCTGCGGTTCGTTGCGCGAGAGTCGGGACGCGGCGGCTCCTGTTCGGCATAGGATCGCGGCTGGCGCACGTCGTTTTCATTGAAGGACTGTCGAGGCGTGGCTCGAGACTCCCCGCGGCGAGACTGCCGGACTTCGGGCTGCACTCCGCCGACGTCCGACCGACTCGCCAAGTCTGCGTCGTCAGCAGCGATGGGGTGGTATGGCGCAATGGGCTGGTGGACGTGTCGATAGCCGGAGCCTGCGCGGGCTTGCGCCTCTTGCACGGCCCTGATCTCGTTGCCTACGCGGTCCTCTGGCAGTTCGCCCTGATCCAGCTGGTACTGGCGGACTCTGCAGTACTCCTTGATCTCGGCTCTCTGCAGGGGCTTGAGGTGCGGCTCAAACTCGACTTCTTCATACTGAATCCACAACGCGCCCGCGCCCGAGGGGAAGTTGCCATCGACGAAGCGGCCATCACGGGTCTCACGGACTACTTTGACCCTGAACATGTCATTTTGCCCCAAGATGCCATACACAGCATGGCGGTCCCTGGCATCTTCTTCGCTGGAGCCCCTCCAGTAGCCCAGCAGGATGCGCGTGGGTCGGGTCCCCGGCAGAGGGCCGTGCAGCTTGGGAACATGGGGCGGACGGGGTTGCAGGGCAGGCTGGGACGGCAGCAAGGGCGAACGCTCCGGAGGGCTGTTGCTACCGCCCGGGTTGACGGCCGCAAACCCACCGCTCACGCGTCTCCGCTTGGCATCGGGGCGACCAGGGGTGTAGGCCGACTCGGGCAACTCGGGCCCGTGGGCTATAGGGGGCTGGGTAGTCGGGTTATCAAACGCCGGGTTCTCTTTGACCCTGCGAATGGCCTCCTTGACTGCCGCTACCTCGGCCGCCTTGCGCTCCTCTTCCGTCTCCTCTTGGCTGTCAGTGCGCAGCCTCACGTACTCCTTGACCTGAAAGTGATCGAGGCCAACCAGGTGCTTGGAAAAGACGACGCGTTCAAAAGTAACCCAGCTGCCGCCGGGTCCCGGAGGCATGGGGTACTCGTTGCTGATCGGTTCGTTGGCGAGGGTGTAAGGCTGAATGCGAGTGCGCAACCGATCGCGAGCGTCGATGAAGCCAATCACGGCGTGGCGGTGCTCCGGATTGGGGATGGATGAGTCTCTCCAGTGGCCCAGCAAGACACCCCGGACGGGTCCCATGCTCTGCCGCGACGACTTGGGCTTGAGGCCCTGTGCAGGAAGAGAAGCCTTGGATGGGTCGGTGTGGACCTCCATCTTGCTCTCGCTGAGGTCGGTGAAGACGGAGTTGCGCTTGCGCTTGGGATAGTAGCCCGCGGGCTCAGTTGGGGAGTCTGTCATGGTCTCGTCCTCATTTTCAGACGTGGCACGGAGAGGCGACGACTTTCGACGACCGTTAGCCATGGCATCAGCGACGATGGACCGCTCCGGATCGGTGACACCCACCCCTGATGGCGAACGAACGGTGCTGTCCGGCTCACTAAGCTCGCTTTCTGCCTCGTTGTCGTCAAATGGTTTGTGGCCGTTGGGTTGTCTAGCATCTGGGTCAGCTGGCGTTGACGGCGCGGTTGATGGCTCATCGCTAAGGATGGACGAGCTGGACGACAGTTGATTCATATTGGCTTGTGTGAAAAGATAAAAAAAAAGAACAGAGTTCAGAAAGTAAAGAGAAACAAGGCTGAAAATTTGAGAGAAAAGACAAGATGGAGATGGAAGAAAGAAGTGAAGATGAGGAAAAGAAGAGCTTTGGCCAGGTGCCAGACTGGCGAGCGAATGGGAAAAGCCAGGCGGGCTGTTCAACTGCGGCTCGAGGCCTGACACAAGGAAGAGCCCAGGCGGAAGACACAAAAATTGAGACTTCCTGCAGGACAAGCGCAGGTCTTTTCTTTCTTTTCCATTCAGTTTGAGCCCGTTGTTGCCACGCACAGGCAGATGACGAGGCTTCTCGACCAGCAGATGGCGAAAAGACAAAGGATGCACGGAATACCGGCAGCAAATGGCATCAAAAGCTCTTGATGAGACGGACAGCAGCTCGCCGTCTAAAGCGGCAGCAAGAGGGAGTCCATAAGCAGCATGTGATTGACAGCAGAAACGGGGGGAAAGGATAGGGCAGAGATTAAGCGGCCAGGTGGAAATGCAAGATCGGGGATCAGGCCTCTGCCGTGCACAGCTCATCGTTTATAGGCCGTCCATTCCCACGGGAACACGTTGCACCGGGTCTCCCAATGAAAGAGGAGGTGCGTCTCTTGTCTGAGCCACTGAGCTCGAGGCAAGGTTGGTTTGGGACACAGCTCGACCGGCTGGGAGGGCATGGACCAATCAGTCGCTCGGCAAACTCAGCTCACCTTTGGCGAAGAATGCAAGGGACTGTGGCGGACGAAGTGCCCATGGAAATTGGGTCTCATGTAAACCGCAAGGCAAGGGAGAAGGAGAATGGTCGGCAGTAGAGATGGTGTATGTTCCAAGTCTTCGATGCGAACAAGATAAACTGCTCCGCTCTGCTGGAGGTGCTGGCAGAGAGACTGAGCGGTTATTTGTTGCTTTTTGTCAGAGAAGATGGGGGGAAAAGAAGAAGACATGGAAGCAGTGGCCACGGCGACGAAGCTGGCCAGCAGTTGGTCCGCGAGCGAGACATGACGGGGAGCACGAGGGACGAGGCGCAATCAGGAGGAGAATATCGGGCACTGGCAGGTGAAAGGGCCCCACTGCGGTGGTTTGGGGACGGTGAATCGCAGCCAGGGTTCCGGTTTGCGTTGCCTTTTGGTTTGCTTCTTGATTTGTTTCTGCTTCGGGGGGGTGTGGGGAGTTGTGTGTGTCTTATTGGACTTGCCGTGAAACAGAAGCAGGGGAAGATGTTGTGTGAAGAAAAGGGGGGCACCAGAGTTGGAGTTGCACAAGACTTGAGCTTGGCTTGAGCTGCAGTGACCCGCGATATGAACCAAGGGCGAGGTCTTGATGAAGAGATGATGGAAAGGAAGATGAAAGCAAACCGAACCAGGCCAGAGTGGTGATATACAAGCGACAGATAGACAGACAGAGGCAAGAGATCAAAGTAAAAGGCCAAGAAACTCACTTTGCTGCGTCATTCATGGCGGATCCGTCGATGGGCTCTCGCGGAGGCGTTGTCGATGCTGAAGGCGCCATCTCGACTGGAGAGCGCGAGAGCGAGTGCGTGGTTGATTGCGAATGCAGCGACTGAGGCTGCGGCGAACGCTGGGCTTGAGAATGCGGATGCAGTGGCACGGGCTCTGCAACAAGCGGCGGCGGCGTCTTCTCGATGATGGGGTTCAGCAGCGCGGCCGTGCTGAGCATCGGGTGGTGAGGCAGCTCTCGCTTCTCCGACGCCTCTTTTGGTGGAAGAGCAGCCATGACCGTCTCGGTGGATGGCATCGGAGGCGTCCGCGAGTACTGATGCTCGACTGCTACGCCCTCCATGTTGCGACCTGTCCCTCTCTGAGAGCTTTTGCGAGACGGGGATCTGAGTGCTGAGCCGCGGGCTGAGAGGCGGATATATAAAGAGCGAGAGAGAGAGATCCGATGCTCTGCTGTTGGAGGACTACTTTCGTACCAGGCCAGGTCAAGGCTGGCCCGTGTTCCCGCCTTGTCTTGACCTGTCAGCCGGGGCAACGAAGATCGACTTTGCTGCTGATCCGATAGCTGTAAACGCCGATGCGCTGGGTGTCAATATTATATGCCCCAATAGAGGTTTTTACCGATAGAGGGAGCAGGCTGAAGACGGCAGTTGGGTACAAAGAAGGTATTCAGAAAAAAAGAAACCGGGGCTGAGCGAGGCAAGAGAGAGATAGATATCCACACGTGATGGCGACCGGCTTTGATGCCACAGCCGAAAGGGAAACACGGGGAAAATTATGGGTAAATCGAAGGAGAAGAAAGGAAGTAGAAAAAGAAGAAAAGGGAAGAAAAATATCTCGAAATGATATTCCGAGGAGAGAAAGGGCAAGCAGTAGCTTCTGCGTCGTGCCCTGGGCTGAACTGAAGAGAGAATTGTCGGGACCCGGAAACCAACAAGACCTGATCGGCTGCGAGTCTGAGTCTAATCGGCGACAAGGGGGGCGTGCGGAGGGTGTGAATGAAGGGGGGGGGAGGCGTGGGCGATTAATGCGAAGGAGAACGAACGAACATGGTGCGAAATAACGACGACAGCTGGTGGGAAAATAGAAGGGGGAAAAGATGACAAGGGCGGGAAATGCGTGGATACATAATCAGGTTGACGAACAGCACCCGAAGGATACTAGCACGATATCCGATATACAGCTGTGTCTGTGTATACACATACCTACCTGGCCAAAGATCTGCCGTGGGTTGTTTCTGAACTGACTCGGAGAAATGGAGGTGAAGGCGAGAAGGCGAAGTGTTGATTATTATACTGTAGGGCCAACATCATCTACGTAGTATAGTATCTTGCTCCGTTGAAGCCATGGGTTTTGTCCCGCCATGTGTGGTTTCTGTTTGCGCTCCCTAACCAGCCACAACTGCAAGAAATGCAGGACGAGACAAATAAAAAGAAAAAAAGAAAAAAGAAAAAGGGAGACAAGCGAAAAAAAAAAAGACAGGAAAAAAAGGAAGGAAATCGAGATGGTTTGATTAACGGAATGGAAGCTTGTTCATATGATGAGAAGCCAGCGAAAGCGAACAGAGGCAAGAGGGGGGAGAGGAAGGGAGAGAGGGAGGGGGCGTGTGATGATGGAACGTCCAGAGTTCATGTTCACTGCGACTCGACTTCAAGTTGAAGCTATACCAGAGACACAAGTATCCGCGAGTATGTACTGTGACGAGTCCCTAGACTGCACTGCCTATGTATGACTTAGTACCTGGCAAGTGATGAGTGGAGGCGCTGGCAGGGGTGGGTGAGAGTTGTCGTAAACGGGTAATGAATGAATGAGACAGAAGCGACACAAGAGTCTTGGGTTGGTCTGTTAGTTCCTGCTGGCTCAAGGGATGGGCGCATGATATATTGGCTTGACTCGGGTACTTGGCACGTCGACTCAGGTTACGAGCATGTACATGGCGAGAGACGATGTTTGTTGGTCGTACCAGCAGGCACAGGAAGAAGCGCTGAGACAGGACTCAGAGACGGGCAACAGTCAGTGATACTTGGTAGTACTTTGCATAGGTAGGTAGATTGCATCAGATGCAGTACGACCTGAATGCCAGACAGCCTTTCATTCCTGCATTATCATGCTCTCTCGTGCATTTTACTTGTACATAGATGCTGCTTGTAGCAGCGGTACCTACTGTGACTCGTACTATATCGCCCTGATCCCTCCCAGCAGGCCATGATGCATTACAGTGGCATCACGTATGCGCGAGCTAGGTGTCAACGGCAGCCTATAGCAAGCGGCAAGGCACCAATCACCGTGCGAGCCAGCGTGTGTACGAAGAGTCATATCGAGCTACTATTACACATACGAAGCGCACCGAGGCGAACTCAGTCGTAAGACAGCCCAGAACAGCATCATCGAATTACGAGTCTCTGCATCGAGATTTATCCCGGGGCTGATTGGCTGCTCCCATTGCTTCCAGCAAACACGAAGCTGCCTACCTTTAACTGAGATCAAACCAGGCCCCCGTTGCACATTGTATGTACCTTGTCGGGTTGCAACAGGCAGTTTGCTCGTCAGTAATCAAGCCAGCAGCTTGATGGAATCTTTCGGCTCCAGCTGGGCGTAGTAATAACTCCGTTCTCCGATCCTTCGACCCCAAGTACTCACTGCTACTACTAACCCCCAGTGGGTGCTAGGCGGTCACTAACAAAAGACTCGGCACTCACTAACAGGCAATACGCAGCAGACTAGGAGATAGTCGCAATGGTTCAACAAGGATCGACTCGTGCCGATTCAGTCACTCAATAATAACGCGCAATAAGGCTAGCCGATGGCTTCAGAGCACCCAGAAGCTCCAAGGCGCCTTTGCGGCTGAAGTTCGTTGTAGCTTTGCTTGGCAGATTGAGAAGAACCGAGAACCAAAAGTGCTGATGAGACTCTTTTGTATTGTGTGTTTATTTAGCCCTCTGCAAAAGTGCAGTACTGTCAACCCTTGTCTTCCTCCTTCAACCCAACCTTGGGTGGTCTTCCCCTGCGAGTACTATAGCATGCTGCGGAATCACTGGAAAAGTGGCAAGTTCCGACCATCTAGGTACGGAGCAAGGACACAGAAGTTCCCATAGCCCCGAGACACGAAAATGAAGGTAAAGAGTCGCCAAAAGTCCGTACCCAGTCGCAAGTGAACAAAAGAATCTAAATGGACGTGCCCCATTCTGACGCGCGCGCGGAAGGTATGAAATGGCAAACGACAGGGTTTACATGTTGGCTCTTGTTTCTTCTCACATTGTCTCCGAGTCTCCGTTTTTGCCGGTTGCTGGCTGTTTGTTGTGGCCGAAACTCCCCAAAAGCACCGCCATGCAACCGGACGCTATCTGTTTTGGAACGGAGAATTATCATTGTTGCTCATATGATTATTATACGACAAATCACCAAAGGTTACTGAAACCGTACAGGGTCTTTGCTCTGATAGGTTGGGAGTACGAAGTACGTACGAAGGGGGAGGATCTTCGCCTGTGGATTGTTTCGATAGGGGGTTACTCTGGTTGAATCGGGTCAATAGATGAAGCAAAAAAGACGTAAAAGTTGCCGAAATGGTAGGACATGCAAGGCATAACTCGTCACGTTTCGCGCTGTTGCCTGCAGAAAACAGCAGTGATAACAAACCGACAGCAAGGTACAAAGTTGCCGAGTGCGAGAAGGATATCCAAGTGATATTCCGCTTTCTTTGCTGTTTCTGTTTAGAGAGGAATCAACTATGATGAGCTTACCATTACCTCCCTTTGTTGGAATGAAAAGCCTCGGGCCCGGGGAACGCAATCTCCACTACCAAGTAGGAAACTCCAGGTATTGCATGTAACTATCTTGCGCGACGACGACTCGGAGGAAGCTAAAGAAGGTACATACTTTCATGGAATATGCAAGGGTGGGAAGGGGAGGGGAGTGAAGGAGAGAGGAGGGGGGGGGCGTGCTTTGCAAACATCTGGAACAGGCAATTCGTGGACAGATGTCTGGATACATTAAGACGGGCAGCGATTTTTGCGAATATGACGATGGAGTAAAGAGCCGGATGACAGCGAGTTGCCGGTTTTGACGGAGAGGGAGTTGTCGTTGTCAAGTCTTGCTGTCATTGACTTGATCCTATTGGGGGCGCCGGGCTTTGACAGCATTCATCTTCCATATGTTCTCCATTCCTGCGGGCGGCCCTCTTGCTTCCCAGCAGGATTGGTACGCCCTTTTTTCCCTTTTTTTTTTTTTGCACATACCTGATTCGGTAGGATACCCACGCCTTCACGGAGTAAGCAGCCCGAGATCCAGGCAATGCTACCACAACCAACCCAAAAGCCCATTCAGACCAATACGATGCTCGAGTGCGTATCGAGAGTGCGTATCGCAGAAACGGCCGGAGAAAGACACAGCAGACTCGGCGCAATTACAAAACACCGTCACAACTTCTGGCACGCGCACATCAGACTAAACGTCCCAGAGTTTTACGTTTTCCCCATCCTTTCTTCAGCCAAGGCCCGACATGTCAACTTAGCCGTCTTTGCTACACTCCTACCTGTTGTTCTCCCATTCGCTGCGTCGGCTAATACAGGCACTGATGATGAGGTTATCGGGATGTACCGTACTGTACATCTTTCGAAACCCCCCCTACCTTTATTTCGCGTCTTGCCAAACGATGCTAACGCACGCCGATAGCCGAATCCGAAAAAGACGGGTAACAAAGTGAACAAAGTCTGCAGTCTTCACATTGACTTTCGGCTGTTGGTTGGCTTCAGGATTGAGGATTCCGGATCCTACAAGAAAGTGCCCACTTGGTTCGTCACCATCCATCATAATCGCTTAGGATGAGCTGCATGAACAAAGGTAGCAATGCGGTTCAGCGGCCCTGCCATGAGATTGACACAAAAGGCGGCAGCAAATTACATGTGCATGGCCTCCCTTACAGTTTCTTCTGGGCGGCCAACACACACAACAGCTGCTGGACGCACTCACAACTCGGGCCGCCGTCCAATCCCGTGGCTGCAGACACATGCGCGAGGCCCAATAGCCGTAGCAACTCCTCCGTAACGAGGAGTAATTGGTATGAGTCTTTCTCGGCTGGATGAGTCCAACTGCTACGAGTACCATGCCATCTCGTGCGTAGTTCGCACATTCTGACCTACCTGTGAAGGAACTCGCAAACCCAGGCTCAGCTGGAGCACAGCTGGCTACTAGCACGCCGGCCTAGCAGTAAACAGGACATTATTACCACTTCCAGTCCAGTAACAGCCTCCACGTTCCCCATCCTCCAAACAAGTGCTGAATGTGATTTGTGATTAGTGATTGATGGAAACTAACTTCAAGACAAAACAACAAATAAGTAAACAGCAAAGAGACTATTATTGACGCCGGGACTTTGCACCGAGTCGTACTAGCTCGCCCAGCCAGCAGATCCTCGCCGTCAGCCCACCCCAGTATGAACTGGGGGCGTTTCCTTTCTCCCCATGCATCAGCCCCGTCAATGCTTATTTCTACCTACGGCTCAGCCTGCTTCGGCTTGCCTTTGCTTTTCATGGATTTGTTTCTGTGTCGTTGGGCCAGGTTCTACAAAAAAAGCTGGGCTGAGTCAACTTTGACACTGGGAAACCTGTTGCATCCCATGGAGACAAAAGCCCTGGGCGGCCTTTTTGCTAGCATCTTCACCACAATTGAACTATTTTCGCTGCTCTTCTCCTCTCTTAACAACAAGGTAGAACTGGGCTGTGTTAACGAGACTGGTAACCAACTGCGTCACATGTAATAAACTCTTTTCTTCTTCCCTCCCTCCCTCCCATTCAACCCTTCTGGCTTGACCTGAGCGCCGCCGCTTCAAACTAGTACAACCTAAAGGGAGGTTAGGTAGTAACAGTAATACTAAATGACCGGAGATGCTTATCGCAGGGCGAGACATTGTTCGGATCGCAATTGGGTACGAGAATTACGCCTCTTTTTATTTGCTTGTGGCGCTGGTGTATCAGTTTCGTGGCGCGTTGGGCCGACACGGAGGGATTTGGAGGAGGCGGAAGCAGTTTGCATCAAGGCACGGATCGAGATGTGCTGCTCAACTTTGTGAAAAAAGAAGCACTTTTGTGAGATTTGTTCCTCCATGGCATTTATGGAAGAGTAATTTTTTTCCACGGAGTTGTTGCCTTGCATACGACAGCCGAAGGATAGTCCAAGCAATAACAGATATCACCACATCCCGCCCGTTTACCAGGGAACCCGTCAGCTGCGCATAGCCTTTCGTCAGGAAAATGAGACGAATACCCCGGTTAGCCTACCGACTGTTTTCTCAACATAGCCGTGGGAGCCATGTGGTGAAAGGGGATTATCCGGTTTGCGTTCTGAGTTCAAGGAGAAATACAGACCTAATCCTGTGATGGGACATGATGGGTGGATGTAGAGCACACTCAACGGTGGCCAGATAGATCTGCCCGGCATCATGCCGGTTTGGGCAATTGCTGTACTATATCATTCATCAGGCTTGGCGCAAATTAAACGACCAGCTGCAGCAGCAAACGGAAAGGAAGCATGTGCAAATTTGAACAGGCTAGAGTGCGGGTGTGGAGGATACCCAGCAATTGTGGGAATACGGCCAAGTCCTAAGTGAGAAGATTAGAGGATGGAAGCAATCTCAGCAAGAGAACTGCCAAAAGAAGCACTAGCACGGCGAGAACACGTACATACGAGGCAGAACACCACTGCCCCAATTCGGAACATTGAGTTGTCACCACGAGTCAAGACTCTGTTGCTGGTGTGTCTTGTCATGGGTTGACTGGGTTCCTCGGAAGAAGCTGAAGGAACGGACAATAGAAAGGACCCAGAAATCACCGATTGACCCGCACAATGGCCTCAACTCGAGGGGACAAAAAGGGATAATGCAGACCAACGACTCCCTAAGTTCCTACTACTACTACTACTAGACAAGGCATTGCAAGACCAACAACCTCTTTCGAGGGGGTGTGTCGAAAAGACGAATTGATCCGGCGCCACCGAATTGATTCCATCTTGTCCTTGTTTACTCTTCGCATACTTTGCCGATAAGTCATGCTTGGTTTTTGTTGCTATCCTCGGTGAATATCCCGCAACCGCCATCGGGCAACTCACTCTTGTCGGCAATCTCGTGTATTACAAAGTCGCTTGTCATGCTGCGTCTGCGATTGACGGCAACACGCCCCCTGGACGCGATTCGAATACTACTACTACTACTACTACTACTACTACTACTACGACGTGTTCAGCAACTCAGGTAATACGAGGCCAACTTACTGCAAACCCGGTACTATATGGTGTAGTGTGAGGTACCTATGTAGTTGGAACAGATAGCCGTTCCTTGTCGCATCGATATTGTAATTGCTCCGTGATGTACTTCGCAGTTCCCGGGCGCACGACCATGCCAATTGTCGGACTAAAGTGTACCTTTCAGGCAATTGACATAGCAGAGTTTCTCATACGAACGACAACGATGGTCGTGATCGCGGGATGCTCGTGCTGTACTCCGTGATAAGCTTAAGAAACCATAAAGACAGTCTGTGGAAACCCAAGGCAACTGCTCTCGCAACTTCATCAATCTCCTGACGAGAGAACCACATACATACACACCCTCCTCCTTCTGAAACATACGATAAACAGGGACATTTCGTGTTCTCTCAATCCTCATACTGTGTACGTGCGAGCGAGTGTGTGCCTTCTGTGCGCTGAGGGGTTTACAATGCAGTTCAGTCGCGTCCGTCAACCACCACTCAGGCAAGTTCTTTCAATCTCTCGATACGACGCCCATTTCTCTGGCCTTCTCCGTCTCTGAAATGGTGTGTACAGGTGACATCTCGTCTGGCTCCCGTGTGGCTGGCTGTGGTGCGGCGTTGACCAGCCATTCACGCAACACCAGCTGTCCGACTCCAAAGGCACTTTGACAATTGTGGGCTTCCTGCATCTACATGTATGTACACGGAATAGTGTATACCTAGGAACAGATTCTTACTTCAAGCCGTCCAATCCGCTGCGTTGTTGTGATTATGTTTAATATCGCTTGTGCAAACGAGAACGAGACACAGATGCTATCGCGCAAACACGCGCATGCAGATTGGCGCATCTATGGACTATATCTCAGTCAGAGTCAACATGTGTACTTTTCACTAGTTCATTCCATCGTATTACCTTGCGAGTCGCAAAAAGTTGACAGTTTTGCCTGCGTGCCAAGAGCTAAGAAGCACCACGAAACGAAGTACGAGGAGCATCAAACTCCCACTAGCAGGCTGCAGAGTTATGGAGCAGGCCATCAAGGGACTTTGTCCGTACCCTCCTCGGCAGACTCACGTATCACCCTACTCGCCCTTTTCAAGCTCCTCCCGGCGGAGAATATATCCAGCAGTCCAAGACAAAAAGAATGCTCAACCGTCATCATCTGGGCCCCAACGAGATCCGGCTTACTTACACCTCTGCATGATTTAGCTCCAAGTCAGAAACCAGAAAGAACAAGGTATGTAGCCTTTCTGCATCTCGGTCAATGCGGTGTGTGAAAGTGTTATCTTTTTCCCTTCGTTTGCATTTTCTTTCTGGCCCCCTTTGTTCGCCGTGAGACACGAAAAGTTGTTGTCATGCTTACGGGAGCCAAGAGGGATGATGTGACAAGCAAATTGTGGGATGATGGGGGAAATAATATTTCCGCATAACCCCGTATGCTCCTTCGGCCTTTTCATGTTGTTCCCTGATTTTGCAACGGGTCTTTGGAATCTGGCATGCAAGAGCCTGGCCACGTTTTCCGCTTTACAACGCTTTTTCATGTGGAGAGTATGAAACTCAATGGGACAGTAAGATTGTTCGGTTGCGATTACGCCAGTATTACTACATCGTCTGTCAACAACTACTAATCCTCCATGCCTCATGTTCTAGTATAACGATTTACACTTTGACCTGTTTCTCACCTGTATATCCTGATTAGTGATCGGACTTTTGTCCATGCCTCAAGCACGCAGGACAGATCTTCGAAACAAACATCTTCCCTGGTTCAACCGCCAATTCCCACTCCGAAACTCCCCAATCTCTGCTTGAATGAAATACAACCCAAACGGCATGTTTCTTCAACTACGTCTCGCACGTAGTATCAGTATAGTAGTAGTAGTATCCCGCTCAGCTTATCATCTTTTCCCTAAAACGAGCAAGTGCCTCATCTGTTGTCTCTCTCTCTCTCTCTCTCTCAAGCTTTCTGTCGATCAAGTGCCTGCAGGCCGCCAATCTGACAGGTGGATCTCTCCGCCTCTTCTCCCTTCCTCTCACTTTGGGCAATTGCCAATCTAGTCTTTCCATAGGAGGGCGTGTGCGTTAGGACTCTGTCTTTGTGTCTCTTGTATCTCCACGTTGTGCCGTGCCATGTGATGTGTAATCATTGGCAAGAATAGCCGCTGGATCAAAGGAGCTAAACGTGGAGTTATCCCAACTCTCGTATCTTCGCCCTCACTTCCATCTCTTACGGGAACCCAAACAGTATGTGGTCCGCAACCACTTCGGCCGATAAAGGCAGAGAAGCCTTAATATATATCCTTGACAGTCCAATTTAGTCTGATAAATATATCCATTTCGAGAAAAAGCTGCATCAGCTAAAACACCTTCGTCAAACAGAGCATATTCGTCGCCTTTACGTATTCCCCTCTTTGGAAACTGCCCAAGGTCCAAACCTGTCCATCCCGGTCCGGTACGCGCAAACACAGCAAATGCCGAACGCATAATCATCATCAATCTGATCCTTATTCCCCTCCTCCTCCTCCTCCTCTTTAGCAAGTGGACGTAAGATACCTGTTTTCCCCAAAAAAGCAACAAACGGCGCCATCAATCAGGCTGCTTATGTACTTGGAATCCTGATTGCCATTTGCGGAACATGCCGACGGATTTATCACTTTCTTTTGACCCTTGTTTGCTCCGTTTTAGAGGCGGTTTCTGCCCATGACTCGCCCTTCAGGCGTTCATTTGTGGAACGTCAATTTTGCGGCACTTGATGAATTTGTCCCTTGTCGCGGATGGACGTACGAGTACAGTACACACTTGTAGATACGGCATCATAGTCTATCCTGGACTGGCAAAACTGAGGAATCGTAGTGACACCCCCTTTGTTACGTAGTCTATCTGTTACAGAGATGCCTCTTCACCGTGGATACACAAAGACGTGTGCCATCCTCAGTGGCCCGAATTGTCCATTCTCCCCACCCTCACAACTCCGTTCCCTTTAAATAAACATATTCATAACTCACTTTGTAAGAATGAGTTGCGTTCCCGTCATACCATATCAGATAGAAGATATACTAAGAATAAGGCAAAAGTAGTCCTCGCCCGTAGAGTCGAGTGGTTGCAAAAAGATACAGGCCCATCGGATAGGCCGTACTCTGCAAATAGACGATAGCATCTCGAAGGTCATGTCAAAATCCGTATGTTGTGTGTGATAACCCATTCCCACAACTCCTTCCATATTCCTGCCCGCCCGGTTCGTAAGTAAAGTAAATCCTTCTTCCCAACCTCATCACCGCCCTCCTCTCCCTCGGCCTCTGCCTCGCCCGCGCCCGCGACCACCCCCACGACCGCCTTTCTTACCACCTCGCCCAGCGTTGCGATTATCAAACCTCTCAAACAACCGCTCCTCCCCAAACGCGCCCTCCCCAAACCTCATAAAGTTGACCAATCCCCTGTCCACCACGGCCACAATGACGTTCCTGTGTCCGTGCTTCAACCGCTGGTACAGCTTGCCCGGGTTTCCTCGCCACGCCTCGGGCGCGGGATCGTAGGGCGTCGACTCGAGCAGCGTTCCGATTTGCTCCAGCGTGGGAAGACACGAATCTGCCGTGTCCGCCACGGCGATGCGAAAGTCTGGGGGCGGAGGATTCTTCTTGGAGAAGCCGCCCGCACCGGGCTTCCAGACGTGGAAGTGCACCCGGAAAGGATCCTCCGGCTTGGATGCGCTCGGCGGCACAGGCAGCGGCTTGTGTCGCGGAATGAGGGCCAGCTGCTGGTATATCGGTCGGTAGGCACGGTACAGGCCCGGGGCGACGAGCGGGCCGAATGGTTGCTGCCGCTGCTTCCCAAATTGTAACATCTCCGGCTTGACAAAGGAGAAAAGCCATTGCCATAGTGTTTGTGACGGCTCTGTGGCTTCTTGTATGGGTGGTTCTGGCGGTGCTCGGAGGATGTTGAAGCCTGCTCGCTTCAGGTGCGCGTAGACCTGGTACTTTGGCAGTGTCGTCTTCCCTTGTTCATCCTCAAAGCCGATGAAGAGCGAATATGCAGCTTCAAGACTCAGCGGCAATCCAATATCGTAGTCGTCAGGCCCAAACCCAGGCCGAGGTGCCCCGCTGGTGCTCCCCTTCGGCAAGAGGGTTTCGAAGTCGGTATACGGCCACCACAGGTCGACGGTGCCTCTCTCAACAAGGTAGATGGCCTCTTCCGGTAGTAGCCACAGCCTTCCCACACCAAGCTGGTCCTTGCTCCCGGAAGCCACTCGTCCGATATCCTTCATCCAGCCCCCCTTCTCATGCTCCATCACCACCACCCGGTCCTTGAGCCACATGCCCTCGTAGTCCACCGCAACGTTCGCCTCGTCCGTCCAGAAATCCGGAAAGCACCAGCCCCGGGCCCAGGCATCGCCTCGGTGTATCCTCGTGTAGCTGAGCACGTCCTCGAGCGCCCTCCGGCTCGACTCCAGTGCGCCGTCCTGAGCCCGGGTCCCGTGCGTCTCAAAGTCCTTTTCGCCCTTGCGGATCGTCTGGCTGGAGACACCCTTCTTCGTAAATGATGCTGCGAACAGCTTGTAGTCGGGCATGTCATCCTCCAGCGCTTCCTCCACCGTCGCGGCGCCGCCTTCGCCGTCTGTGGGGACCGGGCCTGCAGCCAGTGGGCTGTCGTCGTCGTCAAAAGGCATGGCGTTTGTATGAGATTTGAATGAAATGAGGCTTGGTCGCTGGGTGCTTGAGACGTGAAAGAGGGACGCTCAAAGTGAAGTTCGCTCAGCTTTGCTGCGTTCTGTCAAGTCTTTTTAGCGCCTGAAAAGAAGTCGTGCCTGAACCGCAATGGTGTATGAGCGCTCGAGAATGAGATGCAATCAACACGGAAGGAGCTGTGCCATCATGAATGCAGAGATATGTGAAAAGAACATAAAGAAAGTGAAGAAAACTCAGTCCATGTGATGCCGATACGCTCTATCGCGATATCATCAAAGTGGGGTGGATTCTGAGCAAAGCAGCAATCAATTTCTTGCAGGTTGTTGGCAAAGGCACAAAGAGACTACCTTAGGTACTAACAAACTTGACACGTGACAGCGAGTTTTGGCCAAATTGTTCTCAACTGGCTACATGTGCTGGTGGGGAACCCTCAAAGCAGTGCTAAAAGTGCTGGAGGCAGTGGTGGAAACGAGAACAGCAGTATGAAAAAGAGAAGAGAAAAGGAAAAGTTTGCTGAGAGCTGCAGGGCCGGAGACCGCGCAACCAGACGGACGAGAACCCGAACGAAACAGCGGCCCGCTGGCTGCAATCGCATCCGAAGTTCAGCAGTGAGTACTATTCGCCATCACTTCAATTGTCTCGCCTACGACTTTCGTCCACGTGGTAGCCCCCAACCTGCTCCTATGTATTCCTAAGGTAGGTAGGAATCTCGGGTTCAATGTGCTGTAGTGGTGCCATGTGTGTATTTGCAGATATTTCAGTGCTGGATGCTGGGCGGTACTCTCTAGACTGCCCGACCACGACTTGATGGTGCGGGAGAATCTCGACGAACCCTCTTGGTTGCTAATAAACGCGAAGAACCTAACCCTGAACAAGAAGCGCTCTCTCGAATACCACTCCACGTGCCTCAGACCCATCAGGCCTTCACCTGCCAAATTCACAGAAGACGGCAATGCTCCTCCCGCGGGCTCTAGCCAACCCAAGCCCAAAAGCACAGTCAACGCGACAAGCCAGCAGCAAGACGCTTCGCAGAACCGGAGAAGAGGCATCTGAGGCTCCCGAGAGACACGAACATTACAAGGGCAAAAGCTCCCGAGACAGCATAATTCCGCATGACACACCATCTTAGCAAGCCTTCTGGATTTGACGGCCACGGAGACGGTGTACATGCCCATCATCGAGGCCTTGTCCCTCTCGACGTTGAGAGCGTACAAGGTCGACTGTACCTTGTCCTCCAAGTTCTTCACCCTAGGCTTCGACTTGCTGTTCTCCGCCATGATGGGCCGAGACACTGTGCGACAAGGTCTCGACTGGATCGGCCGTCATGTTCCTGATCGTGTTCCCCATCCGAGACTGGTCGCTGACTATGTCCTCGTGCATGTCGTCGATGCAACTCGGAGTAGTCCATGGTGTAGTCTTACAAGTGCTTCGACAGGATGTTGGCCCTCTGTCCGGAGGTGTCGCATCTCCTGTGATTGGCCCCTGCTGAGTAGATATGTTTAGGTAGTTCTCAAATCTTGTGCTTTGGATCGCAGTATACCTTCCAATAACCCATGTACATGTAGCATGTTGACGTCCGAGGCCGTTCGTGGAGGTGGTTGCCGGCAGTGGACCGCGTACAGCTCGACACAACCACCCTCTTCCACAAGGCCAGCTTGCCAGCTTCTGTCCACTATTACCTATTTACAGGTTCATAACGTCCCCGACGTAGTCCTTCCGTAGTCCTTCCGTCGCACCGCTCCGTTCTCACTATTGCGAGTACCAATTCAACTTCAAAGATGGACCATCCAGGCAATTGTCCCTCGGCTAGAGAACAATTCCACGGGATGTTCTTAACCCTTGGCTAACTCGAAATCTGCTGTATGGAGGAATGTCTATCTGCTGATGGCGAGTGTCTGAGCCAGGGCAAGTGGCGAGGTGGGAAGGCTCTACCGAACCACCATCTAACTACTGTATCGCCATGGCAAGGGAGAGGAGATATAGTCGTCAGATGTTATCACTCAATCTTCTCTGGCGCTGACAACAGTCATTAGCAAATCCATCCGCTGTGCTCTGTACCTCAGGAAGTAGATCCACATTCATAATTGCTAGGCACTGGGTACTGGTTGGAATGCAGCTGTCCAATACAGAGCTATATATCCTGCACAATATCCATTTGGTCCACAATAGCCTCGACGAAGCATTTCAGCTTGTACTCGGGCGTCAGCGCAGTTACCTGCCCTCGACCTTCGTATCCCAGGCTCTCTGGGGGCAGTGAAGGTAGACGGCAAAGATATCTGTTGCCCGCACTCTTGGCGTTGGCCACGGACGCGCGGTATTGGTAATTGTCGGCGCAATCTAACAAGAATAGGTCACAAAAAAGGCCGCCGTCGTCAGTGGCTAGATCGCTTGCTGATATTGATAGGCGAAAGCAAGATATGATGACTGGGGCTAAGAGGTTCCGTCGATGGCATGATGCTAACAACCATGTTAGCATTGCTTGATGAGGCTGAGAGAATCTCAAGCCGTACCAAATGTCCATCTAGAAATGCTGGTGATGCTAATCGGCGTGTTGGCATCGCTTGCTGATGTCGAGAGAATAGGCGAGGACCCGACTCTGGGTCAAGGGGCATACCCGGAGAGCGTGGTGCTAACCACCGTGTTGGCATCGCGTGCTGATGTTGAGAAAATGGACAGAATCCGATGCAATCTTGTCGAAACGTGGTGCCGTTGGATAGGGGCTTGCAAAGACTGGATGGAGATGCTTGATTCGCTCGATATGTGCACATACAATCTGCCCCAACTTATAGCCACGCGCGCTGTGGCTCGTACCCTTTCCTAACAGGCTGGACAGCATGCCAAACGTAGATAAAGTGACTTCGTTTCTCCAAGAGGTACAGAGCCAGATCAAAGGTGCGCGCTTGAACGAGATGCGCGAGTTCCGACTGGCGTTGGGCGAGGACGAAACGTTCGTTGGCGGGTGGTATATTGGAAGGGCGATGCTCCAGCCGGCTAGGAATGCCCACGCCCAGCCTTGCTGCCGCTTTCTGATACACATACTTTATTCGTCAACCAAGAGTATGCGAACGGAAAGCCAAAGCAGTTCCGCCAAGCTCGGGACGCAGACAGGTTGTCCTGGGGAAGTGCGCTTCATTTTTCTTCACCGTTGAAGCAGCAGCATATAGAACGGGAGTGCCGATTGGCGGAATCACGGACGGGTGGGTTGGGGAGGAACGACCAGGAAAGCAGCCGAGACGGCAGCAACACCTGATGTCGTCATATTAACAACGTTAACAGATATAGCCAGTGATCACAATCTTGACGTTTCGACACCCTCGATCGTCATTTCGCCTCTGTCCTGGTTCATGTCCTCATGTCTCTCGGCATGTCTATCAGAATGTCTATCAGCATATCTGTCATCTGGTTTGAGAATCCCTTCTCACGGGCTTCTCGACCTTGTCCACCATCATTTCGCCGGGACATCTTTTGGGAGGGGATTGGACCTCGGTGCCAATGTGCTCAGAAGGAGTGACTGGACAGCACCAGTTCATTCAGTGCTAGTAACATGGAGATCTGGAGAAAGATCAACTCACAATTGTTGGCAGGCTGGAGTGTCCAATTCAAGGTATGTATAAACTGATCGAGCTGACCATATCACTGCTGGATGTCGGTAGGGGCAGTTGAGCTTCGAATTATCTGTCGCCCCCCACCCTCCACCGCCGACGCATTTCTGCGAGTGATGAGTGTCGATACGGCTCGCCTAGGCTATAAGGAGAGCGGGGAAAGGGGAAAATCATGCCTAGTAAATATTCCGAATGAAGTGCACAAAATTGAAGAAAAAACAGCCAATATGGCGTTGATGCGCTGTATCGTGATAGCTTCAAGTGGGGTGGTTTCGTAGTCGTCACAAAGCCACCAGTTGCAGATAATGGAAAGGGAGACCGATAAAGAGCAAATTGGGCATGTTACGTCAATGCTGACACGTGATGGTGAGTCAGGCGAGGGGAAAAGCCTGGCCTCTCGAAGAAAACAGCAAAAAAAGTTGTCAAAAGTTCTGCGAGCCGCAGGATTCGAACCTACGCGGGCATGCCCATCACGGATCGAACGGTCGGTCGTTCCTTCCTTTCCTAAACGTGACGCCTTAACCACTCGGCCAGACTCGCTATTCCTGATTAATTGGACTCATCTTATTGTTGTATATCAAGTATGAGGGCTTTGGTGGCTGTTTGGCTTGTTGGAGGCCGGTCGTTGCATATGCCCCACTCCCGAGGTTCGGGTTGCGCTAGGCAGGGTGGGCCGCCGGGTCCCATCGGTTTAGCGCCGCGCTACTTCACTATGGGAAAGGCCAACCATTGTACCTCCAGCTGCCAGTACATCAAGCAATTGCACAATGCAACCGTCTTCTACGGTCGGGCAGTCGAGAGAAATTGGTTTTCTGAATTTCCGAGTGCATGCGATTAACCTACACTCCAAAATGCAGCGTGCAGACGCCGTGGCGGCGATGTTGCGACTCTGCACGTAATGGGAGTACTTGTGTGCGCATAGGAATACAGCGGGAATGGAGGTACTGGTTGTGTGTACTGTACGGAGAACCCTGCGAATCTTTTCCTTTCTGGGCAGAGCTACCAGGGCGAGTTCGATTTTCGCGGGCATCTCCATGTTGGGTGCTGAGCAGTTGGCAGCTCCGAGACAGCTTCTTTATACGGTCTTCATCTATCGATTCAGCATCCTTTCAGAGGTCAACAGAGGTCTTGATTACAAACGTGGGCAGGCATTCTCAATTCTCCTTTTCCATCTCTGCTTGGGTCATTCTGCAACTGTTTCGGCCTAGGCTCAAGTGAACCCACAACACTTGAGAAAGACGACATGGAGTCGGGCCACCGGACATGGAACGGAGAATAAACCTCACAACACCTGCTACTACGCAAACGAGGAGTTATTGAAATGCAATTTGAATATGGCACTTGACGGATTGATCAGTAGTAAGCCTACAAGGCTCCTGCCTCTCTCTATGAGAGAGGCGTGCGCTTTGTACCCCAGTTACCGATCAAGAGCCGAGGAGTTGTGGTTGAAATGACGGGTTCCAACCTAATATATGGAGACTCTGACGGACATACGAGGCTGCGAAGTTGATCCATGGAGTTATGCAATTGATAGATGAAGCTGGTAATCAATCTGCAGATTCATCAAGACACAGCACCATGCTTGATCAAGATTTATTGGGTATCAATCGATGGAAAACCCCAATCTCTTTCTTATTCTCCCAACCCATGCATCTGATATAACCCAGTATGAAAGTGCGTTACATGTAATTTTACTTCATCTCATCATGAACAAAACATTTAGTCCGTCTTAGCTTCCGCCTCAGCTTTGGCTTCACCCTCAGCCTCCTCCTTTTCAGGCGCCTCATAACCCTCAGTCTTCATGTCCTTCAATCCCAACTCCTCCTCCTCCTCCTCCGTTCTTGTGTACCTCTCCCTCTTAATCTTGGGGTCAGGCGCCGGTGGGTCAACCAGCGACTGGACATAACTGCTAGCAAACGGATCCGTCAAGATGACCGTGAAAGGCTTGGACCCGGCAATGGCGGTGTCGAGGTTCGCAAAGAATTTGTCCCACTGAGACTTCTCGTCCGGTCTCAGCGAGTCGCCGGCGCCCTCGCCGGCCTCAAAGATCTGGCTGTGCAGGTCGTCGCGGACCTGTGTCAGGAGACCCTCCACGGTAGTGAAGCGGCCGCCGAGGGTGCCTGGGTTGACATGCAGCTCCAGCTCGGGGCACTCGAGACCGCAAGTCTCGCTCTTGAGGATGTCGCGTGCCAGGTCGACCTCGCCGTCGACCTGAAGAGTGATTTTCTCGCCGTATTCGGGAATCTCGCCGCCCGTCTTGACGTCGTTGGAGCGGTAGCCGCAGGCGTCGCACACGGTTGACATGAGCACCACCTGCTTGAAGTGCGGGATGTCGACCATCTTCATGTGCGTTGTGCAGTTGTGCATGCAGCCAGGGCATGTCGCCGGGAAGCTGTAGACCTCGTTGGGAATGATGTCGCCGTCTTCGGTAAGGCCGGGGTTCTTCAGGTCTGCGTTACCGTCGCTGTCTGCAAGGCCGAGGGCGGCATTCTGTTCGGGTGTTCGCGCATACTCGTGCTTCTCCCACTTGCCAACACCGTCCTTGAGGTCGGGCGCGATGAAAGAGTTACCGGCGGGATCGTCGACATAGACGCGGAAGGGGAAGGCCTCTCCTGCCAGCATGGCCCTGCACTTCTTGATGATTTCTGCCACCTTTTCATAGACCTCGGGGGCCTTTTCTTTGCGCTCCTCCTGTCCCATCTCCAAGTCGTCGACGACGCCTGTCAGCAGGCCCTCGACATTTGTCAGCTGGCCGCGGCCGGCAGGAATCTCGAGGTCGATCTCGATGAACTTGACGGTGGCGGTGTCAGACTTGACGACCTGGCGAGAGAAGTCGTTGAGGTCGGTCAGTCGCAGCTCGTAGTGTGTGCCTTTGGGTTGAATTTCTCCAGCCGGCTGGATCTCGTTGTTCTGGAAGTTGCAGTGGTCGCAGTTGAAGGACATGATGACGACCTCGCGGAAGTAGGGAATCTGGGTAAGGAGAAGTCTTGTGATGCCCTGTATGTCTGGTTAGTCTCTGAACAAAGACATCTCAGCGGAAGGCTGGAAGAGCGCGGCGACTCACATTTTTGTGGCAGTTCATGCAGAGGGATTCGATCTCGTCCACGGGCTTGACGTCGTCCTCGTCAACGGTGCCATTTGTGGCAGCGGAGAGGCCTTGCGCCTTTGCGCCGATGGGCTCGAAAAAGTTTTGCTTTTCGCTTTCGGCAGCCATGATTGATCTGATTATTGTGATGTTAAAGATGGGAGAAAATGAAGTTTGTCGCAAAATGCAGTGTTTTGTATGACGGCGGGGTTCCGAAATTTTTGGAGGGGCAATTAAATGGTTGCGGTTATGTCATGCAGGGCCTGCGCTAGAACATTCCCGACGCATCTTGACGAGCCGAGAGCCAGCAAAAGAGGATGATTGCCTGACGGTCATTTCTCAGTGCTGTCAAATCTGCGGAGGATCACCTGATGTCGCTGATGTCGCTGATGTCGCTGATGTCGACTTGATCGTATTCGATAGAGACGATTCATTTCATCATAAAGTCGGCAAGCGATAGCGGGTTCGATGGGCGCTGCTGGCCAGAGAGCAGAGCCTGCAGTCCCGCCTTGCGATTTTTGGCGCGCTTCTTGCTGCTCGCGTTGGCCGTGGCTGGCTTCTGGGCCTCAACACTTTCGGTGGCCTTTTGCATCCTTGCCTTTGCCTTTGCAGCTTTCTGGCGCGTGGCAGGTCCGGGAGCCGGCAGGGGGATTCTGGTGACTCTGGCGCAGAGACCGCAGGTAAAGTCTTTGGACCGCTGTGGCGGTTTCGCTGGTGGCTGCGTCTTTCTCGTCGCTGTCTGGCTTTTCAATGCTTTGGTGCCCGCTGCCTTCTTTCTCGATGCCCTCAGCGTCTGCAGCTTCAGCTCTGTCCCTTGCCCCGGAATCATAATGTGTCCACAGGCTGCGCAGACATGCTGTCGCTCGAGGTCTGAGGGCGCCAAGTCATTGGAATAAAGGAGCGCTGCTCTCTGGCTCAGGAGGTGCGCTGACGTCTCTGGAGCTGCGAATCGGAGCATATGTGCGGCATCGGTGAGGAAAGTAACCGCCGGAGCAGTTGCGTTGGCAGCGGCCATGGTGAGTGATGCTGGACGAGACGCGCTGCCTGTGAAATAAAAAGTTGGGGAAGAAGTTTGAAGCTTCCAACTCCAGGAACCGTGATAGACAGTTGGTGGGGCGGGGGTGTCTAGATCACTTGGCGGGAGTGCACTTAATAGGGCGCTCTCCCTCCCATCATGACGTGAAATTCTACAAGAGAGCTGTTGGATGGTTCTCAAGGCTTCAATTACATTTTGTACATTCACGCTCGCTTAATCTCCCACACCAGCTCCTTGATGCTGACCTCTTCGTTCGCCTTTTCGTCATAGTCAAACCATTCCCCCTCCGTCAGATCAATGCCGGTGAACTTGGTGCCCGAGTCGATGCCATCAGCCAGCCAGTCGCCCTATTGAGGTCAATCGTCAGTTTGAAGGAATGTCAAACATTCATCAAAGAGCTCGCATACCTCTGGCTTAAACTCTACAAACTCCAATCCTCTGCAGTCAAACTCGAACAGCTTCTGCGCCTTGGGAGGCTCGGCCTGCTCGTAAGCCGCTGGAGCTGACTTGATCGTCGCAGAAGACTCTCGCTATGACACCACATGTGAGAACAGGCCGAGGAATCTCATCCCAAAGAGTATGAGCATTTACCTTGCAGTTTTTGCACCTCCAGACAAAGTTTGCTTCGCCCCTGCTGCCGCTCATCTCATTCGTTTCCTATGCAAAGCGATGTGAGTAGGTTGGATGAAAGACAACAAAAGAGACTAGAAAACTCACGAAGCGGTTTACGCCAACATAGTTGTCATGCGTCTCTCTGCAGGACGTGCACTGGACCTTGAACATGTACCAGAAAGGGTTGTCCTGCGTATCGTCAGGGCGCAGATTTGTTACGCTGATTGCATGTGAGTGAGCATTCTGTGAGATCGCGGGGCAGACATGGAAGCACAAACCCTGACAGCTCTGCGGTCAGTGTGAGAGCGAACATTGCTAGGTGAGCTTGAAGTGTCGGTATGTATATATGTGAGAGAGAATATTATGTCAAAGTAAAAGGGACCAGTCGCCGGATTCACACTGAATATCAAGTCCTGCGGTAATTGGAGATGTAAGAGAGAGCTCTCTGTCTTGGCGGGGGAGCTGGAAGCTCGTCACGTGACGCTAGAAACCTCGCAGAAGTGGGAGCATCGTTCGATTTTCGTCGCATTGCCTTGCACACCTCGAGCTTCGACTTCAATTGAGAGCCACAACCCGCTCCGCTGCTCCTCGAAACCACCGAGTCCGCCCGCAAATGCCTCCCTGATGCAGACGATCCTCTCCAGGGCCGGACAGGCTCCGCGCGGCGGGTGCAGAGCCTGCAGCAGCGCCATCAACACCCTGGGCAAGAGACCGGTCCCCGTCCGCCGCAAGCCGACCTTCGCCGAGCTCTTCACAGCATGCTACAGCTCCATGTTTGCTACGGCAGCATTGGTGGATGCCGTCAGGAAGGAGGACCGCCGGAAGGAGCTGGATCGTCAGCTGGACGAGGTTCGAAAGGAAATTGCCGATCTCCAGGATGGCCGGCAATCACACAGCTCGGACGACGACTCGATGTATCGGTGGCTCGGCCTTGGACAGATGGACGAACTGTGGAGGAGCTTGAAGAAGATATACATAAGCCGCCCGTACATGAAGGAAATACACCAGCCGGCAACCATTAGCAATTGCGACCTCATCGAAGCTCTAAAGCACGAATACTATGGCTGCCCGAGCGGTCCGTTGCGCAGTGCAAAGAGGCAATTGGACTACGATCTACTCGAGAGCGCAATCATGCGGGAAGAGGTCGACACGGCGAGATTCTACCGAGAGCCCCGAAATCAGGTTCAGCTGCTGCGCGAAACCATGAACGCGGAGGCCCTAGTTCGGAAACTCTTGCAGCGGTCAAAATACTATGCCAAAGGCGAGCCCGCGCCGTCGCTAGAAAAAGCTCAGACGTTGTTGGAAGAAGGAAGTCCGGATTACACATTCCGATCCATCGACGCTGTCAGGGCGCAGGAGAACACCATATTGTTGAACAAGCGCCTGAGAGCCTTGGTTGCTGCTTCGAATCTGAATATGAAGGAGAAGATTGGCAGAATCTGCTATAACTTGCTCATCTCTTCTCACCCACCCGACGTCCACACCTACAACACGCTTATCGTTGCGTTCAACAAGTCAGGCCACCACTCATTCGCCGAAGCACTGGTGGCTTCATTTTTCCACGAGCGGTTACTACAACCTACCAATTCCACCTTCATCGCCATCTTGAACCACTACCGGTGCACCAATAATCACGGAAAGTTCCTCCGAGCTCTCGCATGCATCACCGGGATCGACAATCGAACCGGTGCCAAAATCCGCCGGAGACACGTGTCAGACATCAACAGGAACCCGACTCTCCTACCGTGGGCGTTGGATGCCAAACGTCGAACTCTCAACGGCGAATGGATATGGGACCATCTGCCGATGACTCTGCCGCTGGTGGAAGAAATCTTCAGTGGTCTGCTTCACTTCAAACTCTTTGACCAAGCTGCGACATTTTTCATGTCATGCATGCAATGCGGTGTAAATCTGAGCCTGGATTCCGTCAAATACTTTTTTGATGAATGCATCGATGCTCTGGACTGGAAAGCTGCAGCTCGGTTGGCCGCCAGCTTAGCACGCTCTCAATCAGCACTGCAGAGGTTGCTTAGCTACGGAGATGGCCACGAAGTCACGTCCTACATTGTTGGTCGAATACGAGTCTTGTTAGACATCTGTGGCCTTGGTGGTCCGGATGAGCCGCCCAAGTCGCTCTTAGCCAGCCTGAGGATTTCCGGCCCTGCTTTCACCAAGTTCCTCAACACATTGGCTGAAGAGGAGGGCCTGCTGCAGGATGCGTCCACATCTAGTCGAAAGATAGACAGGTGCAAGAGCAGGGTGCTACAGTTGGAGAGTATCGGGAAGGAGTACGAGTTTGTGCGAAAGACGACGCTTTCCATCGAGAGCAAGCTCCTCTACCCCGACTTCTCGCCTGCCTTTCGTGCTTCGATGGCACTCTACATTGGCGAGACGGCTACGCAGAGAAGCGAGCAGTTGAGCCGGGAGTTGACACAGTTTTTGGAGACTTGCACTTTGGTTAAACCAGTGCCGCAACAGCCTTTGGAAGACGATGATGCCACCGAGTCCTCAGCCGACAAGTCAGCCAGTTTTGAGAAGACGGGATACTTCAACTATGGGAGCTTTATTGAAGGCAAGCCCACGGGATCAAGGCTCAGGCAGATGCTCCTGGCCTGGTCAAACCCTTTAGAAGGTGAAGCTGGCGTGTTTCGAAGAATAGCTGTGAGCTTTGAGAGGATGCTCCGAAGTGGAGGATGAGGACTACTAATCCAGATACTGCTGGTAAATAGTATCGGTGTATTTGTATCGTCACTGTATATAAGGGTTTTGGCGGACCAACATGTGCTCAAGCTGTGTATTTCAATAGGCGCTTTGAGGGGAGGGGAACTGGGGGCTGGGGAAATGCCCAGTGGCATTCCGTACATACTGTACAGAGCATAGCAGAACATGACATATTGTTAGTAAATCGCTGGGTCTAGTTGACAATCAATGGGTCTCGGAGGGTGGCTATTGTGTAATCGACAGGACGCAATCCCGATTCTTCTCGATGCCTCGTGGGCCTAACAAAATAGACCAAGTGTGTACGTCAAGTCGAGGCCTGGAGAGGAGTGGCGGCGGTTAGCGCAGGAATGCTGCCATGTGGTGTTCGAGCCATACAGTGTCTCTGATACCGTATCCTCGGAACTCAGCATCAAATGCTTCCCGCTCCGAAACTGCAGCAATGATGCGATTCCCATCTTCAAGCTCAAGTTGTCAGCGGATGGCGGACACAGTACAGACACACTGTGGCGGCGGCGGCATGGCCGGAAGGGCAGAGCCGGGCAAGTCACGAGGCGCAGCGCGTGTCCACTCAAAGCGCCGCATGTGCTCCATGTGCGCGAGCAGCTTGCTGTCACTGCAAGGAAAATCGCTTTTCAGGGGGAGCGAAGCAGAAACGGGCTCTTCAGCCGGTGGTCAGCTCCACCGGGGCGATTCAGGGTCCTTTTTTTCTTTTTCTAGCTGCCCTGTTCGTTCAGAGATTTGCTGGAGTAAAAGGTGGGTTGGTGGTTGGTGGTTTGTTCAGGGTACGTCGCACTTGCGTGGAGGTTCACGGGTTATCGCCAGTTGGCAGAGGTTACCTGTACTCGACGCTGAGAAGTTGATACTTCCAAGATGTTCTCCTCATCCAGGTACCACCACTACTAACTGAGGTGGAGAGGGAGCTTGTTCATCAACCTGATCTCCTTCCTCCTCCTTCTTGCTTCTCTTCTCAAACCCCTCTCACAATCCTCATCATCCCCTCCCCTCCTAATCCCAACTCTTGCCCCGCGGACGACTCTCAGCAAAAAGGCGGCGAGACCCTCCGAAAACCGCTGTACCTGATCCGCTCTGTGGCCCACGTCTGCCGCATGTCAGATGCACGCGTGCTGGCTGGACAGGAATAACCTTGTCGATATCTAGACCACCTCGAGGACCCCGACAGCTTCAAATACCGGCGCCCTGCTCTTGTGACCGACGCCACAGACTTGGCTCTGCCTCTGTGCGAGCTGTACTGCTGGACTCTGCGAGCAAGACGGGCGATCCACTGGTGGTGCTGGTGGACAAAATACAGACGTCAACTGCTAATCATCGATAAACGAGGTATGTCGATCTGCATCTGTGAGAAACGCCGACTACCGCAAAGGCGTGCCTTGTTTGCTTGCCTTGCACCAACAAGGACGAGCGCTTGCACCCCGGCCTGGCTCCCCGCTCTCGTCGCTTCACTCCCCTTGAGCCTTCGAGCATTCTAGATTTTTGCAGCCACGGGTTGGTTGGCGGCTATCCGCATATCTTGAGACTGTGGAGGAACGTGGAGGCTGGCCGCCATCCATCACGCGGTCTGCGTTGCATCTTGCTGCTCGTACCACCTCGGCGAATTCAGGCTTTCTCCTCTTCTATCACACACTGATCTTCTTTTTCTCTTTAGCACAGCTTCTGATTTTGCTGAAACCTGGCGGAATCGTACTACTGCTTGGTGAGTGCTGCCATTCATCGCCCGATACGGCCACAATCTGGACTGGCATTCGTAATGCGACTTGCCCAAAGCAGGAGCTTGGAAAAAACAGGCATCTGACAGGAGAAACCCCCCACGCAGTTCTGACCAATCGGCAGTGAGCAGACGAGAGAAGCAAAAGAACATTCAAAGTGCCGAAGACGACAGTTAGAGCCAGCAGGCGGCGTGGAAAGAAGAAATCATGAAGTTTGGACGAAAGTGAGTTGCTTTGGGATCAATTGGCGCCGCCGGGCGGCACTGACTGAAACCGCGCTCTTGCAAAGCCTCCCGCGAAACCAGGTTCCTGAATGGGCCTCCGCCTACATCAACTACAAGGGCCTCAAGAAGATTGTCAAGGCCGCTGCCGAAAAAGCCCGAAATGGCGAGACGGTAGATCCAGCAGGTGGGCTGTTCTTCTCTCATCTCCTGTCGAGGCCGTGCCTCTGTCCCTAACATCGCTTCCACCGCAGAGCTTTCCTTTGCCCTCGACCGTAACCTTGAAGATGTCGACTCCTTCTACAACAAAAAATACGCCGAGGCCTGCCGACGAGTCAACCTTCTGCAGAACCGATACGGACGCGTGCCCGATGTCGTTGCGACCCTGGACCAGGATGAGATTGAGGAGGTCATGGGAGCGCTGCTGGAGCTGAGAAGCCAGTTGAGGAATCTGCAGTGGTTTGGCGAGATCAACCGCAAGGGCTTCGTCAAAATCACCAAAAAGGCCGACAAGAAGGTGCCGGGAATCGCTTCGCAGCACCGCTTTATTGCGACAAAGGTCGACCCCAAGCCCTTTGCGCGGGACGGAAACGTCGTTAGGCTTCTGAGCGAGATCAACCGCTGGCTTTCGGTGTTGGGAGACGCACAGAGCAAGGATGATTCAAAATCAGAGCGGTCGAGCCGTTCATTCAGCCGGTCATCGGCCAAGGTGTTTCTGCACATGCCACAGGCCCAGCTTGATACGCTGGAGCAGGCCGTCCGCAACAACGACGTTGAGTCGCTCAAGTCGGGATTGGCAAACGCACACATTGACCCGTCAGAAGCTTCGTCGCAGCCGTTGTTGCTGAATTTGCTGCAGCGCTCCATCTCGGGACGATCCCGGGCTTGTATCGCCTATCTTCTCCAAAACATCAAAGATCTCGATGAGCCCGAAGACATCAACGGACGGAATTGCATCCACCGCCTTGTCATTCACATTGGCCGCACCAAGTCTGCACCCACCAATGAGGATGCCAACACGTATCCAGTTCCAGTCGGCACGGGTTTCAACACGAGGCATCTGCAGCCTGCCGTCTCTTCTGCCGTCCAAGTCAAGGAGCTCAACAAGCACGAGTCTGCTCTGCTCGGCAAGGATGATGAAGCTGTGCAGATTCTCGAGTTCCTGTTCGACCACATGACGGAGAACCAGCGAGTGGCTTTGAAGAGCCCTGACACGTTTGGTCGGTTGCCGCTTCACTATGCTGCCCAGTTCGGCTTTGTCGTCGTGTGCCAGATCATCATGGCCAGGATGCAGCAGTGGGGCCAGTTCGACGTCAAAGACGGCATCGATGCCCCCGAGTGGCAGGACAATGATGGCTACGCGCCACTTCATCTCAGTGTCATCGGCGGTCATCCTTTGACCACGCAGGCCCTTCTCCAGGGCGAGAACTGGCAGGGCAGCAGCGAGGCCAAGACGGAGATCCGGAAGACGGTTGCCAAGTCTGGCGCCGTCCTCGCGCTTGCTACCAAGTCCAACTACGTTGTCATCGTCAAGATGCTCGTTGACGCTGGTGTCAACGTCAACTGGACCGACAAGACGGGCGAGACGGCTCTCCATGTCGCCGCTAGGTTCGGGCATGACGAGTGTGCCCGCGTCATCCTGGAAAGCAAGCTGCAAAAGGCCGACATTGAAATTGCTGAAAAGTCTTACGCCTGGACTCCGCTGCACGTCGCTGCCGTTGACGGTTCTCTTTCTGTCGTGAACCTGCTCATCGACGCCGGAGCGGACGTTTCCAAGCCCGATGCATCTGGCTGGACCGCCAAAGAGCATGCGGCATTGCGTGGACACATGCCCATTGCCAGGCTGCTCGCCGCCCACACGAACGAGTCGGAGGCGGCCACACGGTCAGTGGCCTCATCTCCGCCGCTCAATCCCACGGAGACGTCTTCGTCCATCGACGGCCGCCGTTCGAATGGAGCTTCGCCGTCTCCGCGACCGGCCGAGCTTGTCAAGACATTTGGTCATCGCTATCTGACTAACGAAAGCCTGGTCTTGGTGAGCCTTGGGACAATGGACATTCGAAAGAAGCTTGATGCGGTCACTCTTGACAGCGTCCCTCTCGCGGAGGCGCACAACACGCAGCTCGACACGGCGCTGTCCGTCGTCGTGAGCGCGGACGGCGCTCAGGGGGAACCGACCATTATCGACCTCCCCGTTCACGAGCACATTGCTACCGAGCCGGTTGTGTTCACCACGCGAGACGCCTCCAAGGTCAAGCTTCTCTTCGACATCGTGCCGACCTACTCGGGGAACAACAAGAACAAGATCGGACGTGCCGTGGCCCTCTTGTCTACCGTTCGACCGACACTTGGCACCAGTCGCATGAACTTGCAGGGCGATTTGTGCGTGCCCATTATGAACAGCAGTCTCGAGGTGATTGGAACAGTCAACTTCAACTTCTTGGTCATTACGCCCTTCTATCATCCCAACATGGAGATTACTTCCAGACAGACGTACTGGAAAAAGCTCTCGTCGACCATGGTCATCGGCCATCGCGGCCTTGGCAAGAACATCACCTCCAACAAGTCTCTGCAGCTCGGCGAGAACACGCTGCCCTCCTTCATCGCCGCGGCCAACCTCGGCGCCCAATACGTCGAGTTTGACGTGCAGCTCACCAAGGATCACGTCCCCGTCATCTACCACGACTTCCTCGTCAGCGAAACCGGCATTGATGCACCCGTCCACACGCTTACTCTGGAGCAATTCTTGCACATCAACTCAGATTCCAGCAGAAGCAGCAAGGCCAACCCAAGCCTGAACGGAAAGTCGGCTGTCGGCCGTACCCGCAG